CAAGAGTAGATGGCTGTTGGACTCTATCCTATTAGTCAGCTGGAAAGCTCTGTTGGTCCAGACTGACAGAGCCAGAGGTTCCTTTGGTCTGGGATTCCTGCCTTGGTTATTCTGCTGCAGACTGGGCTAGATGAGAGAGCTAAGATTCCACCATACTCCTGTTACGTAGTGATTATGAAGACCTTGTACAATCAAGATACTGCGGCTGTTGAGGTTGGGCTGACTGGGCAGGCGTTGCCGAGGTCTGAGTCACACTGCTTCTTGCTTCTGAACTTCCTCCTTTCTTGGCACACCACCTGGGCTCGAGTCTCCTTCTCAGTCAGCCCTGCTGTGGTTCTGGGGCCTTCTCTTGCCCTGGTGTACAGCCTTTCCCCCTGGGTGCTTTAGACTCCATCGCAGTGTCCACAGTCCTCCCTCTCTGTGCTGGCCTGGGCTGGAGAAATGATTCACTAGGACTTTTTCTGGTTTTTCCCACCAGGATTTGGTTACGTGTTTTCTAGGTCTTTTGGGGGGAGTTTTGTGGAGGGGAGCTCAGCTCTGTCATGCTCCTTTGCCATCTCGGCTCTGCCTCCAGGAAAACAACAACTCTGCATAGAACTCTCAAACTTGTCTGGCTTGTCTGTTCCCCACCCTTCCATTCTTCCTTTGGTTCCCTTCTTGCATTTAAAGAAATATTTCCGTGAATCTTTTATTTTGGCAACCCTATTGCTAGACCACTTTCCCAACTCTTCTCCACCTTCTTGAGAAAAAAAAAAGAACTTTTGTAACAAATAATATAGTCAAGCAAAACAGATCACCACATTGACTGTGTCTGAAAATGTATGTCTCATTCTAGATCTTGAGTCCATTACCTGTTGGGAGATGAGTAATATGCTTCACTACACAGAGGCAGCTTGTGGTGCAGTGGATAGAGCCCTGAGTCTGGAGTCAGAAAGACCTGAGCTTGAGTCCAGAGTCAGACACTTCTAGCCGTGGGACCATGGGCAAATTGCTTAACCTCTGCATGCCTTGGTTTTTCCCAACTGTACTTTGGAGATTATAATAGCACTGATCTATCAGAGTTGTTACAAGGATTGAGATATTTGTAAAAAAATACTACAATGCCTGGCACACAATGGGTACTTTATAAGTGTTCATTCCCTAGTTTACCTGTCAGATCTATGGAGAAGGGATGCATAATGACCAAACAGGAGATAGAGAACATTATGAAATGCAAAATGGATGATTTTGATTACATTAAATTGAAAAGTTTTTGCACAAACAAAGCCAATGCAACCAAGATTAGAAGGGAAGCAGAAAGCTGGGAAACAGTTTTTACAGCCAGTGTCTCTGATAAAGGCCTCATTTCTAAAACATAAAGAGAAGAGAGTTGAATTTATAAGAATTCAAGTTATTCACCAATTGGTAAATGGTCAGAGGATATGAACAGGCAGTTTTCAGAGGAAGAAATGAAAGCTCTCTATAGTCATGTGAAAAAATGCTCTAAATCGTTATTGATTAGAGAAATGAAAATCAAAACAACTCTGAGGTACCACATCACACAAAACAGGAAAATGCTAAATGTTGGAGAAGATGTGGGAAAATTGGAACACTAATGAATGCATTGTTGGTGGAGTTGTGAACTGATCCAACCATTCTGGAGAGCAATTTGGAACTATGCCCAAAGGGCTATAAAACTGTTCATACCCTTTGACTCAGCAATAGCACTTCTAGGGCCATATCCCAAAGAGATCATAAAAATGGGAAAAGGACCCATGTGTGCAAAAATATTTCTAACAGCTTTTTTTTTTGTGGTGGCAAAGAATTGGAAATTGAGGGGATGTCCATCAATTGGGGAATGGCTGAACAGGTTGTGGTATATGAATGTCATGGAATACTATTGTGCTATAAGAAATGATGGGCAGTCGGACTTCAAAAAAACCTGGAAAGACTGATATGAACTGATGCTGAGTGAAGTGAGCAGAACCAGGAGAATGTTTTACACAGTAACAACCCCGTTGTGCAACGACTAATTTTCACAGACCTGGCTCTTCTCAGCAATGCAAGGATCTAAGACAACTCCAGAAGACTCATGATGGAAAATGTTATTCACATCCGGAGTAAGACTTTTGGAGTCTGAAGGCAGATGGAAGCGTACTATTTGCTCTGTTTTTCTTTTGTCGTTTTGTTTTCTTTCTTCTTTCTGGTGGTTCCACCTGTTAGTTCTAATTCTTTACATCATGACTAATGTGAAAATGTTTAATAGGAATGTATAAGCAGCCTATATTGGATTGCATGATATCTTGGGAAGGGCGGAGGGGAGGGAAGGGCAGAAAATTTAAGACTCAAAATCTTATGGAAATGAATGTTGAAAACTAAAAATAAATTGTAAAAAAAAAATAAATATTCATTCCCTTCCCCCTTTATGATTGGTCCTCTGAAGTCACTGTTGGTCATTATATTATTCACGTTTCTGAAGTCTTTCAAATTTTTTTTCCACATTGTTGCTGTATAAATTGTTCTCCTGTCTCTGCTCATTGTCCTGTCTCGGTTAATGCATCGCCTGATATTTCTCTGAGACTATCCCTTTGTTTCTTATGGCATAATGATATGGTTACATCCATGTTAATTCGTCCAGTCATTCTTCCCCATTTAATGGGCACTCCCCTAGTTTCTAATTCTTTTCTAAAACAAAAAGAGCTATTTTTCTATATCTATATATCTCATATAAACCTGGAACTTTTTCCTTTTTCTTTGATCTCTTTGAGGTATAGGCCTAGTAGTGGTATCACTGAGTCAAAGAATATGCACAGTTGAGTCACTTTGGTGACTTTCTGATCATAGTTCCAAAATCTTTCGAGAACGGCCAGACCAATTCTTAACTCCACCAACAGTACACTAGTATGCCTGTTTTCCTTTTTTTGTTTGTTTGTTTATTGGCTAGGCAATGGGGTTAAGTGACTTGCCCGGGGTCACACAGCTAGTAAGTGCCATGTGTCTGAGGCTGGATTTGAACTCAGGTCCTCCTGAATCCAGGGCCAGTGCTCTATCCACTGCACCACCTAGCTGCCCCCTGTTTTCCCATAGCCCCTCCGATTTGTCATTTTTCTTTGTTGGAAAATTTCTTTTTTCATATAGCAATTGAGAATAGCCTATTTATATCCTTTGACAATTTGTCTATTGGAGAAATGGTTCTTGCTCTTGTTCTTACAAATTTCCATCAGTTTCTTACATAGCTTGAATAGGAGACTTTGATTAGAGGAATCTGTGGCAAAGATTTCTTTCCCAGTCAACTGTTTCTCTTCTAATTTTAACTGCATCAGGTTTGTGCAAACAACTTATGAAACTGGAATTATCCATTTCCTATCAGTCATAATAATGCCCCTTTTCTTCCTCTTTGCCAACGAGATGAAAATACATCTTGGTGTTAACCCTGCTAGGAATCCAATTGCAAAGGTTAAGTGAATCTGGCATGTCATCTCAGTGAAGCGCCTTAAAGTCATGCTTTCTAGGAAGTGTGCTGGCAATGCTTTTACTGAGTATATGCTGCTTACAGGCTCTATGTCAACATATGAAGTAACCCCTGTGGTCCATGGGAAAAGGCAATGATCTTGGAGTTGGGAGATGTATGTTTGAGACTTGGATCAAATGCATGCAAAAGCTTTTTGTTGGAACTTGGGAAACTCACTCTGTAAAACGGAGATACTTGCACTATGCCCTGTTAGGATTATGAGAAAAGCATTCTGCAAGCCTTAAAACAATAAACAATTGTGGCCATGAATGTCACTTTATACTACTGTTTTCCTAGATCTATGAAATGGGGATAACTACAAGGTTGTGAAAACACAAACTTACACTTAAAGCGGTATCATTTTGGAGTTGCAGTGTTAGGCCAGAGGTCATACTCAATTTCTCTGTAGTGGGAGCAATCTGAGAGGAATCCCCGACTTGCTACCTAGCTACACACCTATCATGGAGTTGGGTATGTGGCATGTGCTCTGGCTCTTTGCTGGGAGGACAGAAGGAACTAGATTGGTCTGAGTAAGTGGCGGGGCAAAGGGGTGGGTTGAGGTGGACTCCTGTTAAAGAGCTAACCTCTGTGGTCTTTAAGAGGAGATGGGGAAACATGGCTCTGCCCTCCTTTGGGTGATTTTTTTTTCCCCAGTGCTTTTTCTCCCTTGGACAAAAGGGAGAACAAAGTTCTTCCCCTCTCCTCAATCCCACTACCTCTCCATGGTATCTTGGAGCAGAAGCACATGCTGCATGAAAAACAGAACGGTCTAGGTATAACGGAGACTGGACTATAGATTTCTGGCTGCCCTTTTATGTCCCAAGTACAGGTTGGTGACTGGTAATCCTAAGAATAGATATCTGCAGTTCTGAGCATCAGCCAACTACAGGGAGATTTATGGAACATCGCAATTCTCAGGGACGACCTGTGCCAGGATTATTTCACAGCTTAAGGACTAAAGAAAGTCGGCCACTGGCTGGCCAGATCTGCACCTTGTTGAGTTGCTCAGGTAGCTATCCAAGTAAATATGAAATATCTGTCCAGCAGTCCCATAAAGGGTCTTTGCATTCCAGGGGAAATAGAATGAGTTATTTGAGATGTTTTGTTTTTGGTATTTGTTAATATTCTCCTGCAAGTCCTGGGTCTTACGTAGCTCATCTGTGGTGGAGGAAATAAAGTTGTCCTAGACCTGATTCCCATACTGTACTATGATGGATGCCTTTTCTGGAGGGAATCCTGTTACTCGTGTTTTGATGGGACCATAGATATAAGCATAAAACAAGTTTTGTTTTAGATTTCTGTGGAGTGAATCAGGGATAGAGGCCAAGCTAGAGAGAAAAAAACTTTTTTGCAATTAACTTCTCTTCCTCCTCAACACACTACACACCATTATATTTGAGGCTAATCTCTCTGGGCATCCCCAGGGCCATGAGGTACATGTCTTAAAAGAACAAACATGTCATTTAATAAAAGAGATTGTATCAACCTTAACAAAAATCAGTCTTTCATGTTCAAAATCCATATAATACTCAGGATTTATTTGCACTGGGATTTCCAACATTGTTCAAAGACAGTTGTTTCCCTGCTGAAGTCCTAGAGGAAGGTATACACAAGATGTTCCCTTTAGTTACTGTGTCATTGATGGGCCATCTAAAATCTTGGCAAGGACATAGGAGAGTCAGTGCTGCAATTCCACCATATCTCTATTTTGCTTATTATTCCCAGCCTCCTTGTTCCATTCACAGGATTTCTGCCCCTGGCCATTAACGGTAAGGCAGTGAGAGACCAACCCCCAAATTTGGTGGAATTTGTGTTAAAGACACACGAGGAACAAGCATGTTCTTAAGAAACACCTAAATAGCCTGGATTTAAAGGTACCCAGTAAGAGGAGACGGCCTGTTCTTTGAATTGATTTATTTCTTTTTGAAAGTAAATTGCATTTGCAAAAACCAAAAACCTAATTCAGAACAGCACACCCAAGAACTCTTTTACAGGTAAGACTCTTTACCAAATGGGACAAGAGCTTAAATTCACTTTAAATTTACGCCTTATACAGCACTATCTCTGCCTCTGCCTCTCTCATATATACATACACATACTCTCACAATGTGTGATGGGGTGACATATACCATGAGAACATTTCTAAAGCAAATTTTGTCAACTAAATAACTATAATCTATCAATTTAAAATACATTTCTGTATAAAGATTTAAACAATATGGTTTCAAAACAAAAACATAATTATAAAATCATATACAGTGCTAATATTAAGGTAACAAAACTGTACACTACAATTCTTATAAAGTTATGCATCTTTATATAAAAAAACAGAAAGAGAATAATAGACCAGTTATATTCCCTGGTGCAGAACCCCCAACTGAAGGTGAAAGGATGTTATAATTAATTATGCAAAAGATAAGGTATTATAAAGTATAATTCCTACATATGCAAACAAATGACTGTCTTTATACAACATTGAGCTAATGTTGCTTGTACGTTTGGTCAGTAATTTCTTGCCTTAGCAAAGGTCTGAAGTTTTTCGAGGTTCTGCAGAAAAAGTCTGGGCTGACTTGAAGGTCAAACTTTCTGTACAACACTAGCACTAATTTCTTCTCTTTCTAAGAAATTTTCATTGAACTTTTTAGGGTGTTACTGCTGAGTTAGCACAGATGCTATTCAACTGGAATAGGTCTAACTTAAGCTTAGTTTTTAATAACATAATTATTTTCTTAAACTCTTAGAATATAAATATAAAACTTTGAGGTGATCAATTATTAAATAAATATGCTTAACATGGGGAGAGATTGATCTTTAAATAGTCAAACAAAATTATGAGATGGTTATCTTATAACCATTTCCCTAAAATAAAAACAAACAGAAAATTAGGACATTAAAAAGTAGCAAAGTTACCTTCAAAATTGCTACATAAAAACTGTACCTTAAAGCTTTGTTGCAGAAAACTCAGAGGTATAATTCTCTGAATAGACCGTTACATGGAAAGAACCATACTTCAAAGGATATTATGACGTAGACACAACTTATTCGTGAATGAAAACTCATTTATGAAGCAAATGTTTCTAATTTGGATGTTTTACTTCTGAGTGACTTAATGAGTTATGGTTGCTTGACTTTTCTTCTGCTCCTTTAAAAACTCAATTTCTTTAGGAACACCTAAGAGGTGACACATGGCTGTCAAGGGAATCAAATCATTACCAAGCGATCCTTCCTTCCTAACAAGCAAATAGTTTTACTTCAGCTCACCACACATTGGCCTGCTTTTAACTTATGCCTTACCTTTCATCTGAATCTCCCTCGTCCCTCCCCACCAAAGAGAAAGTAACTTTTTGGATAGTGGAACGGCTTAATTGCACTATGAACACACAGAGAATAGCTGCAAAACTTGTGTGGGCGAAGGGCAGATGTTTCCTTCACCAAACCAAGATGAGACAGCTTAAAGAACAATTTATATGTTTGCACTTTAAAATATTAGAAAAAGCCAGCTGTCCTCTCTGAGACTAAAGGACTTTGATGCTGTGCTCTTGTTATGGACTGTTTAGCCTCATTTCTTATTTTTACTTTAGGTAACTAAACTACATTAGGTAGTTTTTACTTTCACAGTCTTAAAATGAGTCCATCTTAAAAGGTGTTACTTTACCAAAACGGGGATTAACAAAGTTTCACAATTACCAAAGCAGCCAGAAAAAGAACGCCTCTGTGCTGATGCTTATGAGACTTTCCTTGTTTCACAGAAGCAAACCAAACCAAAAGTGTCTGCTGTCATAGTATATAAAGTCATTCCTAATTAGCAATTTACAAATCTCCAACAGGCTGCCACCTGTCATTCATTCATTTTGCCAGCCTCTCCTGAAAGCATTTCAGGGAAAAGCAGGATTCTTCATTCGTAATACAGGATCTGGTGACAGCTTCTTCCCAGGTTCTTAATCTATCAGACAGAAGACTGGCCATTTAAGAAATAGCTGTTTAAATAAAAATCTCCAGGCAGACTACCCATACAGTCAGAAAAGTTACTTTAGTCAGATACTGGCTGCTCTTTTGCGGCTATTCCTTTATCAAGAAAGGATCCCTGGCAATAGCCATTGAGAGGAGATCTGCTAATTTACCAAGGCATCCTCACAGGACTGCGTCTGACAAATGGATCAGAGCACATCAGTTTTGAAAGCTTTTCCCTTCTTATATTCAGCATGTCTTGAAATAAATGTTTTGGTATATTAAAGAAAGGGGCTTTTTTTCCTTCTCAAAAGGGAAACTTCCTTTTGGAATGATGGTACAGATGTCAAAGGCATGGGAGGACAGTCCCAGATCAGCACGTGCTTCCCTCAGCACCAGAGATACTAGATACCTGTTTGCGTATGTGGTAAGCACTTGGGGGAAGATATTCTGTGCCAGATTAGAATACATCCAGCCCCAAATTCTACCAAATGTTTTGTAGGAAGAATCAGTTTGATTTACATGTAGTCAGATGATCACATGATAGCAACCAGAAAGCACTTTCACTATTTTTAAAGAAAGGAATATTTACAAGTGTAATGACCTCAGAGCCCCTCCCGAAAAAGGGCATGATATGGATCCAAGGCTTGTTCTAATATGTTCCATCTGTGCAGTCAGGATCAGCATAATCTGCTACCCACAGAGCACTCCTGGGGGAAAGCTACTTGCGGAGAAGTGCCCAGTTATGGGGAGCACTGGCTCCTCGGCGCTTTCCCCTTGAGATTTTCTTTACCTTCACTTTCTGTGACAGTGAGACACGTGCTTCTGGGTCACCCCACCTCACTACATCTGACAGAATGTGAACAGACAAAGCAACAGCAAAGAAAAAAGCACGACAGGAGACGTTCAAAGCATGGCTCTAATGTGACTGCAAACAGCTCCCTCAGCAATGCCACGCCGGGCCGGGGTCAAGAGGCAGCAAGGTGCTGACAATCTAACATCACTTTGGTTGTACCACACAGAGAGAAGAAGGTTTGGTGGAGATCGGTTGGCAAGAAGCATGTCATTTACTGTGAAGATTCTGAGAGCAACTAAAAAGGATGTTGTGTTCCTGCCCCTCCTTGGCTCCCTGTCTTACTGGTCAGCTGCTACTAAAGCCCTCGACTTCAGTGGCTTCTGATTCTGTTCTAAGACAGCAGCATTCCTTTCGTCATCCCAGAGAGGATCAGAAATCGGGAAGGTTCGAACGCCAACAGGCCTTCTACGCTCCATATCAGAGATGCAGCTCCTCTGGTCGAGTACATACGTGTCACTACATAAGGACTGACTGAGGGATCGGAACTCAGGGGACGCTACTTGTGGCAGAGGGACAGCCACCTGCAATTCAGGAAGGAGGGAGTGGATAGGGCCATGTCCACAAGACTGATTTACAAGAAATGGTTCAGAATCAGGAAGCTTCCTCAGTCACTTATGGAGACAAGGGGAACAAAATACGTGGCATATGTCACCGTTTTGTGTATGCCCTGCTACTGCTTTTATTCAGGCCTCCTTTTGGGGTGGGGATCTTGCTTCCAAATGTGGATCCTGAAGTGCCCGATTTGGCCATCACTGAGTCTACTGCTTTTCCTGCAGTGAAAATACACAGAAACGTTAAATACAGGCAGAGGATTAAAACGGAGATTCTTACGCATGAACCGCATCCCAAGAAAGGCTGTAACTGTACGCAATCTGACCAGCGGAACCAGTCACACTGCTGGGGTGGGGGTGGATGGCGTGCACTGAGATCTGTGTCGACGGACAGAATCAGCCCAACAGGCCCGAATCCAGGCTGTGTCAGCCATGCTGGACGAGGCCTACCCAGTCATCTGGCTGGGCTGATCAGCGGGTAAGGAGAAGTCAAAAGTAGTCTCTCTGGATAAGAACCCAAACTACCAGTGAAATATGGACTACTCATTCGCAGCAGGAGCCGAAAGACCAAAGACTGAATAAACTTTCATCCATATCTGGGAGACGATGGAACTGAGCCACATTTGCCTTGTCATTAGGGTTAAAAAATCCTGCAGCCATGAATAAATGAGTAATCACATTCTTCAGGCCTCCAATACCTGAATCCATGAATTATGTTCATTCTATATATAGTAAAAGGGCATCACCAAAGTTTTTCCTGGTCAGAGGAAAAAGAAATTAAAAGCAAAACAAAATATTTCCTTAAACAGGTCACTTTGAACCTCGTACATGCAAAGGCCAAAATGAGGGCTACAAATCATGGAGCAGGCTTGTAAAAGGGCACCCCAGGAATTCATGTCTTAAATACACCTGCAGGTACTTAGTCATCTTGTTTTCAGCAGGCCTCTCCACACTAAAACACACACACACACACACACACACACACACACGTCAGGTCAAATACATTCAACCAAAACAAGTTCTATGGGCCTTTAAAATGGCCATCCCAGCTGGGCTGGCATACTCTCATTCACTCACCCTTTTGCGCACTCTCCCTGAATGATGAAATGCCCCCATGCCACCCAGCCCCCTGCTAAGAGTTGTAGAGAAGAAAAAGATACATAAGACATGGCCCCTGCCCTCATTAAGTTTATGTAGAAAAGTATCTATCATATGAAAACACTTTTTCACTGAGGAATAGCTTGCTTTACAAAGCAGATCCCGATGAAAAAAAAAGAAAAAATCTGCTTGGTCTGCACCAACTTGGCAGAAATACACTACCCAGCTGCATGGCTTGTGTCTTCTGCAGATAGTAGGCCTTGCGCAGGTTCATCGTGCAGCCCGCCGGCCCTGTCAGGTGAGACTTCCAGGCCTGAAAATCACAGAAGACGGGAGGAGTGAGTCGCAAAGACAGCAGAGCCACGGGCTGCCACGGGCAGTCCTCAAAGTACCCGGGGCGTGTGGGATGAGCCCAGGGGAGCCCCAGGGTGACCAGGCTGAGGAGGAGCTGCAGCATTAGAGGGACGGCCTGCCCAAAGCCCAACGTGACAGCTCTTTCACAAAGCCTTTTCTCTATGACGAAACCTTCTTATGTCCTTGGTTTCAGACCACAATGAAAAGAAACACTTTCCTGCTGAGCCGTTCTTGTTCACATGTGGCCCATCAGCACTGGTGTTATACTATGGGGCTGCTTCACTGGGAAGCCAACACAACCCTACTTGCTTCGTGGTGTGAACAACTGAAAACAAACGATCAATCAGTGTGAAAAGGAAACAGCTACTGTGAGCTATGACTGGCTGGAGAAGCAGAGAGGGCCTGTCCATGCAAAGGGAGGTGGGCCTGAAGCAGGAGGACCTGGGCTAGACTCTGGCCACGATGAAGTCATTCCTACTCTTTGGGCCTTGGGACTGACAGTCAAAGAGAACCTGAGATAAAGCAGCTTGGAGGTATCACCTCACACCTACCAAAATCAGGAGCAATGTAAGTCAGTGGTAGAGGAGCTGGGCCACGATGGACTAGGGACAAACTATTCTAGTAACAACTGAAGTGGATCTTAAGAGAGTTTGGGTACCTTCTGACATCACAGCTCAGGTTACTATATACATTTTAAAGTATTAAAACACCATTTCCTTTACAATGTCGGATCACTGAGGCTTTTTGTGGCCTACCACAATTTTGGTAAAACTGTCAGGCACAGCTGAGAAATATCTCTTGTTTTTTAATTTCCATTCAGGAAACACCAGAGATGTTACATTTAACTTTTATAAAATTCAACTCAAGTCCTCAGCTTCTTTCTTACCTTTTTCTTAGAGCTGTCTAGGTCTGCAAGGGGCATAGTGACATCCTCAACTATTATAGTTTTGCTGCCTATTTTCCCCCTATAATTTAATTAGCATTTCCTTTTCAGTACTTATTGAAGCTATGCCATTTAGTGCATCTACATGAAGTACTGGGATTGCCTTATTTATGTTTACTTTAAGCACAATGTAGTTTCCTTGTTCATCTCTTTTAACCTTATCTATCTGTACTGCTGTCTAGAGATCATGACCGCCATCCCTACTTTGCTGAATGTCCTTGAAACACAACAAATTCTGCTCCAGTCTTTCATATTAACTGCATGAATCTTTACATTTCAAGTGTGTTTTCTGCAAACAATATATTTTTGGATTTCATTCGGACATTTAAGAAATTTATTCTGATGTATCCAATTAAAAGAAGAACAGGAGTAATAAATGTCATTGGGGAAATGTATAATAAGAAAAGATGAGTGGCAAGGGCCCCGAATAAAAGGTGGATGGTTAGAGTGATTCACTCATACTCTTGTGATGTCAAGAGAAATCAAGGAAGGGCCAATATTGGGTGGGCTCCTTGTGGTGAACTCATAGGTGGACACGGACAAGAGGTGCATAGAAGAGGTAGGTGTGCAGGGGCTGCCTTCTCATCACTGAAGATGCATAAGTCCCTAAGATCACAGATCTCATATAGAGGGTTTGGGAGCTTCTCAATTATTCTGAATTAGCAAGGCACGATGGTATGAGAAGCAGGCAGATAATTCAGATGTACAACTCGGGAACCTTATTTCCAAGACAAAGCTTAGCTCTAGTGAGTAAGACCTTATCAATATATAAAATTACTTTAGGGTTGAATGGAATAACTGTTCTGAAAGTCCAGATGAATTTACTCTGGTTGGTAGGAGGCAAACTTCTTACTACAATCAGTCAGGCTGTTTTTCAGACTGGTTACCTCAATCTCATTCAAACAGACTTCAACATCATAAAGGCCAGGATCAGCTAGACTAACAGTTAAGGCTCCTTACCTCCTCTCCTGGTGTAAAATTCTCGTGGCACAACGGACATCGGTTTGCAAGCTTTTCCGATCTGGCAGCTGAAATGACATTAAATAAAATGCTGTTGAGTTAGCCAGACAGAATGTTACCAGTTATACAGAGAGACAGAACTGCAAAGAGGGGCTGGGTAATCAGAGGCATTAACCCTCTCATGGCAGAGAAGATCGATGTTTCCCAATCCCGTGCTCATCTTTCCAGGCACATGAAGCCCAGAGGAAAGGTCACCGTTACATCTTACAAAGGACATGCTGATGTTATACCTGGCTATCATGAAATCTGACATTCAGGGCTTGCTACATAGGAGGCACTCAATAATTGCTGCTGCATGTCTGACTAGATGAGGTCTTTTTTTTTTCCCCCCAGGCAACTGGGGTTAAGTGACTTGCCCAGGGTCACACAGCTAGTAAGTGTCAAGTGTTTGGTCTGAGGCTGCATTTGAACTCGGGTCCTCCTGACTTCAGGGTTGGTGCTCTATCCACTGCACCACCTAGCTGCCCCTAGATGAGGTCTCCTTGAGAGTTTACTCTGCTTATTCTATATTTATCACAGAACTTTTGAGGGAGCAGGGACATCAGAGAGGCGCAAAGAAGCCTGGGAAGCTGGCTACGTACGATTGCAAGCTTTGATTTTTATGTGTTTGGGCAGCTCTTCCTTTAAGACAGCTTCACAGCAGCGATGACACTTTCCAAACTCGTCTCTTTTGTCACACTCTGTCAGCAGGTGCTCTGTCAGGCTGGCTATCTCGACCACCTGGAATGAGAAAGCAAGAAGCAACAAAGCCTGTTGGTTATTGGCGACAGGGACAGGGGCCTGCTGGGTTTAAGCTTCTATTTCACCTCAAGTCTGGATCACACCCCAGGCTTATGTGTGTGAGCATATGCAGATACACAAACATGTAGGATCTCTATGTGTGTAACGCACATGCAACTGAATTTAAGAAGGAAGCTCATTTTCTCTAATACTGAGCTAATCCTTCCATGCTCAGCCTTAGACTCAGTCAACAAATGCAAAGGATAAAAAATCCCTCACCTGCTTCTGCGCTAAAGAGTCACATAAAAGGACATTTCAAAGAGGTAAGAAACAGAGATGTGGGTGAGTACTTATGGAATTCCTGAATGAAGAGGGAGTTCTCAGATCCTGATTTGGTTTGATATTATATTATTAGTATGTTGAATGTACACAAAGCTAAGCACGGCTTTCCATATAGGATTTTTAAAGACCAAAACTAAAGTAAATTTTTACATTTCATTCAGAGAAGATCTGATTTTCCCAAAAGGTCTGGAAATATTTGGAACATAAGCCATTACCAAAACACACTTAAGTTCAACACAGTAGTCTTACTACACACTTTCCACCCTCCCTGAAATGATTGGGTTTTTAACTGGTTGGCTGTTTCTAAGCAATTCAAATGCTGCCACAGAACAATTATTGGGAAAGTGGTCAATGTAAACTTTCTTACAGAAAGCCTCAAAAAGCTATAGGCAAAGGTTATACTGGAAAGTAAGGGTAACTGCTGTTTAGCATATACAAACAGAATATACTCTGGAAACACAACTATCACAAGAAAGTAGGTCTAAAAAATTCCCTAGGTTGTTTCTGAAGTCCAGTTCACCTTGTGGCATCACAGCTGGAGTGCTGGAAGGGATGGACCTCACATGCCATACGGTCCAACCCTTTCATTTTACCGTTGAGGAAACTGAAGTCTGGGGAGGTTAAGAGACCTGTTCAAGGTCACACAAATAATGGTTCTTAGAGGCAAGATGCTGGAGCCAGTGCTCTTATCATCAATTGCAATGAATGACATGGAACAAAGACATAAAACCTGGCTCCAAACATGGGCCAAATAAAGTCTCTGCCAACTTCACAGGGCTGTTTGACGCTAAGTGAGAGGATGAGGGGGTACAAGGATATGATGCCCTAAGCTCCCCACAACAGAGATCCTAGAGGAGTGAAAGTCCCTCGTAAACTGCCCGATTAGCAGGCTCTGGTTTCCAGGGGTTATCTAGCTATTCTCTTGGACTAGTATAAACCAAAGCCCAAGAGATGTGTGTGGGCCGATCCAATTTTCAAAATTCTCTAAGGAAGGAGACATTTTTCCTTTATACAACTCCAGAGTTTGGTTTCTCACAGCTGAGTGCCTATTAGAGAAGAGGAGCAAAGACTGTGTTTGCCATTTGCTCAACTGAATTTTTTTAACTGAGGGCTAAAGCTTAGGGAACAAAGACTGTATAATGGAAAGAACACTGGATTTGGAGCAAGGAGCATAAGGAGAGACAGGTTCAAATCCCTGGGCCAGTAGTTAGTACTTGGGTAACCCTGGGCAAATCACTTCTTCTCATGGGGCCTGTTTCCTCCTCTGTAAAACCGGACAAGATGGACTCCTTATAAGGTCCCTTCCAGTTCTAAATCTGTAAGCCAAGGATGCTTACGCTCCCTTTCTTCCACCATTATTGAAAAGAAAGCAGACTGTTATGTTATAGGTTATCAGATTTCGGTTTTTCTCCTATGGATTTCTTTCTTGTTAAATGGGGGCTTGGCTCCTTTTCTGCCTTCCTTTGCTTTCTCATAAACTATGACTAAATGATGCTCAGACGGTGCTGCTGGGATGACAACTGTCTTGAGTAGAATGCATGACCTGTTTGCAGTGTTCACATCTGGTCAACATAGGACAATGCTTCCAGTAATGGAGATCCAAGCCTTCTTCTGTGAATGAGTCATCTCTTTCCCCACAAAAGATGCAAAGACTAAAATAAAGCAGGAAAAGAAATATGTATACAAATATCTGGTATGTTAACATTCATCCAGTCCTATTTTAGCCATCCTTAATTTTCCTAAATTTAATGATTCAATACAACAAACATCTATTAAGTGCCTACTATGTATAGGGTACTGTTCTACACAGACAAAAACTACAGTCCCTGTCCTCAAGGAGCTTAGATTTCACTGGTAGATAAAAGACATACACAGATAAGTGCACACATCCTGATTTGTGGAGGGAGCCAGCATTAACTAATGGGGCTAACGGGAGGTGGCACTTGGGAGGGCTTGGAGAATGAGAAGCTACAGTGGAAGAGGTACTGCACTCATGCCACACCACAGGTCCAAGGTGAAGGTCCTGAGTCTGGGGAGAGAACCTCACAAACGGGAAGCATCTCATCACAGTCCAGTTTGGGATAGAAGAGTAAATGGAAAATAATATGAAATAGGGCTAGAAAGGTAGGGAGACTGTGGAAGGCCTCAAATACCAGGCTGAGGAAGTCTGTATTTCAGTCAATAAACATTAAGTGCCTACTATGTGCCAGGCACTGTGTTAAGTGCTAGGGATACAGAGGATGGTAAAAGACAGTCCTTGCCCTCAAGCAGCTCACAATCCATCAGGATCCTAGAGGCAATAGGGAATCACTAAAAGTGTTTTTTTTTTTTGAAGCAGGGGAGTGGCACAATCAGATCTATACTTTGTTTTGGACCCCGCACTGGTAGATTGTGGTGGAGAGACTGGAGGCAGGGAGATCAGGTGGGAAGTTATTACCAAGGCTCATATGAGAAGTGATGAGGGCTTGACCTAGGGTGCTGGCCGTCTGAGAAGACAGATGTGGGAAGTGTTGAGGAAACAAGAGTCAACAGCATTTGGCGGCTAGCTTCGAGATAAGGGAAAGTTCTCTGCTGTCCAGTGGTGGCCTCAGCTCAGTCCCTTGGGCTGTTCACCACCCAATGTTGATACTGTGACTTTCGATTTGTACACAGAAAAGGTTGATCCAGATGGCAGGTTGCTGTCCTTACTGGAATCACTGAAGTACTAAGAGGAGAGTTCCTGGAATTGGCTGGCTCGGAGGTGGGGGTTGAGCTCAGTAGTCTTTGAGGGCCCCCCCAAATCAGAGATTTGATGACTTCAGAAGGGAAGAGTGAAAGCATCCGAGTTCTTACAATGTCTGCATGATCCTGGGGAAGTCACTTGATTTCTGAGATGACTCAGTCTCTTAATCTATAAAAGCGAGTCATAACACTGGCCTTATTTGCCTCCCCCAGGGTTGTGCTGAGGAAAAGTACCCCAGCTATGTGAGCTACTGTGACTGTATCACATGGCAGATCAGAAGAGAAATCTTGCCACAGGAAGGGTAAGTGAGGCTCTAATTTCCAGGTTTCTTTAGATTTCACTATGGCCATTTTGCATTCAGAAATAATCCTGCTCCTTCATAACATTCTGAGTTTTTAATTGCGACTCTCTGACTGTAACGGAGAAGGAAGAAATAAAAGGATCGTGCCTTGCCCACTGTTAATACTAACTAAAGAGAATTTTTTTGTTCCTGTCAACTATTAAAAATGGGTTCAATAAACAACAACCGAACAATTAAGAGGATATTTTGGTTTTTTTTACACACTGTTTTATGTCATCGCTGCTGCATTCTGAGTGACCAAAAAGTTTTCCATGACTTTACTCACAAATCCAAATAATTTGCAACAGAGGGATGATCATCGGGAATGTCTGGAGCATTAGGGTGAACTGCTTTCCTCTGGGGGTCATCTGTAGAAATGAGCAAAAGAAAAGAAGTGATTTAAGTAAAGAGACTTCATTTCTAACATTTCTTTTCAGAACTGGCTGTAATCAGTTTGACTGGAAATATTCTCTATTAGTGTTCTGACATTCAACATGCACAGGACCTATAGGAAGTAAAGTGGGCATCTCATGGAGTTTTGTAGAAGATAAAACTGTGAGGTCATTCAAAGGCCTCATTCAGCAGTATTTCCTCAGTGCAGGAGTCATGATGCACCTTCTACGCACCTTGGTTCTTCTCCTTTCTTGTGTCGCTTTCTTTGTCCTAAGATACAAAAACAGAGAGGTCAAAGTTCTGCTGGCTAAACATGAGGTCACATGAAGAAATAAACAAGTAACCTTTTGGTGATGAGCCCAGCCTCCTGCCAAAGGGACATTTTTAGGTTCTGGTCTAGGTAGGGCTCATCCTGAGAAACAAAGTATGACAAAAACATTATTTGTGTAAGAGGTAAGCCACCTATAGGAACTGAGCTAATTTTTAGTGGCCTGATCCCAGCTCCTCCATCAAACGGATCCTGTTCTCTTATCCTCTTTCCCTTTTTCCTTCTTCTAGTCCCTTTTTATTTCCCTATTGCTTGAGTTTGTCAATGACTTCAATGGGCAATGATTTTGAGTTCTCCTGAAAGGAGATGAGATAAAGAGAATCCTACTAAAGGGAATCTGAGAGAAAAATAAAAAAAATTAGTTACATAGTACTAAATTTAAAAAAAAAGAATTATGTAGACAGGGATATAGTTTTAGGTGCAGGTACTTCTCAACCCCAACCCTAACCTCTGACCATCAATCCTCTTTCCTTCTCTGTTTACTCCCCATCATCATGGGAAACACTTTAATATTTTTCCCTGCTCCCCTCTCCCTCCCCCCAACCTATCAGTGAAACTTACTAAATATTGATATCTTTTATAAGACCTCTCAGATGATAAGACTACCTTACAATGCATTTGGGTTGAACTCAATTAACAAACATCAAGCATCTACCATGTACAAGGTAGACATAAAAAACGTTATCAAAGCAACACCTTAGTTATATTTTTCTAATATATTTTTATTTGCTTCATTAAATATTTCCCAATTACAATAAGAAAAACTGTAACATTCATTTAAAAAAAATTGAGTTCCAAATTCCCTCCCTCCCTCCTGCCCAATCCCTTCTTCAGACAGCATGCAATTTGATAACAATTATACATGTGAATTCATGAAAAATTTATTTCCATATTTGCTATGCAACACTTTAGTGACAGAGATCAATCAATATTACTATTGATTGCTACATCAGCATGAGCTGGTGAAGTTAGCTTGATAAAAGGATTTGTTCTGTAAAACTTGGATCCAGTCCAGAGGCAGCAACCAAGGACCTGGAAGGCCACATGTGGCCTCGAGGCCCCAGGTTCCCCACCTTGGTTAAACTACAGAAGCCATGTAGTCTGGAATGAATGTGTAAAACTGAACCACAATATATGTGATCCCATATATTACATCTGTGCTGCTGGCTTTCTCCAGTATAATTTCAATTATCTGGCTCAATTAGAATGCTTACTCTGAACTTTCTTTCCAATATGGACTGAAACAAAATCTTAGTATTCTAATTGATTCTGACATTTCTGCAGGAGAAGAAGTATCCTCTGAATTATGGAAAAGAGAAAAACCTCCAGCCACCACTGATCCTATGGGAAGAAGACATCTTCTCTCCATTACACATAAACCCCCAGTGGGTTTCTCTTTGAAAATTTATGACAACTCAGACTCTAATCTCTACGATGGACAACGAGACTACCTCACAAATCATTTTTATTATCCAATGAGAAATGTTTACTTTAATGCATTACATAAAAAAAGTCAGAGACTCAAGAAAATGAAAGACTGCCACCCGACCTACATGGTTATGTGAAGAGTAAAAAATGAGCAGGCACGTGTGAAGTGTAACTAAGTGGCCAGGGCCGAGTGTTAAGTTATCAAAGATGGACTGACCTTTTCGATCTGAGCTTCTGCCTGAATCTCTCTCAATGCTGCCAGCTGTACCTGCAGAACTTTTATTTCTTCTTTCTTTTGTTTTTCTGCTTGTTCTGTTGCTGCTTTTTTTTGAGCCTATTAAAAAAACCCATTAAAGTGTTCTCAGTGTTGTTTCAGAAAACAGGATGCAATCACTACATATAAAAATGCCTCCTTACTTTTTATGATATTCACTTAATGCTGTGTTCACAGTGAAAAGTAAATTCGTAGTTTACCTTGAAAAGGAAACCATTTCAAAATGGCCAGTGTCCCACATGTGACCTTTGACCAGCTCCTATATTTTTTCCAGCTGGAGATTCCTGTTCCTCACATTTGTTTTTTTTTTTTGTAACTGGAAGACTAGGGGGTAACCTTTAACTGACCCTGCTATCCGCCGCTACAGCTTTGCCATCTATCTTTGCAAACCCCTCAAAAAGCGTCTTATAGAGAATGTTCTTGCGAGCGTTGCCATCGTCAGCAGGCAGGTACTCCAGAATTAGGGTCCGATGCTTCTTGTACATATCCAAAATAATTTTAACAGCAATTTCTCGTATTTCGTAAATTCTGTGCTCCAGAGCACTCACTGAAAACTAAAAACAGAGGACAGGTTTACAATGGAGAGACACTGCTGGTTCTTCTCACCTGGGCAGTTCCAAGAGTCTTGGAGCTGGGCCTCCTAGACCCCCGTCTCATCTTCCTCTGATCTACCTGTATAACACTGCTCTGCACATCAGCTCCGTTCAAACCCCACACATTGCACAACAGAGTCCAGCCTCTTTGGTCTGGCATTCAAGAGCCTTTACAACGTGACTCCAATTTACTGGTGCCTCCAACTTTATGTCCGACTTCTGCTTTATATGAGCCCTTTGCTTCAGTCGAATGGAAGCAAACTCATTATTCCCTGAAGATGTCATTCGCACTCCCCAGTCTCTGCCTCTGCTCATACTATTCTCTCTTCTTGTATCCCTTTTTTTTAAAAGACAATTGGGGTTAAGTGACTTGCCCAGGGTCACACAGCTAGTAAGTGTCATGTGTTTGGTCTGACACCAGATTTGAACTTAGGTCCTCCTGACTTCAGGGCTGGTGCTCTATCCACTGCACCACCTAGCTGCCCCTTGTATCCCTTTTTTTGGACTTAGTTAAGTCCTACCTGCTAATAAAGACTCAAGATTCAACTGCTATTTCCAATCTGAGGCCTTCCCTCCTCCTTCACCTGCCCCTCTTCATTCCTCTTTCCTCTAACTTTCTGTGGCACTTTCTAGGATAAGCCACCTGGTCCAGTTCCTCAACTTTATATAAAACAGCAATAAATGTTTTGAGGGACTCATGCTCTGGGTAAGAGATGGATGAGTTCACCTCCGAGGTCTCTTCCAATTAAACAACCCACCAAACAGCAGTAGCAGCGACAGAAGCGTGCCGTACAGGGCTCTTACCCGCATGACGTTATCGACAGTAAATCCAGAGCTTTCTGTCCCCAGGTCTTTTAACAACCGCGCTAGCAAGTCCGTCTGACTCATTGCCAGATGAGTTGAAGAATTCTGTTTTAATGGCTGAACTAAGTAAGTTGGAATAATTTGGAGGGGCTTAATTTCCTTACACAGAGCCAGTTCCTAAACAAGAAAGGCATAATTTGTTAACTCCACTAGGAGATTCTAGCTGTGATTTAATGTTGATTTAGGAGAACTTTTATGATATAATACCACCCAATAAAGATTAGAGAAATAGAAAATTAAATAGTTTGTGAGGAAATCAGATGATTAAGGTTGAGAAGCTTATTATTATAATGCAATTAAAAAAGCCCAAACCCTAAGTGTAGTAATTGAAATCTTGATCATTTAAGGATTTATTTTATCATTTAGGGCATAGGGAGATATGAATATTTCATGGAAAATTCAAGATTTTTTTGTGCTTATCATTGATTGTTCTCATAAAATCGATTAATAAATGCTAATAAATTTAAGCTATAATGGCTTTGTTGCTAGTATTCTTATCATTTAGGCATTAAATGCCAGTGGGGGTGGTGGTGGTATGGCTTTGTACTCAGCTTAGTATGATTACTAATTGGATGAATAAAATTAAAAGTATTAGTCATGTACAAATATGGACAAAAATATAAGTATTACCACGCATGCTACTCACATTTATATTTGTAATAATCATTTTGTAAAGAAAGAAAATTCATTTCAACAGACATTTATTAAAGTCCTACTACATGCAAGGTATTTTCTTAGGCGCTGGGATTACAAAGATGAAAAATAATTCTGGCTCTGGCCTCCCGAGACCTGTGAGCTGATGCGTAATTAAACAACTGTAATACCAGTTAGAAAGTGATCAGGTACCTAGAAGAGGCAGGTTAACCAGGGTGGTATGAGAGATTCAAAGGTGAGAATATCACTTTTTGCTTGTGATCAGGGAAGGCAGAATTTGAACTATGAAAGAAAAGGACTTCAACAGGCAGAGATTAGGGTAGGTTCCCCACCCCGGGATTACAGGACAGTCCATTCTCAGAAAGGGAAGTGAGCTAAGCAACGCCATTGAGGGAAGAGAGGGCAAGGAGAGATTGAATGATAGCAAGTAGAATTCAAGGTGTCTGAAGTACTAGCAGGTGACAAAGAGTATTCTGTGAAGCAAGGCAGGTTGGGGTAGGGAAAACCTTGAGTACCTAGCTAAGGATTAGATACTTTATCTTGTAGGCAATGAGACACTAGTGAAGCAGGAGCATGCCATGATTGGAGCAGCGTATCAGGAGAAGTGTCTTAGCAGCAGTATTAGATGGGCTATGGATGGAGGTAGGAGAAAATGAAGGTAAGGTGACTGGGTAGGAGGCTATTATAACAGGTGAGGAGAGACTGAATTAGGGTGGTGGCAGTGAGAGTGGCAAGGCAGGGATGGACTAATGAGATACTAGGGAAGCAGAAGCAGCATAACTTGGTAACTGACTGATTATGGGGGTGAAGTAGAGAAAAGAAGCAAGGATAACTGAGGCTTTGAGCCTGGGTAACTGGAAGGATCATGTGCTGTCACCAGCAGAGAACTTAGGCAGAGATGCAAATCTTATAAGTGATACCTGGGCACTGCACCGGTGAACAGTGTTAAAAACTGGCTAGTTACAAAAAAAAATCAATGCTGAACTTTTTTTCCTCTTTTATGTTTTTGGCTACATTAAAACACAGGTTATTTTTTTCCTCTTCCTTTTAAAATGAATGGCACATGCCCTGATTTTAAAGCAATGGCTGTATTTATTTTCTCCATCCCTTTCATGTATATAGCTACAAACCTATTCTCTAAGAGGTAAACTGTGCCCTAAGATAATGGGTACCTCTGGAATAAAACTAACAAGATGCCACAGCTTTCTTAACTTTGAAGTCAAAGAATCTAGAGCAAAAATCTTTTTTTCCCTTTGCCCAAAGCCTGGCTGTGTGCCACAGTAAAGAATCATAAGTCAATGACTCAGGTGATGCCCTCTCGGGAATGTGCTTAAACCTTGTGCACACAAGAGCGGCTGCTCCATTTTCTCACATCCTTTGGAGAAAACAGTCTGTAATCCTCCAGTATTTGGGTAGACATCACTGTCAGCCAGTAGGAAAACAAGCAATGGACTGTCAGACTGGACTGCCTGACTGATCGATCATGTGTTTTATTTCTAACGCAGTTTTATCTTGAGGCTTGCCTTAAGTCTGCTAATGGGACTAGACCAAATGGATAATTTAAAGAAAATGAAGATCATTTTCGTGCTGCTAAAAGCAGACCATGTGTCAGAATCACGGTTACTCCTGGGTTTGCGCCTTTGCCCCTGGTTTTCTAGTCTTCCACTCAGTGTCCCTGAGGCTGACGATGGGAGGCCCCCAGCAGAGCCGCACAACCCTTTCACAGCTGATGTCGAAACCAGCACAGTTTAGCTTCTCTGGGCCACAGCATGCAGCTGCTCACAGTGGAAACGCTCAAAGGTAAACACTGAGACAGCTCTGAGGGTCAGCTGCTCTGAGCCACGGGAGGAGGCTCTCACCTGAATAAAGTTCGATGCTACGATGCGGAGGCGCGCAGAAGAATCCCCGGTTCTGGTCAGCAGATTGGGAAGAGTCTTCTCCACAGAGAGGGCGGTTTCTGGCTTACCAAGCTTATGCTTAGGAATGTATTGGGTGATGATCATTTTTAATAATTTCAGTGATGCCTGAAAGACCTTTGTAAAACAACAAGCACAGCCTGAGACACGCACCTAAACTGCAATGGGAAGCCCAGCACCCAGCTATCCAGGGGCCTGCTTCCATTTAACAAGCGGGCGCCAAACATGGTCTTGGGCACTGGCAACGCTGGCACCAAATGAAATGGCCTTGGTTCCCCAGGAGCTTTCGTCCCTTGGGAGAAGTTGGGGAGAACAGGTCCAGGGAAAAGTCAACATCAACGTTCACAAAGCAAACATCAAATAACAGAAGGTGCGGGAAGGGGGGAGCCGGGAAAGGCCTTCAGGGAGGTGGTGGTGCTGATGGGGAGCCTTGAGCTCCAAGAGGGCGTGTGGGGAGCAAGAGGAACATCCCAGGCAGAGGGTAACTGCAAAGGCAAGGAGACAGGAGATGGACGGTGGGGCTCGGCATCTCTGGCAAACGAGGATTAGTTCAGTACAGGCCGCAGACTGTCCGGAGGGCTGAGGAGGACAGCCAAGAACCATCCTCATCCTTCTTAAATCCCTAGGTGGTCACAAGAACCTTCTTTTTGTATGTAAATGCTGCTTCCTAAGGGAAGGCAAACCCTTGCGGGCAGGGCCACGTCCCTCTGGACTCAGCATTCTGAGTTTCAGCACTATCGAAAGGTCAGACTCCTCTTTCATATTAGGTTTCATGAAAATAAAAATACAAGCTGACCAGCATGCTATTGTTTGTGAACCAAATTTCTGTAAACTATTAAATGAAATCTGCTTTTAGGCACTATGGAGAAAATCAAAACAGTCTTGACGTTGACCAACTCAAGATTAGAAAGGACTTCAGAAACAGGCAGCTTCCCACTCTTTTTCCTTAGAATTAAGGGACATTACTATTCATCCATTTTTCTTGATTTTTGTTTGTTTGGTTTTTGTTTTTTAGGCACTTGGGGTTAAGTGACTTGCCCAGGGTCACACAGCTAGTAAGTGTCAAGTGTTTGGTCTGAGGCCGGATTTGAACTCAGGTCTTCCTGATTTCAGGGCTCCATTTTTCTTAATATATGGAGTGTGTTGGTCCCAGAGAAGCCTAATCCTCACTTATGTAAATACTCTGGAGTTGCGAAAAAAACTATCCATTTACACACTGTTCAATCTGGTCTGGGTGTCTATTATGCAACTACACTGAGAATGTATAAGTCTATTTGCCTGGCATTACAGAGTTCAGTTACTCACTGAAGGCACCAGGTCCTTAATGGCTCTTCTGATCAGAAAGATAGCGGCTCTGAGAAGGTTCTTGAGATCTTCCTTTGATGTCCCAACAGGCATCGTCATTATTTTGTTATACAATGAGAGCAATGCATCTTCTCGGTATGACCAGGTCTTAGAATAAGCTCCAGCAACCTAATGCAAGGAAAATTCTCATTTTTTATGTGAAATGAAAAATTAAAATTGTTGGTTACATCTATAGCATGATACTAATTTGTTTTTTTTTTTGGGGGGGCCTAGGTAATGGGGTTAAGTGACTTGCCCAGGGTCACACAGCTAAGCTGTAAGTATCAAGTGTCTAAGGCCAGATTTGAACTCAGGGCCTCCTGACTCCAGGGCCGGTGCTCTATCCACTGCACCACTTAGCTGCTCCTTAGCACAATACTATTTGAGGTTTCTTTTTGTTTATTCAAAATATATTTAGAGTATGAGGTTTTAAATTAGTGAATGAATGAAGTACTTAAAGCCTAGGAATACCAATCATAAAATTAATAAGGATAAATATATATATTGAAGAAAAGTAATGTGAAACAGGAAAAAATAAATGACAAGCTTTGCTAGTAAAAAAAATTAGCCTGTGATACAGAATGGACAGTATTAAAAACCCTATCAAGAGAAGTATTTTAGAAGACAGCAACCTACAAAAATCCAAGAAGACCCTTTCTGAAAGGAGAAAGCCTGGCCTGTTTTTAAAGTCTGGCTGATATGACTACAGTTGACATATTTCTACTGCTAGCTCTGCTGACATTAAAAACAAATAGATATTCACTTTGGTTTTTTTTTGTTTTTGTTAGGCGATTGGGGGTTAAATGACTTGCCCAGGGTCACACAGCTAGTAAATGTCAAGTGTCTGGTCTGATACTGGATTTGAACTCGAGTCCTCCTGACTCCAGGGCCAGCGCTCTATCCACTGCACCACCTAGCTGCCCCTGCTTTTTCTGTTTTGTTTTCATTCATTTTGAACAGAATTCAGTTCAGCTGTTTTTCAGTCATGTCCAATTCTTCATGATATCATTTGGGCTTTCTTGGCAGAGATACTAGAGTGGTTTGCCAGTTCCTTCTTCAGCTCATTTTACAGATGAGGACACTGAGGCAAACAGGGTGAAGTGACTTGCCCAGGGTCTAGTAAGTGTCTGAGGCCAGATCTGAACTAAGGAAGATGAGAATTTCTGATTCCAGGTTCAGCACCCCCTGAATGCACCACTTTAAATTTTAGTTTTAGTATCTGCTGACTTCATGCATTTTACAATTAAAATATTTCTGTTCACTAGAGGATTTTATAAGTTAAATCAACGGAATTCAGATGACTAATATTAAGCTATATGAGCATTTTTTTTTTACCAGAGCTTCTCCCAGCACTTCAATGGCAGAACTGGCTTCTCTCAATGCTTTCTCGGTCAAGGGCTCTGGCTCTCCTGCAATGCCGCCTTTTGGAACCATACTGACATCTTCTTCAACCTTCTCTGGCTCCACATTTGTTTCTCCTTGTTGCTTAAGAACAGCTGGAAGAGGTCTTTCATCGTAAGGCAATAAATCAACCTGAAAGTGAATGAAAATAAAATTATGTTAAATATCTCATATCCTCTGACCTTCTGCTCTGTGGTTTCCCCCTATTCCCTCACCCTCAGTTTTAATGTTCTCTAAATAAAGGTCATATCTGAAAGATATCAGTTTAACCAGACCTGCACAACTTGGCAGTACGTAGGAGCCAAAATTAAAATAGGCCGCAATTCTTTGGGCCACAGATAGGTTAGACTAGAGACAGACTGACGATGGCTGGCTGCTGCGGGTCACAAACGAGAGCATGCAGTGGCAAGCCTTCACTTTTCTTGCCTCCTGAGGTCATGCCATATGTTGTGCAGGCCTGTTTTAAGCCAGACCTGATATAGGGTTTAGTAACATTACTACATTAGAACAATTCAATCCATACATAACACTTAACTCAGAAAAAATAGATGATGGCTCTATGTACTTTATGTAACAAAGGTGGTATAAATTCTAACTGAATTATTATTTACTTTTAAAAATATAAGTTCAACAAGAGATTAAATCACTAAAGCAGTATCAAAGTAAAAAATAATTAGTTGATATTGAGAAGGTCTCCATTATTTTACTGTTATGTCAAGCTAAGTCTATGCCTGGGTTGTTGTTCAGTCATTTTCCGTCATATCTGACTCTCACTTGGGGTTTTCTTGGCAGAGATACTGGAGTGATTTACCATTTCCTTCTCCAGCTCATTTTACAGATGACGAAACTGAGGCCAACACAGTGAAGTGGCTTGCCCAGGGTCACACAGCTGGTAAGTGTCTGAGGCCTGATTTTAACTCAGGAAGAGGAGTCTTCCTCATTTCAAGCTCACTGCTCTATCTACTGTGTCACCTAGCTAACTGTATGCTTGGGGATAAACAATAATTATGAGCATATTCATTCACTTGGTGGTCTAAAGTATCCATTTAAAGAAGGAAACCAGAGGCTAGACAGACAGCTTTCAATTTTATTAAATAAAGTATTTATTAAGAGTCTACTATATGTAGTTTTATTCATGTCATTTCTTTTTAATACTGCAATAATTTACTACAGAAATACCTAGCTAGCTCACGTTTTCAAATTAATCCCTATTTGAAAAACATATCAGACATTTGTTTGCATCAAATGCATATACAACCTACGATGTGTATTTAGTGGAAAATATTACACAGTCATAGTAAAGAAGACAGACATAGTATATAGTGTGTATATATATATATATATATATATATATATATATAGTACATATAGTAAAGACAAACTAAGTGTGAAAGGACTGAAGGTCACATGGTCCAACCCCTTTATTTTACAGGTGAGGAAATGGAGGCCTAAAGAAATAAAGTGACTTGCCCAGGCCACCCAGGCATTCAGCAGCAGAGCCAGGACTTGAACCCAGGCTCCCTGTCGACAAGCCAGAGCTCTGCCTCCTACACAGGTGAAACAGATCAGAATGAAATACCAAAGGGAAGTTCACAGTGAAGTCCAAAGAGGTAGACATGGAAGGTGATCCTTCTTTTGGACATGACCAGGAGAAAAGCTTCTGCATCAGAGCACATGCTGGCCCAGGGCCTGGCACATAGCAGGTGCTTAGTAATGCTTGTTGACTGATTCACACACTGCTATGGACTAGAGGAGATGCACTTGCAAGCTGGAGGTTGGGGGAAGGAGAAAGAGGGTCTCTCTGGTATTGGTGATCAGGTCTGAATTAAATTTGTCCCGATGACTCCTTTGAGTCTAGGCAAGGCAATCCTGGTTTTGAGCTACTTACATTGATCTTTGAAAGAGAAACTGAGGCTGACAGCTGGCCCACAGCGGCTTGCTGTGTGGGGGGAACATTCAGAGAAGCGGGAAGCTGCGTCTTGGCCGGCGGGAACGGATCCACGTAGGGTTTTTCTCCCGTTTGCTCCTCTCGGTGCAGTGGCGACTGTGCAGATTTCTGCAGGCAGGGGCTGGCAGAATGCACCAGAGGCGCGAGGGGAAAATCAAAAGGCTTTCGAATCTAGAAAGAGAAACAGGAATATTTAGTTTAAAATTTGTTTTTCCTTCACTACATCATAATTGTCTTAGCAGCTCCAGGACTAAACCCTCAAGCACACAACACATGTTAAGAGCCAGTGTTTCAGCACTACGGATGATGGGGTTGGTGCATCATATGTCATTCCAGCTGTATCCTCACTGTGCTGGCTATACACATGGCAGCATATGAGCATATAGAATATAAAATGATTAATTTGATTAAACCTTTTATAAACACAGGAATGGAGGTTATTTAATTGAGCCTTCTCTTTCACATTTTAGTTATCTGTGCCCCTGTCTATTTTTCCCCCTACCACACATCTACAGAAGGCCAGGGACTATGTCTTGCGCATCTCTGTATCTTCACAGAGTCTTAAACATAACAGGTATCTTTTTTTTTTAAATGCATGTCAAGCAAATGAACGAATGTTCTGTTAAATATTTGTGTTACAATATGTTTACCGACCATCTGTGTACCTTCTGCCCATCAGTCTTAAAGCTGCCTGTCCTAGAAATGGCGTAAAGGCCGACGTGTCATTTGGTACAGCAACTCACCATCTCGGAATCGAGGAGATTGTGCAGCTGCAGCTGCTGGTACACTTTGCTGCGGTACTGCTCCATCTGCTGCTTCTTCTCTTTGGCCAGGTCATAGTCTTCTTTCTCCACAGCACAGCGCTTTTCCACATCATACCTGCCAAGACGCTCCCCAACCTGACAGGCAGAAATCGCACTTTCAATTTCAAGTTTTAATTCACTGAAGTGATACAGGAGCTGAGACTGCCTGCAAATATTGGCTGTATTGAGAAGGTAAAAATATCATTTTGTTTTATTGACTTTTTTTCTCGGTGAGGCACCCAGGATTAAGTGACTAGCCCAGGATCACACAGCTAGTAAGTGTCAAGTGTCTGAGGCCAGATTTGAACTCAGGTCCTCTTGACTCCAGGACCAGTGTTCTATCTACTGCACCACCTAGATACCATTGTTTTATTGACTATTAAAAAGCCCTCTAAGCTACCTAAATTTCATCTTAAATGTGCATTGTGCTCTAATTTTTTAATTATCCTTTCTTACAATGGCCAGAAACAAAATAATGGAGCATCTTAGTGTCCAACTCCTAAGCACTGGACATTCCATTTTGGTTAAGAAGTTTTTACCTGCCTGTGTTAAGTGACGTGGCTTCTGTTTACATGCTCACATAAGGATCAAGCCTAGCTAAAGGCATGCTAACCAGGTTTGGTTATTTGAACTCAAGAAGGACTCTTGACACTTACTAGCTGTATAGCCTTAGAAAAAGTCACTTAACCTCTGTATGCTGCTACTTCCTTATCTGTAAAATGGGGATAATAACAGCGCCTTTCTCCCAGGGTTGTTGTGAGGCCAAATGAGATCCTATTTTTAAAGCACTTCGTATATAGTGTGTGGCACCTAGTAGGAACTATGTAAGTGCCAGCTGTTATTATTATTACTATTATTTTCTTTCTACTCAATCTACCTTTTGCAGATCAGCAATAGCTTGTTTCAGTTTCTTGGCGTGATCATACCGCTCCTTTTGGACGGCTTCTCGTTTCTTCTCATCTAACCTGCGGATTATGTGTGCAACTTCTGGATCCTGGTACATATCAAAGGCTAAATCATCCAGGGGAGAAATATAGTCGGGTTTCCTAAAGCAAAAACAAGAAATATTTCTAAAAAGAATTTTAATAATTGAATAAGCATTATTTATTGAATATCAGATAAAAGTACTTTGTGTGCTGGGAAGTGCCGGATATGTATGATATGTATCACAGCTTTAGGAGATACAACAACAGTATAAAACATGGTCTCCACTTTCAAGTAGTCCATTATAATCTTGGAAAGCCAAGGATAATATAAATGAAGCAATTAGAGAATAATATATAGGAACAGTTGCTAAATTGGATGGTATAGGCTATAAAGTATTGTAGGAAGTCAAAGGCATACTCGTTTTAATACATTCTGTATCTTTTAGCAACTCAATCAAGCCACGTTCCTGAGAAATACTGCTGCATACTTCCTTCTCCATCCCTGAGTGGAATAAATGGCTGGATTCTATACAGTCAAACTCTTACAACAAAACCAGCCCAGCTGCTGCTAAATTTCTGCCTCAGGTCAAATTCTGTGGTGTAGTGGAAAGAACATGGGATCTGCGGTCAGAGGACTTGCTTACAATCCTGACTTTGACCCTTAATACCTTTGTGACCTTAGGCAAGTTGACCTCATAATAACAATAAAGGCGTACAGTCACCCAGAGCATGGAACCAAGACATAACAGAGAGCCTCTCAAGACCTATCAAAATGGAGGACAACTACCCATTTTTGCTGATTCTTGGGTACCAATGACAGGGCAGAAGGAATCTAACAAGTATCGTCCACTAGCAAGACAATGAAGACGACAGGGCACCGGTTGCGGTGTCTTCAAAGCTGCCCGCTGGAATCAAGAGACATAAACAAAAACTGATGTGGAAAGTGAACAGCTGGCTCATAATGTGGTATCTAACAGCAGGACTTGGACTTCTGGACCACAACTTAAAATGAAATGATGACAGACTCCTGGCAAAAGAAGGAATAGAGCTGACAAGGGTTGAGGACAACGGATTTTCCTGAAGTGTTGCAAATTTAATGAAAAGAACTTTAAACGAAAAAGGATAGGAGGTGGTGACAACTGTCTTTTATATCTTCCAAGCTAGATACCATACACAATAGTTAGGAGGGAATAGTAGTTAAGGCAGTCAGGAATTCATGGGAGACAAAACCCAAGGAAAGATCTCGTAGTAAACTCATGGCCTCAAATGTTTATATATAAATGGCTCATTTAGGAATTAAAAAAAGGAATTAGCAAGGAGAAAAAATTGACCTCATAGATATTAGAGAATTCTCTGGATAAAGATCACGACACTATAGATGGGGAAACACTAATCCAAAGACATAGGGTGTACGAAAGGGGGTGGGGTAAAGTGGCATTATATATTAAGGTTAGGTTATGAAGAAATCCAGGAACTTAAGGGTGGAGAGATGATGGAAAACATCTGAATAATAAAGGTCAACAATGGCGAAAGAAACAGAAGTATTTTGTCAACGGAATATACTACAGACCATTTCTGAACACAGAGAGACAATCAATGAGAAGTTTGGGAAATGGATCACGTGTCTGGCACACCGGTAAGATCCAACTGTGAAGAAACACTTCAATTATCCAGACATCTGGTGGAGCTTTCTTTTTCTGCCAAAAGCAGAGCAACTAACTTCCTGACTTGCCTTAATGCTAATTTCATCCTTCAAAAGCTAGAGGAACCAACAAGAGGAAATTTTCTTCTGGATTTGATACTACTAGAGAGGAACTACTTGCTTGGTTGTAAATGATAAGAGCCTTGGGTGAAAGTGACCATTCCATCCTAGAGTGTGTGACAGAAGAGAGAAAAGATGTCCAGAGCCCGACATCCATCCCAAACTTGGGGAAAGGAGACTTCAAAGGGCCCAGAAGAAGGATAGGGAAGATCTCATGTATTCTATTCCTGCAAGGAAGGATGGGAAATGGACAAAAAGGAAATCCTGAAAGAAAAAAGGAATTTGTCTCAAGAGGCTCATACAGATGATGCAGAGAGGTCAGACTAACCAACTGAGATTTAAAAAAAGAGCAAAGTCAGGTAACAGGATAAATAGAAAAGTGTGCCAAAGTCCTGTAAATATAATGTCTGGAATGGTAATCAGAACGAGCTGATGCCATCAAGAACCTAAAGGGAACAAGAAGGTTTTTTTGTTGTTGTTTTGTTTTAAAATCTATACTGGGAGGCAGGTAGGTAGTGCAGTCATAAAGCAACAACACCAAAGTCAGGAGGACCTGAGTTCAAATCTGGCCTCAGACACATAACACTCCCTAACTGTGTGACTCTGGGCAAGTCATTTAACTGCAATTGCCTCACCAAAAAATAAAAAAATTTAAAAAAATTTAAAAAATCAAAAAAAAAATCTATACTGGGAGGAAAGGGAGGACAAAGAAGAGATAGAACCCAAGCTTGGAGTGGACAGGTCAATGATAACCACAATATGGAGAAGTCAGAGCTGCTCAAAGCTAATTCACTTTGTTTTTCACTGTGCAGTGGAAATGAGAGAACCAAAGTGGCTGACAGGAAACTGACATCAAAGGATGACTGAGGAAATAGCAACTGAATGCCTAGTTACCTTTGATAAATTCAGTTTTGTCCAAAGGAACTATATCTCTGAAAAGAAAGTACTGAAAAGAAAGAACATAAGGAAAGGAGAGAGAAGGAGGAGAGAAAGGAAGAAAGACAGGCAGGAATGAAGGAGAATGAAAGAAGAAAGAAAAGAAGGAAGAAAAAAAGAACAAATATTTACTAAGTGTTTGCTGTATACCAGGTACTATGCTAAGTGCTGGCAGTGCCATGGTAAAAGCAGATAGAATTACTGAGCTTTTGTCTGTAATGTTTGAAAGATCTTAGAAAATGGGAGAAGTACCACAAGACTGGAGAAACAAATGTTGTTTTTATTTTCAAAAAAGGGAAGATAAAAGAGTCTTCAAACTATAGGCCAGTGAGCTTGACTTTCATTCCTGAGAAAATTATGGAAAGACTCATTAAAAGATGGCTAGGAGACACCTAGCAAGGAGACACTACAAGGAGTAAGCAGGGCTTCATTCAGAACAGTTACATGATTCTATCCTTATTTCCTTTTCTGACCATTATTAAACTAGTAGCTTGAGTTTACCTTGATTTTAGCAAGGCTCCTGATAAAGTGTGTCATACTCTTCTTGTGGCAAAGATGGAGAGATGGGGACTAGGTGTTAATATGACTGGAGGCATTCAAGGCCCATGGTTGTCTCTGGGGAAGGAGGTCTCTGGTGGAATGCCTCAATGCTTGGCGAGGACCTGTGCTCTTCCACATCTGTGTCAATGACACAGAGATGGCGGACAAAGGCAGATATGGCGTGCTCAGACAAGAGGCAGAAGCCACAAAGCTTGGAGGGATGGCTAACACACTGGATAACTGAGTCAGGTTCCAAAAAGATTTTGGTAGGCTAGAGCACTGAGAAGATTCAAATGAGAAGAAATTAAAAGATATGAAGGTAAAGGATTACATTTGTGTAAAAGAAAACCAATTTCCCAAGTCTAGTCCTGGACAGACAGAGCCTGACGGCAGTTGGTTTAAAAAGGATTGTCAGGGAGTCTGAATGGACTGCAGACTGAAAATGGGTTAGTAGTGAGGGGCGTGAGGCTACAGAGAGGCACAACTTCTAGGAAGAAGGAGGTGATAATTAGTCTGTCCTCTGCCCCAGCCAGACTGCATCTTAGATACTGTATTCAGTCCTGGGCACACTGTTTAAGAAGGACACCGAGAAGTTGGAGACCATCACTAGTGGAAGGTAACCAGGATAGTGAAGTGCCTGGAGTCCAAGGCATGTGAGTATTAACTGAAGGAATGACTCTGAGAGCATGTGACACACATGTTCAAGGACAAAAAGGGCTGTCGTGTGGAAGGATTCAAATATTTTGTCTGGTCTTGGATGGCAGAACCAGGAATCATGGCTAAATGCTGCCAAAAAGCAAACTTAGGCTTGATGTCACCAGCAAACTTCCTAAAAATTCCCAGAAGAAAAGGACTGCCTTGGGACAAGGTACATTGCCCCTCTCCCTGGAGGACTTTAAACAAAGGCCGCCATTGCTGAAGATTCCTTTTAGATATGGGTTGGACTTCATGACTGCTGAGGTCCTTCCCAAATTTAAAATTCCAAGATTCTGGGATTACCACAAAGTCCATCTTCAGAGCATCTCTGAGACTGGAGAAGACCACTAGGGGTAGGGGCTAGGATGGGAAAGTGGGGAGTTTCCTTCTTCAGAGTATTTGTGACTTGTCCTACACCTTAGGCTACACTTTGTACTTGTGGATAAATGATCTTAGGTCTGTTGTTTGTTGCTAGTGGAGCCCCCTAAATCACAGGCAGAACAGTAGGCCAGGGAGGTAGGGGTGGCAAATCCTAGGGCGCAGCAACAATGAAATAGTCTGGACTTCTCTGGGTTGTATGGCTGCATATTCTTAGCAACACCTGAGAAATTCAGCTGTCTAGACAGAACAACAACCTAAAGTCCGTGGTCATCTTTGAAAGGGTAATGCAATATGTTTCTTTTTTTAATTCCTGACCTTAATCTGTAAATATATTTATGACAATCCAATTACTGGCTTATTGAGAAGTGAGGAGACTACAGGGTACACAAAACCAGGATTCTAAGGAAATGATTCATATTTCTGTAATAGTTCCAAGTTTCCTGGGAAAATGGCTACAGAAAGTCATCTTCCTAAAGGACCAGTATTCTTACCCAACATATGATCCCTCTAATCCTGAATCGTCTGAACTCTGTCCAAGATAATGGTCAATCAGCTTCTCTCTGGAGCTCTTCAGAGATAAGAAAAAAATATTTAATAACATAGATTATATGTTAAAAACAGAGAAACTATGTTTTCAAGATAGAATCACTTAATACCCTGAGAATTCAGAATGGCTCACTGTCCCTCATTTACTAGAGAAAGATCCAGAAATGCCAGATGAAAGGAAAATTTTATTATTAATACAGGAGTTAAAACTAGCCATCTTACAGTTAATTTTGTTAGTTCCTTTGCATGACAGTTTGATTACACTTTTTTTTCAAGAAAACCTTTCATTTAGAAATAATTTTTTTCCTTTGGAATTTTACTTCCCAAACTTACAATATTGCTTTCATCACTGCAGTCTGCAGGGTCCCCAATGATATTAACTGCCACTAAAGCAACCTAAAATAAATTCAAAACAACAGAAATTAAACACAAAGGGGATGAGGCATTTTGGTTCCTTCAAAACAAACTACCAATTTATACTTGTATTTTTCTCCAAACTACACATAAGTGAATATTAAAAAGTTGAATTTAAAAGACTAACTTCTTCATCTACCAAAAGCCAGAATGCTTAAATATGAAATGACTGCTCATACTGTAGGCTGGACATAAAACAATATTATACAATTAGAAATAAATTTAATGCACTTTCAAAATGTCAATTTGGGGGGAGGGGAGGAAGGGGAAAAAAGAACAAAGAAAAAAGTGCACAATAGAGAACAAAAGAAAACTTACAAAGAAGCAAAGAAAAGATGGATAGCTCCCAACACAATGTGTAGTATTTATTACATAGGCTTTCTTGAAACGGAAATTTATTGTTGTATAATTTGAATCCTCTCTTATGTTCTGCAGATGGCAATGCTTTTTTTTCCTTTTCTTATTTTCTATTTAAGTTTATAATGTTTCTTTTTCTTTTATTATTGTGTATTTAAGTTTAAAATAAATTAATAAAAAAATTCAATTTCATTCAGGAAAAGAAAAACTGAAACATAAAATTACAAAAACCTTGGTCTCCACAGCAGCCAGGCCTTAAGGTGGATCATTACAATTCTTTCTATCTTGTTTTTAATGCTAATAATACATCATTCATGTTTTTAAAAATCTTAAGTTCCCATCAGTCACAGATTTCCATATTTTAAAGACTTGTGGTTGCATTGGTATGGATCATTCCTCTACCCCGACTATGCCTCTGGGCTTTAGGAAGTGGTTGCTGTAGCTGAAAAACTCTTCACCTGGTGGCCTGCTCAAGAGTGAGAAGCTGCTATTAATTTTGCTAAGCTGGGTCTCAGATGACATACTGTTGGGCCCTGACTCACAGCATTTTTCCAGGTTGGGAAGCCCGGTCAGGGCCCTGTACTTTGTGGGCAATCTTTGAGAACGTAGGGTCACCTGAAGATCACATCAATTTCACAGGTATTTTACAAGAGAAAATCAATAGAAATGAAAAGCCTAGAGTTTTACTAATTATTTGGAAATGTGTGGATGAAACTTGCTAAAATAATGTTAACTCAAATATGGGAAATTTTAAAACAGCTGTGAAAATAGTTAACTCCCTAACCTAAGCATTCAAGTCATGTTTCTAAGCCAGAGGGAACCACTCAAGGGAATCCCAAACAGCCCTGATTTCCCAGGAGACCATTCTCTATGCTCTGGCAGTGGCAAAATCTAAAGATTTTAGTTTTTTGCCATACAGCTTCAGTTAGGAAGGTAAAACAATTTTCGTTTTACAATTCTGTTTTATGTGTTTTACAATTCTGGCTTAATTTTGTTATTCTATATAGATACAGTCAAAAAGCTTATCTATATTTTGGAAGACCATGTGTCACTTGTGACAAGGAAGGGTGTGGGTATGTGTGACAAATCTTTGCAATCATTTACTCGCACAGGGTTACATTAAAATTCATTTCCATCATTACTTTGCAAGACAGGAAACTGTTAAACAGAATGAGAAGTCAGGGGTACTGATGGGATTCTAGAACAATCTATCATTTATAAATAATGCTTTCAAGTTTTGACGAGGACAGTCATTTCATACAAGCTTGGTGAAGTTTAAATTCAGTTTTGAGATTCTTTAATGAAAGATGTTATGTTTAAGGAAAATTTGGAAGAGTGTGCTTTGAAAGTGAAAGCATGTCCTTCATATCCCAAAGCATATGAACAGTTCTCAAAAGAAGAATCACAAACTATTAATAACCACATGAAAGAGTGCTGCAATTCACCAGTAATAAGAGAAATGCAAATCAAAACAACCATAAGGGGGCAGCTAGGTGGCGTAGTGGACAGAGCACCGTGCCTGGAGTCAGGAGGACCTGAGTTCAAATCTGGCCTCAGACATATAACACTTACTAGCGGTGTGACTCTGGGCAAGTCACTTAACCCCAATTGCCTCACCAAAAAACAAACAAACAAAAAAAACAAAAAAAAAAAAACCCCAAACCCCACTATAAGGCTTTATTTCACACCTTAAAAACTGGTAAAGATGACAAAAGTTGGGAATAGTTGATGTAGGAGGGACCAGAGGAGGGCAGGCACACTGGTGGCACATGGCTAGCAGAGCTGTGAATCAGTACAACCACTGTAGAGAGCAATCTGGAATTATGCCATCAAAATGTGCATATCCTTTGACTCTGAGATCTCATTATCTAGGCACATGCCCCCAACCCCAGGAGTCACTGATCAGAAGAAAACACCAAAATATTTAGAGCAACACTTTTTGTGGTAGCTAAGAATTGTAAACAAAGTTTAGCCCACGGCTAAACAAACTATGATACATGAATATAATGGAATATTACTGTGTTGTAAGAAATAAACATGGTGAACACAGAGAATCATGAATAGTGCTGCATTACTTCATGCGCAGTAAAATAAACAGAGCCAAAAAACAATGAACAATGACTACCATGACGTAAATGGACAAAACCGCCACCACAAAACAATCACAAGTGAGTGCGGCAAAACTACAAGGACCGAGCTGGCCCCGAAGGAGAGATCTGAGAAGATGCTCCACCCATATCTCTGCCGAGGTGGAGGGCCAGGCTTGTGTAACACTGCATGGTTCCTGACTTTTGTGATGTATGGATCAGGTCTGTTGATTATTTTAAAAGTGTTATCATTATATGGAAAGGCTCTTTGAGGAGTGGAGGAGGAAGGATACTTGACAGCAATTTTAATATGTAAAAGCAAAAGATAAAAACAAAATTTATTTTCAAGAAAGAAAATGAAATCACAGTATAGTATTCTGATCAGACTGGACAACAAATTTAATTTAAAAGAGTGTTAAAGCTAGTGAGGAAGATTGGTTAATCTTACCTGGCTATATAAATTGTACCTATTGACATGGTTTTTATGAAAAATCAACTTGAGAAATTGTCCTACAGCATCCACATAAACCGATTTTAGTTCTCGAGCCTTACATCCTGTCTTTTCATTGTCACAGAGAGACACATAACTGCAAAGACCAAACAAAATGAAAGAATTTTATCTCTATAAGCATTCACAATTAAGTAAATTGTTCCTTTGTTCCTATTGGATACTCAGGTTAAAAACCAAACCAAATACCCAGTGCAATGAAAACTGGGGGAAAAAAGAATCGCCATATAAGGGATAACCGAATGATTGTCTGGAGCAATAGACTTCTTAGGGAAATTAGGGAAAAGCTCTATATCTAAAAAGCCGAATGAGAACTAGTAATAAAAGTTAGCACAGTAATGCGGTTTAAATATTTTAACAGTACATGCAAATAAACTAACAATTGTTATGTCAATATGATTCTAGTTGGCAGTTTACACCGAGAGTCAATCTATATTTTATGTAGCACCAGGAACACATTCTTAACTGATAATTCAGCTTTTAGGAATTATGTTCTTTCTCCATGCACAGCTACTGCCTATTCATGAATAGGGAATGAACTATCAGACTAAACCAAACTGCATTTCCATGATTGTTAAAAGCACACAAAACAGATACGGAAGCGCTATGCCCAAGAAATAATGCAAATTTTGACCTAGGTAGAAATTCAGATCACAAGACTGACTAAAGTTAAGAATTAACTTTGTACTTTCATTCTCACCCAAGCCTTCGAAACCGCTCTGCTTGATATGGTGCAAAGTATTCAGGCAAACTGTCGCTAATGTAGAACTCAATTTTACTGGAAATCATATACTGGTGAGCAAGTAACTGAAGCTTTCGAACTCGGCATCTCTCCACCATCTGAAGGACAATTTCTTGGGGAAACTGGCAAAACCTGAAAGAGAATGTTTCTTCTTGGAACTATCACTGCAAATTAAGTTTGTATTTGTACACCTGCCCTCTAGATGCCACTTGACCTGAGAATTTTCAGTGAAACATTCTGAAATCCCTAACTTCCTAACTAAGCAAAGCATGTTGGGATCAAAAGATTCCATCCAGAAACAAATGCTCCTCCATGAGGAATGGCTGCAGGAACTAAGTAAGGTTAGCCCCGAGAAGAAGAGTCCAAGTGGGGACATGATTGTTCTTTTCAAGACTCTGAAGGGCTGTCTCCATGGAAGAAAGGCTAGAGTCACTCTCGGTCTGAGGCCAAAGTAGGAACAATACGGAAAAGGCACACAAAGACAACAGGATGGGCTTTTGTCCTTGGGGATAGCTCTCCTGAACTTGCAGAGTTTACTCTGTCCTGATCTTTGGAGACTTCATTGAAGAATACTTTTCCCTGCCTTCCTGGGACATGTTTGACCTCAGGGAATTTGCTTGTGTTAAAGTCAGGGGGCCACTGGGACACACTCAGCTGAGACTCAGTGGTGAACAAGCGGGATGCATTTTATGTAGGTAAATGTTCTGGCGTCAAAGCAAGTCTAGGTATCGCCCACCTTAAGAAAACATCCTATCAACTTACAAAACATATAAGCAGAGATATCTCTGGTATCATCAGAATTTGTTCATTAGTTTCAGTCAGGATCGACTCTCTATGACCCTATTTGGGGTTTTCTTGGCAGAGACATTGGAGTGATTTGCCTTTTCCTTCTCTAGCTCATTTTATAGATGAGGAAACTGAGGCAAACAGAGTGAAGTGACTTGACCAAGATCACATAGCTAGTAAGTGGCTGAGGCAGATTTGAAATCAAGAGGAGTCTTCCTGATTCCAGGTCCAGCACTCTATCCACTGTGCCACCCAGCTGCCCCATCATCAGGATGAGTCCTTTCCATAGTAAGGCCCCTTACGTATCTAAGTGGCTTTAAAAACCCAAACAAGTCCTTAGCTGAAAGCTAAAGTGTTGGATGTTCAGCTGGCTCCTGTCAACATCAGGCCAAACAACTGACCAGCTCTGACTCAGCAAGCAGTTATCACGTGCCAACTGAGCCTCAAGTGCGGCGGAGGCCCCGGGAATGCAAAAATAGAGACGATAGAAACGTCAGTGCAAGTGACGATGGACACAAAGAACCCTGAGCCAAGGGCAAGAGAGAGTTAGGTAAGATACGGCACTAACACTTACACAGCTCTGGGACGTCACCCGGCTGGGGTCTCTGTTCACTGATGGAGAACACCCCCCTCCCCTCCCCAGTGCCTTAGGAGATGGTCTTCCTGTGGCACTGTGGCTGCGGCATTCATCACTAGCAGGCTGCCTTTCTGTCTTCAGTTAGGCTGGCTCTCACTCGACACATACACAATCTGTCTCAGATGACCAGGTCCAGACTGGGGCTTGGTGGGAGCAAACACAGCTTGGGCCCCAGCGAGAGAGTCTTTAAGAGCCCAGGGTCATCTTGGAGCCACCACTAAAAGCCAGAGGAAACCCTTAGTGGTGACAAAAAAGGGATTCAATTTAAAACAAGTCAACTCGTGTTCAACTTTTTAACATGTCAAATGCAGGAATTTCCATTCAGATTTAGGAATCTCCTTCCTCTGACGGTAACAAAACTGGTCAGATACACCCAAGAACATAAAAGAGGCCAACTGTACAAATAGTTAATGAGACATTACAAGAATGACATAAGTCATGGAAAAAAGACCATTCTCTTAAAGAAAAAGTAAACCAGGAAAACGACTTAGGAGTTCAGAGATACACTGAAGTCAAGAGGTTTGGCAGTAGGACAAGGAACACTCACACAGGTTTCACGGCACAGCTGTAATAAATTGATCACTAGGTGGAGTGTCTTTTAAAGGCAGTCAGGTCACTACAAGTTAAATTGTAGTGGCCACTTCACAGACTCTTGATTGTCTGATTTACAATGAAATTGGAGGCCTAGAATTCGAGACAATACACACTGTCCCCAAGTAACAGAGTGTTGTCACCTCACCCTCCACTTCCTTTTCATTCATAATACCTTGGTGATCTCCACCCATTAACAGTCGGTGCATGGACCATTAATTCTTTCGCACTGAAACCATCTTCGTGTCCCGATGAACTGACGACTACGAATCCAATCTTGTGTGGCATTCTGTACAGCTGGGCTGTTCATAAAAATAAATAAGATTTTTTTAAGTAAAAGAACCCATAGAAATATTAGAATTATGACAGTATTTGCTATTAATCCCCGTCATGACTTAATTTAGACATGAAGTAATTCAGCCTAATGTCAGGAAAACAAAATTAAAATAGCTCTCATGAATTATTTTTCTTTAAAAGTTTCTAAACATTATCTTTTCATCAACCTATTTCTATAGACAGCTTTAACTTTATTATACAAGGTAGTGTTAAGTTTTGATTTATCTTTTCTAAAGCTAAAAAAGTTACATGGGCTATATGAGGAGAAAAGACAATTTAAGCAATGCGATGATTATTCACTAAAGGAAAAACTGAGAGTAGAGAAGAAAAAAGTAGGAATCAATCAGAATTCTAGCCTGAAAATTTGTGGAGCTTAATTTCACTGAACAGTAATTATTCAGTTTTCAGGTCAATGTATTTGGAGAGCAAAGAAGCATTCATGAGTAAAATCTTACCACAAGCCGGCAGTGAATCTAAATCTAGATTCTCCCTATCAAACTCAAATATATATAAAATTACCTGCTGATTTTCTGTTAATCCTAATATAAAGATAAGATCATTGGAAACAGCATGGTATGATGCATAGAGTGCTACACTTGGAGACATGAAGACTTGCCTTCAAATTCAGCCTCTTAAACACTTCTCAGTTTTGTGTTTTGCCCATGGGCATTTAACACCTAAGCTTCCTCATCTGGAAAGTGGGAATATATCTCTAGTACTTTCTCCAGAGGGTTATCGCGGGGCTCGACTGAAGTCATGTAAGTCAAGCACTGTTCAAACATTAACAAGCTGTGTACAGTGCAGTTACTATCATTGCTCTTGTTAGCTGTGTGACCTTCACTTGGTCACGCCTCAGTTTCTTCACCTGTAAAATGGCATTAGCATTATCTGCTCTACCTGACAAGTTGTTGTAAGGTTCCAATAATAATGTACATTCAAGTGCTTTATAGGTTATAAAGCACTGTATGCGTGTAAGGTAATTATCTGGCACCAGGGATGTTTACTGGACTGCAGAAGTACTAGTAATTGAAAACCACACTGCTAACTATTATTAAAGATCTAGTCAGGTTACTAGCATCCATGGTTATTGCCACGGATGCCACTGATGTTGTTATGATACTCCACAAGATGCAATCTTGCTGGTGTGAGGCCTCCTGCTACCAATCTAGATCCCAACCTCTCTTTGCCTTCATAGTTGTTGTGAAACAAAACCATGCCCTGGTGGCTGGCCTGCCTTCTTCAGCTCTACCTCTGATTTTGGCTGGGCTGGCCTTCAGACAAAGAGTACACTACGCCTATAATCAAGGCCTTTCCAGCCTGCTCAGACCTGCCAGAGCTGGTTCTCCACTGGCATAGCTTTCAGAATCCAAAGTCAGCACCACACTGTCATGCTGGGGCAGTTAGTGTAGCATAACATTTGGGTATTCATTTTTGTTCTTTTACTCTTTTCTTTATTTTTAGTTTCAAATCCTCTCCTTCCCTTTACCCTCCTCCCCTATCCATAGAGAAGGGAAGACATATGATACCCATTTTACATATGAACTATACATGCAAAACATGTTTCCACATTAGCTTTGAGGAATATAACTTTAGCAGAGGGTAATAATAATGATGATAAGAATGTTGTTGATGATAATCCTATACAAAATTTACTACAGGATGTCATGGGGAAAAAAACAAAAGCATGGTGAATATGTCCAGCTAAGCCACAACAATGAAAAGGGGCATTTAGGAAATAGCAATGGCCTGGTTTTAGAAAATACTCAGTACCAGAGGATAAAGAAGGGCATGGCAGAAAAAAGTTATTAGCAATGACTAAAGATCTGAAGTCACCCATTAAAACAAGATGTCAGCATTTCTGAATCCAAGTCCCCTCTGGATGCCTCATCATCTTCTGGAAGTGACCTAGTGGTCTAAGAAGTTATGGCATCAATATGTTAGCTCTAGTAGGTCATCCACCAAGATGGTAGACCAGGTGGTATGTCTGTCCTCTGAGAACCAGCTTGGGGGGGACACCATGTGATGACTTTTCAAAAACTACAACTTTTACTTTTGTGTGTATGTGCATGTGGTATGTGTGTATGAGTGGAGGATGTGAGAATGTGTGGGGTACATGTATAGTATACGTATATATGTGTAGTATACTTGTGAGGCATGTATGTGAACATGTATCATGTGTGTGAATGTGTGTGGTGGAGTAGGGATGTGCACTTTGCCATGGGAAGTGATGAAGGAGACATATTGCTGAAACTAGATTTTTCAAAATTATTTGACAGTTGTGAAGAAGTGGAAAAACTCATCAAAATAGCAATCCCACATTGATAGGACATGCTGTGGCTGCTAATGTGCTTTACCCTCTGAAGTGGGGAAAAGAAGGGTTTATTTCTACTTTACTAACGAAGAAAGTACAGCTTGGCTTAGAGAGGTTAAGGAACCCATCAATGGTTACCCATCAATGTGTGGTCAGCTGTGGAGTCCAGACTCGTTCCCAGATCTTCAGACTCCAAAGCCAATGGGTTGTTTTTTTCACTTCTCCATTTATGCCTTTTTAGAACCTTTTGAGCAACTGTTATTACAACCAATTCTCTGAAAGCATTGCCTCCTTGTCTGGCACATCTAACAATGTCCACGTCACATACCCAAAAGCTCTATTTTTGTGAGTACCCCAAGCACTGCAGGGGTAGTTTGGGCAGTAATTACATCCACAATTAGAAAAGTAAAGCTGCTTTTACAGGTCAGAAAAAAAATACCATAAACATTCAGTAAGAATAAAAGCTTTGCTAAATAGTTATTAGAATGGACTTCTGGCCCACAGGGCCTGTTGAGTCCCATGCACCCACATGGATGCTTGTTATACTACTCAATGATATTCCTGAGTAACCAGTGCCAGATTCTCCCTGGGCATTCCTACTAGGCCCTTGTAATAGTAATAGTACCCAATGGTAATAGGCAAACAAATTTTTCTTTTACGTAAAGTCTATTTTATGTACTTGGTTTATCTGTATGGCTAGAGATTACCTAGACAATCCAATTTGGCAACAAATAATAAGATGAGAGAATGAAAAGGAAAAAAAACCCTATTTCCCCATTTTCTTTTCAAGAAAATTTAAATTTTGTTCAAGGAAACATCAATACTTTAGCATCAAGCAATTTTATGGACTCAAAGAGACTGAAAAATCCATAGCCCAAATCTCCAAAGGCCTTAAGCATAACCTAACAAAAGTGATATGAAAGGAGCCGTTAGGATCTGGAGCTGAAAACAGAATCTGGGACAACTTACATGTAATTCTTACAAGGTGCATGTTTGCCCAGAAGAAATTCATGGATGCACGAAAATGAAAATGAAAATCGATTCTACATTAGATGAATGAATTTGGAGGCAGTGCCGCTCATGCAGATGATAGACTCTGTGGGCACATGACCAAAGAGCATGCTGAAAACTTTCACTTTCAGATGTCCCTGTGAATTGCTCTAGTACCTCTGGAGCACTTTTGATGCCACTGGGAGGGTGAAATGAGAAGATGCCAAGGAGGGGTTCCTGATGGGAAGGCTCTTCTACCAAACCAGGTGCGAGCCCTTCAGTGTATGATGGCCTTATGCTCCCATACACTTTTCAGGCCTGGGACACATCTTGTTATTACCTTCAAGAAGTCCCACTAGACATAGGTGGGTGACAATCTTTCTACTGATACAGATGTCAATGCCTGCATGCCTGGGACATGGATTCTTAACCTGAGTTTGGTGACTTTGTTTTTTTTTTGGCTAGGCAATGGGGTTAAGTAACTTGCCCTGGGTCACAAAGCTAGCAAGCGTCAAGTGTCTGAGGTCACATTTGAACTCAGGTCCTCCTGAGTCAGGGCTGGTGCTCTATCCACTGCACCATCTAGCTGCCCTGGTGACGTTTTTCAAGAAATACTTTTGTAACTATTTTGAGAGAACTGGTTTCCTTTGTAATCCTATGCATTTTTGGTAGTTAAAAACTTGATTCAGACTCCTCTGAAAGACTTTCCCAGAGTGCTCAAAAGGCATGAAAAAGGTTGAGAAATCCTGCCTTGGGAGATGGTTTCCTGAGCTGCAGCGACCAAGGGAGATAATCCGTCCCTTCGTAGCCAACCCCTGATGAGTCTCTGTGCCAAGCTAGGCTAGTTCTAGGACAAGAAACACATTGTTCATTGAGGGCTCCCCCTTGAAGCCTTTTCAAATTATTGAGAACTGCCAGAGCCTGGGTGTCAAGCATGCTCTGACACATTAGAGGGACACACGTCAATGGAGGCACAGCATCAGGGGGTCTAGGAAAATACTCTGCAAACCTTTGGTCCTCCAAAGACAAAAGTGCATGTCTTCACTAGTCTGAGATGGGAAGACCCTACTGAGGCAGGGAGACATGATACAGTTCTCTTAAATTCTCCTTCTCCAAAGAGTGGGACTACCAGGGAACCTGAGTCCTGAGGAGACACAGCAGAATGAGGAGGGAAAGTCCTCCAGCTCCCATGTCAGGAACCTGTAGGTTTTACCAAGCACTTTCTTCATAACTACCCTGTGAGGCATGTACTGCAGGTACAACACTGCCCATTTTACAGCTCAAGAAAATAAGGCTCTGACAGGTTGCTCCTTAGGACTGGAAGAGGCCTTAGAGAAAGGGTATAAAATCTAACACCTTCATTTTATGGATAAGGAAACTGAGGCATAGATTTAAATGACTTGCCCTGAGTCACACAACCAAAAAGTGTCTGAAGCAGGACTGAATCCAGGGCCCTACGAAACACACCAGCACAGCTGACAAATGCCTGGGGCAGGATTCATCTTCTGACGCTATGTCGAGTGCATTTTCCACTTCCCTACATTGCCTCTCAGTCCCCCTTGGTTCCTTAGTAAGAGAGCTTAATGCAAGAGCTGTATGATAAGAACAGCCCACTTTGGAAACATGTAGGGGTGTGCAAAGTGTGAGGAAGACTGCACGAGCATTTTAGATCTCGTTTTACAGATAAAGAAACTGAACTTACAAGAGAGGAAGCCTTACTGACAGTCACACAGTACCCAGTGAGTGGGTCAAATGGCAGAGATCTGGGCCAGAATTCAGATCTCCTAATTTCAAAATCTATACTCCTCTACTACGACGAAGTCTCTGGACCTCATTTGTTGCTGCAGCTCAGTTGTGTCTGACTCTGTGACCCCATCTGGGGTCTCCCTGGCAAAGATGCTGGAGCGGTTTGCCATTTCCTTCTCCAGCTCATTTTACAGATGAGAAAACTGAGGCAAACAGGGGAAAGTGACTTGCCCAGGGTTCCCCAGCTAGTATCTGAGGCTAGATTTGAACTCATCAAGATGAATCTTCCTGATTCCAAGTCCAGTGCTCTATGCACTATGGCACCACCAAGTTGACCTATCTGTACTTCATTGATGGGTTCTATTTATCAGCCCCTGTGAGGCTCAAAATCTGTGAGTGACTTAGGGCAAGTCCCTTCCAAGACTAGACCCAAGTTCCTTCTCAGGTAATTTGAGGTCAGAGTAGATGGTCTCAGAGATTCCTTCTAGCTCCAGACCATGATTTAGAAAACCAGATGAGTCAGAGTCAGAGAGCTATCAGGACTGGGAGGGATCCTGAAGACATTCTTTAAGCCAATCTTTTCATTGTGCAGCTGAGGAAAAGGAGTTTCCTACAAGGGAAGTGACCTGGCCAAGGTCACACTGTGCTCTGGCTTCTTACATTATGCTCTCTTTTGCTGTCCCACAAGGCCAGTAAGGGTGTCAAATGACTGGGATGAAATACGAGCAGAGGATTCTGGTGCTGGGGGGATCTTGGAGATATGCTGATTCAGCTCTTTCATTTTACCCATGAGGGAACAGGTCCAGAGAAGGCTCTACCACTAACTAGCAGCAGAAATGCTCTCAGGATGAAGGGCTCCTGACTCCCAGGAGAGGAATCTTTCCATTTCCTCCAAAATGCCACTGGGAATTGGCATTGGGGCCCATTTAGAAGTCTAGGCTCACAGACTATTAGAACTGGAAGGGCCTTTAAAGACCAAATTCAAACCATTCATTTTGGATATGGAGAAACTGGCCCAGAGTGAGGGAGGGCTTTGTTCAAAGTCCCACTATTAATCACCAGGAGAGCAGGGACGGACCCTGAGTCTCTGCAGCCTGGTAGGGTTGAATTAGCCCAGAATTTGGTCTCCAGAGGATGTATGCTCAAATCCCAGATAGGTCACCTACAGGGGCAGCTAGATGGTACAGTGGATAGAGCACCAGCCCTGGAGTTAGGAGGCCCTGAGTTCAAAAATCTGGCCTCAGACACTTACTCGCTGTGTGGCCCTGGGCAAGTCACTTAACCCCAACTGCCTAAAAAAACAACAGATAGGTCATGTACAATCTGTGTCACTCTGGCCAAGTTGCTTTCCCTTTCTGGCCTTCATTTTCCTAATTTGTTCAATGAAGGGGTTAGCCTAGATCACAGATTTAGACCTGGAAAGGACTCAAGTCCAACCTCCTTATCTGACAGATGAGGACACCGAGGCTGAGAGAGGTGATGTGATCTGCCCAAGGTCACCTAAGGGTTCAAAGCTAAGTTCTCTGACTCCAAAGCCAGCAGGCTCTTCATTGGATTACCCTTACGTCACTCAGGTCTCTCCTAGCTCTAAATTCTTTGAAGAGTGGAAAGAGCCCTTGAAGTAAGCATGAATTAGGAGAAGCGGCTTTGAGTCCTGGCCCAAAGGCAACTAGTGGCAGAGTGGACAGAGTGCTGGACCTGGTGTCAGGAAGTCCTGAGCTCAAATTCAGCCTCAGATACCTACTGGCTGTGTGACTTTGGGCAAGTTATTTAATCTCTGGTTGCCTCAGTTTCCTCAACTGTAAAATGAGGATAATAACAGTACTGACCTCCCAAGATCAAATGAGATAATTATAAAGTGCTCAGCACAGTGCCTAGCATATAGTGGCCACTTATTAACTGTTTGTTTCACGTATAACCTGTATCTGATTGCTCACTGCCTCAGGGACAGGACAGAGAGGGGGAGAGGAGGAGAGAAAGAGAAAGAGAGAGGGGAGGGAGGGAAAAAGGGATAGAATTTGGAACCAAAACTTAAAAATTTTTTAAAAGAATTTTTTAACATTAATTGGGAAGAAAATTTATATCTATTTTAAAAAGGATAACAAATGCTTGTTCCCTTTCTTCTTCCCTTGGCTTTGCTACTAAGTGGTACAGTAGTGTTATCTTGGCCTAGTCAACTCCTCCTCCATGGGCCTGTTTTCCTATCTGTAAGATGAGATGGCTGGAATCACACAGAGGACCTTGGGTCCAAATCCTCTGTTAGCTTACAATAGCTCCTTTTCTCTCCCTGGGCCTCAATTTTCCTATCTGCAAAAGGAGAGGAAGTAGGAATCACTCCTGACATGACCTCAGTCCACATTCCTGACCTACCACTAACTTTCTTGTCTCACTTTAAAAGTGTCTGTAAAAGAGGTTCCCTCCACTTTACAGATCTCTGTAGAAGACTTAGGTAGAAGTAGATAATCTATAATTCTATATGACTTCCAGGCTAGGGCACTGAACTGTTACTTATACTGCTTTAACAACTGACTACTTAACTGTCTAGGTGTTGGGGGAGGTCAAGGAAGCTGTCTGAGCAGAAGTGAGAATACGGGGCCTCTGAGGACCCTTTTACCTCCTTTAATCCAAGGTTCTTGGGCATCGTAAGCCCATTCCACCTTCCTAGGTTGGGGTGGATACACATAGGCATGTGATGGGGGCCACCTCCAGCCCTAAACTGCTACCAGGCCAAGGCCTTCTCTTTCACCACATCATTCCTACTGCTTAACTACAGCCACATCCCTGTATTCCAGGCTGGATCAGGGGTGAAGGGTGACAGCTAGGGCAGGGAGGGTACTTCCCTTCCAACTCAGACCATCTCTGCTTCTTGATAACTCTAGTCTAGGTCTCATTCTGTCAGTCCACTTCACATTAAACACTATTGCCAGGTCCTCAGGAAAGGAAGGGCAGTAGCACTGAGGGCTGTGGGAGTGAGGATGGCCAGCAGGCAAGCAGGACTGTAATGAGGTTAGAAATGGTCCAGATAGGACAAACATATGATTACACATAACTCCCAATCCAGGGCTCATTCCACCAGCCCACTACACACCCATTAACTAAGGCCATGTCCCCAGCAGGGGACTGATTAACTAGGGCGGCTTCCCTAGCAGAGATGGGGGTTGGGCAGGCATGACTAGGGTGGGGCTTGGATGGTTTTTAAGGTCTCTTCCAGATCTGACAACCAAGGATTCTGAATGCCTCCTGGCCAGGGCGCTCCATCCTCCCCTTTCCCCTTCCCCCCACCCTATTTCATCCCAGCAATGGAAAGGGATAGGGACAGGGCAGGCAAGGCTGGAATGGGGCTCGAGATGGTCTTGGGGGGTCTCTATCAGCTCTGGTAACCCATAATTCCCATCTCCCCCCCTACAAGCAGGTAATCGGGGGAAGGGCAGGCAGGGTTAGAAAGGGGCTCGAAATGGTCTTGGGGGTCCTCACCAGATCTGATAACCCATGACTTTCATCTCCCCTCCCCCAGCTAGGCCCCCAGAAGGTAATGAGGGGAAGGGGAGGGGCAGGCAAGGCTACAATGGGGCTCCAGATGGTCTTGGGGGTCCCTAGCAGCTCTAATAACCCATGACTCCCATCTCTCCCCTCCCCCAACCAGGCCCCCAGGAGGTAATGAGGGGAAGGGAAGGGGCAGGCAAGGATAGAATGGGGCCCGAGATGGTCTCGGGGGTCCGCAGCAGCTCTGATAACCCATGACTTCCATCTCTCTCTCTTCTCCTCCCTCCCCCCAACCGCCGGGCCCCCCCGCTGGGGATGGACTTGGAGGGGGAAGGGGCAAGCGGGGGAGGGGCGGGGTCTCCTCCGGCCGGGCCAGCGGCGGAAGGGAGGGAGGCCCGGCGTGAGGAGGCCCCGGGGGGGGGAGGGGGCTTTTAACGTCTCTCCCCCCAACCACCTACTCAGCAGCAGCAGCCGCCACTCCCGTCCGCCGAGCGCAGGCGCAGGCCCCGCCGCCTCCTCCGCCGCCGCCCCCGGCGGTCCGGCACCGGTACCTCGGAGCGGTAGCCGCCGCCACCTCCGCCCATCGCCTGGGCCAGCACCGCGGCTCTCATGACAACCGAGCCCGGGCCTGGCGGGCGGGGGCCCCGGTGCGCACGCGCCTGGCCGCACGCTCCTCCCTCGCCTCCCTCCCTTCCCCGGCCTCTCCAGTCGCGCACCTGCGCAGAGGGGACGGAACTCTCCGGCGCCTTCTGGGGAGTGTAGTTTCCTTCCTCAACTCTTGCCTTGCCGGGCCCGCTGTGCAGCTGCGCAGAGGGGAAAACCAAGTCGCAGAGTCTTCTGGGCAATGTAGTTTGTCCTCGGAGGGCAAGGTGACTTGCTTTTTAGCTGTTTTGCTCCGTAGCTGCACTAGCCCCGATCCCAGCGGGCGGGCGGGCTGGGTCCGGACGGCTCCGTCGAGCAATCCTCCGGCTGGTCCCCGAAAAAGGTGTTTCTGCAGAAGTCTGCAATGTCCAAGAGGCCCCGGACCTTCAAGCTGCGGGCGCTCCACAGCCAGGACAAATACGGGGTGGCGGGAAAGAACTGCCAGGAAGTGTTGCTGAAAGGATGTCAGAAATTCCAGGTCCTCCAACTGCGCCCCCTTTTCCGAATCTTTCTCCTTCCTCCCGACCTCTCTGGCCTCGAGGAGATCGGGGGGGCACCCCCTTCTTTGCTTCTGCGGTCGCTCCCGCTGCACCAGTCTCTAACCCCTCTCACCCTCCTCCACTGCCCCCCGACGGGGCGGTCCTGGGCTTGGGGAGGAGGCGGGAGCTACATCTCGCAGGCAGATGGGAGCCACAGCTGCCATTCTGGGGGCCGGGGGTTAGGATGGGGGGAGGGAGGAGAGAGGAGACGGCTCTTGGCCGGAGCATCTCGGGAGCTTCGGCGCTGTTTTTTTGCACCCCGGAAGATCACGATCGGCCCAGCTCTGAGCAGCCCAGGCCCGCTGCAGACTCCTTGGGGTCCGCGGGGATCCGGCCCGAGGGGCAGATCTTGTGTTCGGTTGCAGGAGATGGGGCATGCCCATCCCGGGGGCCGCAGATGATATAACAGCCCCTTTCATGCCTGCTTAGACCATACCCAGGCTGGCTAGTCCAGTCACTCGAGGCTGGACTCAGTGGAATCGTTTAGCATTGCCTGAACAGCTCCTTATAGCTAATTATTAGCTAAGACCTGAGTTCAAATCCTGCCTCAGACACTGTGTGACCCTGGGCTAGTCCCTTAAACTCTTCCCTAGTTCCTTCCTTTGTAAAATGGAGATAATAATAGCATCTACGTCAGAGTGAGCTGTCATGAGGCTCACACGAGTATGTACAGCTCTTGGTAACCCATAATAAAATGCTCTAGGTAAATAAATGCTAGTTATACGGCTGTTATTGTCAGTTTCCTCGGTAGCCTTTGGGTCCTTTAGATCCTTGACCTCTTTTGAGTTTTAATACACTAATAGATAATAGCAACTAGCATTTATAAACGTTTAGGTTTACAAAAGCATATATTATCATCTCATTTCATCTTCACAACCACTCATCTTAAGAGATGAGGAAACACAAGCAGAGATATTAGGGTGAAGTACCTGAGATAGGACTTGCATTAAAATGGTCCTGACTTCATTAGCCCTCCCTTCCATGCAACAACAACCCTGGGAGACAGATGCAATTCATAATAGCTAAGAGTTATTTATGTAATATAGTGCTTTAAGATTTGCAAAATGCTTTACACAGATTATTTAATGCTCACAACAAGCCTATTATTACTCATATTTTGCAGATGAGGAAATTGAGGCACAGAGTTAAGGGACTTATCCAGGTCACTTGGCTAGTAAAGTGCCTGAGGTAGGATTTGAACTTTGGCTTTCCTAACAACTCCTAGGCTAGCTTCAGTGGTGGGTAGTGAAGGATTTATTTCCCTGCCTTGATTAGAGGGTCTGAGGCCCTGAGAGGTATAACATGCTTCCCCCCCCCAACACATGATTTAGAGCTAGAAGGGTCTTTGGAGATGGTCTAGTCTTGGTGGTATCATACTCAAATAGAAACTGGGCCACTAAACTGTATATAGGGATCCACGGGGGCAGCATACTGACTTAGAAAACCACATATGTTAATGTTGGTTTGTTGTTCAGTCACGTCTCATCTCTTTGTGACCCCATTTGGGGTTTTCTTAGTGGTCTGCACAAATATATGCAAATTGAATATAGAATATTTTAAGGCCCACTCACAACTAGGGGCTTGAGCTCAGCCTTGAAGGCAGTTGGGAATTCCAAGAGACAGATCAGAGCAGGAGAACATTTCAGGCACAAAGTGGGAGCTGCGCAGAGAGTTTAAATTACTCTGATATGTGTGTGTGTGTGTGTGTGTGTGTGTGTGTGTGTGTGTGTGTGTATGTGTGCATAAATGTGTGTGTATGTGTGTGTGACTTTGGGCAAGTCACTTCCCTTTCCTCACATGAGGGAGCTGGACTAAATGACTTCTGAAGTCCCTTCCAGCTCTAGGCCATGATCCTAAGTCACCTAACCTTGTGCCTCAGTTGCCTAACCAGTAAAATGAAGGGGTTGGACTGAATGACTGAAGTTGCTTCCAGGTGTATCTCTGGGAGCCTGTGATCTATCTAGCCACTGTGCTGGATGAACTTCTAGAGGTGTCAGTAGGTAGCTGTGTGATCCTTAGCAAGTCACCCAACTCTTTTTGGAGCCTCAGTTACCTCATCTGTGAAATGGGATGTCAGACCTGACTGAACTGCTGCTCTATGAGTATTTTGTTTTCTTCTTCAGCATTTTACTCTCCTTTGCTCATTTCTATGTGATTATTGCAGATAGAAATTTTGATTCCCACCCCACTACGTCTTTGCTGTTGGGTAGGATCATATGCTCAGAAACGACTTTTGTTTTTGATTTTCTCACACAGCTTCCTATTTCTGGCTGCCGCCTGTGTTTGTACGAAGATGGCACTGAGCTCACTGAAGACTACTTCCAGAGCCTCCCTGACAACACCGAACTCATGCTTCTGACCCCTGGTCAGGCCTGGCAGGGCTGTGAGTAGTAGCCTGTACAGACCCCTGGGGATCACGAAATAGATAGGATTAGTGATGTTCATGCAGTGAGGACTCCTGGGTTGCAGTCAAATATGGGAGGAAGTCACTTTCAGGCAAGACAAGCTATGTGTTACTCTTAGGAACCTTGTAACAGAACAAGTCCTACCTATAATAATCAGGGCCCAGGAACGCTATTTGGCATGCCTATTACTTTAAGAATCTTTTCAAAGAGGAAATAGACTGGACACTTTGTTACCCTCAAGTTTCATTCTTTGCTGGAACCCAGATGTGATGATAATCTTTATTCAGCATTGCCTTATATCTGTGCCTTTATGAGCCTTATGGGTCCAAAGAACAGTAACATTTACTTAATTGGTGTTTTTGTCAAGTCCCAAAGCTAGGATTTTTAAAAACATGGAATCAGTAGGATATTTCCCTGCAGAGTTTTTACTATTTGCAGTGATCACTTTTTTGTGTCTACGAAGTCATAAAATATGCAATACATAAATTTTGCAAATGAATTTTTTAAAATTTAAAGGTGCCATCAGCTGGCTCCTGGATCTCTAAAAGGCTGTGTGGCAATGATTAGGGTATATAAATTTTGCAAAAATAAATATTAAATAGTTATTTTGGCAAAGCAGCAGGTTTTATATTTACCTATGATCAGATTTCTCTAATCGAATCTATATATCTTTTCCATCTACTTGTCTAGCACTCCATCTATCTCTATCCATTCATCCAAATATATATCCATTTATCCATCTACCTTTCTGCTATTTATCCATCTACCTTCTGTCTATCCATTTAGCCATTATCCATCTATCCATTCACCTATCTACCCATCTCTCACCTATCTATCCATTTATCTATCTATCCATTCATTTATCCACCTATCTGTCTATGATGGCAGGGATCAAAGACCACCCCCCAATAATCCTAACCTCACAGCAGAGGCCGTTGGTGTAGGGATAGAGTGCTGAACCTGGAGGAAGGAGACACTTGCTTTTTCTAGCACTTTCAGTGTAATCCTAGGCAAGGCACTTAACCTTTCAAGGCCTGGTTCTTCACCTATAAATGAGGGATAACAAAACATGCCCTTGCTCTGATGTTGTTCAGTTGTTTCTGTTGTATCTGACTCTTTGTGACCTCTTTTTTTTTTTGGCAAAGATACTAACTAGAGCAGTTTGCCATTTCCTTTTCCATCTCATCTTTTTTTTTTTTACAGTGAGGAAACTGATGCAAACAGGGGTAAGTGACTTGTCCAGGGTCACACAGCTAGTAAATGTCTGAGGCCAGATTTGAAGTCATGAAGATATGAATCTTCCTGATTCCAAGCCCGGTGGATTATAAATGAAATAATGGATATATCCTAAACTGCTATATAATTAAGGGAGCTGGGTGTAATGGAGAGATTGCAAGATTCATCATTTGAGGGCCTGGGTTCACATCCTAGCCCTTCCTCTTTCTGTAACTTGGGAAAGTCACTTCACCTCTAGGTCTGCTTCTTTATCCATAAAATGAGGGAGTTGCACCAAATGATGTTTCAGGTGCCTTTTAGGTCTAAATTGATGGCTCTATGAATTGTTGGCTATTGTCTCAATTGAAGGACCAATACATTTTTATGCTTCCCATCTTTTTTTTTTAATAGGCAGTTGAGGTTAAGTGACTTGCCCAGGGTCACACAGCTAGTAAGTGTCAAATGTTTGGTCTGAGGCCAGATCTGAACTCAGGTCGTCTTGATTTCAGGGCCAGTACTCTATTCACTGTGCCCCGTAGCTGCCCCTCTGCTTCCCATCTGATCACTGTTAATGAGTACTCTCCTTTGAAAGAAAATACCGTTTTTCTTCTCCTGAATTTCAGTTGTGTGGCCGTTTGCATAAAGGAGAATTATGTTTAAGGAGGCTTTTACTGAGGTATCCTAAAAGTAATTGGATCATAGAACTGGAGCTAGAGGTAGAAAGGACTTTAGGGGTCATCTCATCTAACCCCTGAGGTTACACAGTAAAATGACAGAATGAGGATTTCATCCCAGTGGAAAGGACCTGAATTCAAATCCTGATTCTTACTCTTAACTACTTGTGTAACCCATTCTCTAGGCCTCAGTTGTTCTGCTTTTTTCTTTTTTTGTGAGGCAATTGCGGTTAAGTGACTTGCCCAGTGTCACACAGCTAGTTAAATGTCAAGTGTCTGAGGTCAGATTTGAACTCAGGTCCTCCTGACTCCAAGGCTGGAGCTCTATCCTTTGCGCCACCTAGCTTCCCCCTCAGTTGTTCTTCTATAAAACAAAGTAGTTGGACTCAACGACCTGAGGTCCCTTATGGCTCTAAGTCAATGACATTGAATCTTCTGAATCTCTGGACCATGATCTCCATCAGGAAAAGAGCTGTTTGCTCCATGGGGCATGGGAGGACTTCTTTACTAGAAGATGAGGAGGAGGAGAGAGAAGGGGAGGGGCAGGTCAAGAAAGGAGCTCTAAAGTACCTTACATGTGTCTTCCGTCTCATGGGAGCATCATTTGTTAAGTGTCCTAGGGTCAGCCAGCATGAGGGGCAAGTGTCTTAGGGTCAGCCAGCTTGAGGGGCAGGATGTGAGCCCCACTTCTGGGCTTCTGCTTGCTCTTCTAGAGCAGGCTGCCAGACAATGGAATGACTGTGATGTCACGCCGTGAGGGCAGCCAAGGGCTGGGACACTGCTCTGGCCCCCTCTAGTCCTGACATGGTAAAAGCTGCAAGGAGCTGCAGAGACATCTATCTCCGGTAGGCCCCTTTGTTTCCTTCAAGGCTGTGGTCCTTCTTCCTTTGTTGTTATCCTTACAAATTATTAAGCACTAAGTTTTAAAAATAGTTCAACAAGAGACCTGTGAGAGAGATGAGAAGGTCTGGGTATTCAGACTCTCAAGGAAGGGGCAAAATGACTTAGGTTGATTTGTGCCTAGCAAGGGAAGACACTGGATTCATTTAGGTGGGCTAGAATGAATGTTGCTTTTATTGAATAATAATTATAGCCAGCCTTTGCATTATACCTATTATGTGCTGGGCATTGTGCTAAGCACATACCCTGTGAGGTAGGTGATGTTATAATCCCCATTTTACAGTTAAAGAAACTGAAGCAAACAGGTTAAATGATTTGCTCAGTCACACAGCTAAATTTGAACTTGAACCTTCCTGACCTAAGACCTAGCACTGTATGCACTATGGTGCCACCTAACTGCCTCGAAGGACCACAGGTCCTTTCTCAAAGCACATTCCATCTTATCTCATTTAACCATCACCAAGACCTTGTACGGTATAAAGGGCAGGTATTATTATCCTCCTGTGAGAGATAAAGAAGTGTTGAGGGCAGAGATTGTCTCATTTTTGTTCTCTCTCCAGCACCTAGCAAAGTGTGCCTGGTACATAAAAAGCAATTCGTAAAATGCTCATTTGTTTTATCAGTGTATCCAAGGTTACAGAGGTTCAGAGTCAGGACCACGGTCAGGGGCTTTAGACCCAGCAGGCACTTTCAAGACCATCTGTTCGAGGGTTGGAAACTGTTGGCAGCCTTCGGAACCCAATAGACTCCTTTTCAGAGTAATATTTTTCAATGCATAAAATAAAATACGCCGATACAAAGGAAACCAATTACATTGAAATACTGCTATCAAAATATTGAAAATGAAACATTCAAGCACCATAGGCTAAGAACTACTGATGTAGTCCAACCCCAACCTTAGAGACCATCTAGTGATTTTGTAGAGGAGAAAACTGGTATTAAGAGAAGGTATTTTATATACATGCACACATATACATAGACACACATACACACATATATATGTATGTGTTGTGTGTACTGTATACACACATAAACACACACATGCATCTAGGTGGAGCAGTGGATTGAGTGCCCACCCTAGAATTAGGAGGGCTCATCTTCCTGAGGTCAAACCCAGCCTCAGACACTTACTAGCTGAATGACCCTGAACAAGTCACTTAACCCTATTTGCCTCAGTTTCCTCATCTGTCAATAGAGCTGGAGGAGGAAAACGCAAACTACTTGGATCTTTGCCCAAGAAACCCCCAAATGAGGTCATAAAGAGTCAGACACAACTGAAACAACTGAACAGCAACAAAATATATCAGAAGAAGGGATTCTGTATGTCAAAAAGATGTAACTTCCTTGAGGGAAAGGACTTTTTCCTTTTATTTTCTTTGTATGCCGAGCACAATGCATTATAGTGGGGCCTTATGTTGATGCTTGTTGAATTGAATTGCCAAGGACCATGGATTTAGAACCTGAAGGGATGTGTAGATCCTGGGTCATCCAGCCCCCTTATTTTATAGGTGAATTAGTAGCAGAGCACGAGAATTTGCCCTCAGATATTCTGGATCTAGATGAATGCTGTCTTTCAAGAATCCCATTGTCTGGATTCTCAGCCCAGAGCTTTCTACACATGACCATGGAGCTGGAGACGATTGCCCATCCGCACTGATGAGAACAGGTGTAACCTGGCGATGTAGAATTACAAGTTCTCTGAGGGCGGGGACTGCTGTTCATCGCTGTCTTTGTATCTTCTTCTCTGTAGCACGGCGCCTGACACACATCACTGTCACTTAAATACTCGTTAGCTGCCTGGCACAAAGTAATCATTTGCTAAATGGTTGTTGCATAACATTAAACCAGGACCGATTTTGATTAGGACTAAGGACGATGACAGGTGTCAGGAGGCTGGGGCGTATTACGTGGCGTAGCCTCTTTTCTGCAAAGTTCTAAAAGTAGGATAGAAACCTTGGTATTGTATCAGTGGAATTGGTCGTGCCCGGAAGCAGGGGGCGTGGGACTCTTGTGGTCCCTTCTAATTTCATCTATAAAATGGGGATAATAATAGCATTTATCTCCTAGGGTTGTGAAGATACATGAAATAGCATTTGTTAGGTGCTTTGCAAACCTTAAAGCATTATTTATGTAAATGCTTTGTTGTTGAGTTGTTTTTCAGCCTTTTCCAACTCCTCATGACCCTGCTTGGGGTTTTCTTGGCAAAGATCCCGGAGTGGTTTGCCATTTCCTTCTCCAGCTCATTTTACAGATGAGGAAACTGAGGGAAATAGGATTAAGTGACTTGCCTAGGCTCACGTGGCTAGTAATGTTTGAGGCTGGATTTGAACTCAGGTCTTCCTGACTCCTGGCCTGGTGCACGATCCACTGTGCCACCTAGCTGCTGCATGTAAATGCTAGCTAGTCATTATTCTGGGATTTCATCCACAAGTGCGTTCAGAGGCATGGACCCAGCGTGTGCCTCTGCCTGCTGGGAATTTGTGTTGCACAGTCTTATATAATGTATGTCTTTTTTATTTCTAGTGTTCTAGGGTTTTTTTTAAAATTTGAATTCTATTTTAAGTTTTACCAATGTCTTTTGTTTTTACCTCAAGGCATTTCTTAATATGCCTTCCTGCCACTGAAACATCATCCTCTTTTCAAAAGCAAAGGTCAAGCGACAATAACAGTTTTTAACAATAGAAATAGTTAAGCCAAACTATTGTGGTGCAAATAGAAGGAGTCTTACTTCAGAAGTCAGAGAACCTAGGTTCAAATCTTACCTTTGGTCCTTACTACCTGTGTGACCTTGGACAAGTCTCTTAAACTCCCTGCACCTCAGTTTCTCCATCTGTCAAATGAGGGGGTTGGATCAGGTGCTCACTGAAGGCCCTTTTAAAGGCTGTAATTCTATGACTCTTTGACCAGCCAGCAGCATGAGCGTGTCTGAGAGCATGTCCATTTCCTCCCCTCTACTTCTTTTTTTAATTATTATTATTATTATTTTTGGTTAGGCAATGGGGTTCAGTGACTTGCCCAGGGTCACACAGCTAGTAAGTGTGATGTGTCTGAGGCCGGATTTGAACTCGGGTCCTCCTGAATCCAGGGCCGGTGCTTTATCCATTGCGCCACCTTGCTGCCCACCCCCCCCCACTTCTTTACCGAGAGGAGGAAGGCGTGATTCCTCACTTATTCTCTGGCCCTATGATTGGTCCTTAGAGTCAATCAGAGTCTGTGACTGCCTTTTGGTATGATTTTTATTTATTGTTATTGTATCATTCTTTTATTGCTGCACTCTGGATCGGTTCACTCAGGTCTGCTCTGGGTTTGTTTAGGGGGTTCAACGTCCAATTAACAGACCTTTGTCTTCATCTAGGTGAGGAGGAGCCTTGAAGGCAAGATTTGCTTCTTTTCACCTAGACAAAGTAAGGTCCTGAAAGCCAAGACTGGCCTCTGTTCCTTCTCAGAACAAAACCGACTTCCCCATGAAGTAGTGGCTAGAATGGAAATGAGAATGCACCATTTGCGTTAAATGGTACTAATAATTCCTACCTCTCAGTAGTTTGGGAGGCTTAATTATTTGTAAAACAAGCACTTGAAGGACTTCGGGATGGAGGATGTAAAGAAAGTATAGTATCTCATGAAAGCAGCAATAAAAGCTAATGGTTCCTGTCATGTACCAGAGTTAGCTTTTTCCATATTGTACCTTTCAAAGTAGCTCAGTTGGGTGGATGAGAAACTGTAGTTAATTTCGGGATAAGAATGTAATGAAGAAAATTACTTTCCTCTCCTCTAAATGTGAGCTGAGTTACTATGGGAATCTGGAGTTCTAAAATGATAGCTCTTATGTCTTGAATTAAAGTCCTGAAAGCCTTTTTGGACCCCACTGTGGCCTTCATGGTGAGGTCTGGAAGGAGTAACCTTACAAAGTGCTCCGTGCATGCTGTTTGTTTTTCCTTCTTGGCGGCAGATATCAGCGACATCCATCGCTTCCTCACCATATTCTACCAGCCGCAGGCGGACGTCATTCAAGCAGCTCAGAAACTGCTCTCTGATGAGCGAGCTCCCTTGAGGCAGAAGCTTCTTGCGGACTTCCTTCACAACATTAGCGAAAACATCCAGGCAGAAACCCGAGAGGAGGATGGGCCATGGTTTGAAGGCATGGTCTGGGTTATTGCTCCCTCAGAGGGCTGGTTTATTAACTGTCACGAGATGTGGGGGTGGAAGGTGCTCCCCTGAGCCAGGAAGTTGAGTCCTAGCTAGTTATCCAAGCAAACTGGACCAAGAAGAGATCAGAGTATGTAATGTGTGGTTCAAGGAAAAGGGTGCTGGATATGGAGTTAAGAGGCCTGGTTTCAGATCTTGGATCTGCCACTTGCTAGCTGTGTGACCTTGGGCAAATCAATTTATCTCTCTCAGTTCCTCATCTGTCAAAGGAGGGGGTTGTACCTGATGCCCTCTCAGACCCTCTCGGGTCAGAACCAATGAGCACACTTCTCTGAGGCTCGTTTGGGCTCCCCTACTTCTGAATTGGGCTGAGAACCTTCTGTCCACAATAACCGAGCAATCCAACAAGGATTACTTGGGGACCTCATAGAAGTCCTGCTTCTCATCCTGGTTGGCTTTCAGATATAAGGATTGGTATGAAAACATGAAGTTAAGAGACAGTGTGGGGCAGTGACAGGAGTAATTGATCTGGAATCCGAAGATTCAAATCTCCTGATGGCTACTTTCTACCTGGGTGACCTTGGACAAGTCATTTAACTTTTTTGAGGCTTTGCTAATCTGTGAAGTGAGGGGGTAGGACTATTTAGCCTTTAAAGTTCCTTCCATCTCCAAACCTGTGATCCTGTGATTAAAATATATGATGGGATCTCGGATTTCAGACTTCATCAGCACAGGAGACTTCTTTCCCAATGTAGATCGCTACACTTGTTTATTTCTTGGATTCGTCCTAGGTGCCACCCAAAGGGTGACAGGATCATTGACTTAGAGCTGAAAGGGACCTTCGAGATACTTTAATCCAGCACTCTTTATTTTACATGTGAGCAAACAGCTCAGGGACATCAAATGACCTGGCCACAGTCACACAGCTAATAGATGTAAGGGGAAGAATTTGACCCCAGATCTTCCTAACTCCAAACTCTACATTCTGTCCACTGTGCTATCCTGCTGGTATAAAGGTCTATGTATCACCTGAATGATGCTCTTACTGGGAAAATGAGTGTATAGACCTGAAAATCTGAACTAGCAGGTGGAGGACCTAATTCTCTTGCTTCCCAAGAGCTGAAAGTTTTTGTGGATGGTGATATCTTTGTGTGTGCTAGTGGACGAGAGAGCTATTATGATGTTCTTTTAAGAGTTGCATTCTCTGCTACTAAGCTAACTGTAAGGAATTCTGTATTGTTATGGAACTCTACTTTTGAGCCAGAGGATCTGGGTTCAAATCTTGTCTCTGTTACCACCTGGTGTCTAATAATGATATGTTTACATTATTATATATAAATAATAGCTTATGTAGCTAATAATATAATAATATATTTTTATATATTATATAATAAAATAATATGTTATATATTTTATATAATAATAGCTTGTGCATATGTATATATACATACATAATATATTATTATATATAATGTATTAAATATGTATATAGTCTTACTATGTGTCAGGTACCATGCTAAGCTCTTTACAAATAATACCTAAATTGATCCTGACAACAACCCTGGGAGGTAGGTGCTATTACTTTTCTCATTTTACGGATGGGGAAACTGAGACTGAGTCTAAATAATTTGCCCAGGGTCACACAGCTTTCAACTCAGGTCTTCCTGACTTCAGGCCTGGTTCTCTCTGCACTGTTTCACCTAGCTCCCTCCAGGCCTCAGTTTCCTCATATGAAAAATAAAGGGGTTGACCTACATGGCTTCTAAGGTCCTTCCTAGCTGTAAATTTGTGATCATATAATCTTATTTCTCAAAATTCAGGCAGTTTTTCAGGATGGGACCTTAGAAGTCTTGGCTAAGAAAAGCCCATGAGGATAAACATTTTGGTCAAGAGAGCAGATCTATGAATCTGAATCCCCGGTAGGGGATCCTTGTCCTTTGCCATTGGGAAAACCTTTTCTGTCCCACTGGTGTGCTACATGTCAGTATTCTCTCTTTCCTTCCAGGTTTGGAGTCTCGGTTTAGGGATAAGTCTAGCTATTTGAGGTATAGCTGTGAGAGCCGCATACGGAGTTATCTGAAAGAGGTGAGTGTCTGTTCAAAGCCAGGTCTGTTGGCTGTCTGGATCACTACTGTGTTGTGAGATGGACCGTATAGGAAGAATTCCAATCCAGGAAACTCTGGTAGGATTGCTTCCCATGGTCCTGGGTCCTGCTTTTGGCCAGGCGCTCAGCCAACTCCTCTGTTGCAGCTTTGAAGATAATGAGGAAGAATTCTTGCCCTCCATTATTTCAGAATCTTAGTATTGTATAGTTGTAGGAATGCTGCTTCCGGAGTCAGAAGACCTGGGATCAAATATTGCCTCTGACTTGTATTACCTCCTTGGCCTTGGGTGAACCACTTAACCTCCCTGGACCTCAGTTTCATCATCTGTAAAATGAGAAATTGGTCTAGATTCCATCTTGAAGCTATGCCATCTATGATCCTATGGATCAGTGGAGGAAGTGGTGGATTGGGGTATCAGGAAGAGCTGAATTCAAATCCTGCCTAAGATACTTACTGTCTGTGTGACCCTGGGCAAGTCACTTAACCTCTGTCACCAGGAGGATCACCAGAGGTCTAGTATAACCTCTTCCTTTTCCAAATAAGGAAACTGAGGCATGGCAGGTGAAGTGATTTGCCCAAAATCACACAGATAGCTCTGCCAGTTAAGTAGCAAAGCTGGGATTTGAACCCAGATTTCTGTAGAACCATTTAGTTGTAGAGATCTTTTGTTTTTCTGTTATTTTTGAGGCAGCTTAGGTGGTTTAGTGGGTAGAGAGTTGGAACTGGACTCAGGAAGACCTGAGTTCAGCCTCTGCATCAGATACTTAATAGCTGTGTGAACCTGGCAAATTATTTAACTTCTCTGTACCTCAGTTTCCTTATCTGTAAAATGGGATTAATAACAGGCATCTACCTCCTAGGGTTGATACGAGAATAAACTGAGTACTTTATAAATCTTAAAGTGCTATATAAATGCTGTTATTATTTATTATTTTTATTCTTGAGATCTTTTTTTTGGGGAAGAGGGCAATTAGGGTAAGTGACTCACCCAGGGTCACACAGCTAGTAAGTGTCTGAGGCCAGATTTAAACTCCAGGGCCAGTACCCTATCCACTGCACCACCTAGCTGCCTCTCTTGAGATCTTATACTTTGCTATTAAAAACTATGATCATAAAATCATGGCTTTTAAGCTGCAAGGGACCTGAGAGTTCATTTAGTCCAGCCCTCTCATGTTACAGATGAGGAAGCTGAGGGCTAGAAAGGTCTTGTTCCTTGTCCCACTTAACTCATAGCTAAGGTCACACATGCTCTAAAATTTCCTTCAGGCTTTAAAAAAAGTGAGGGCAAAGTAGTGGGTCCATTTTCAAGGCATTCTCAAAGAAGGATTCCTTGTACTCAGGCCTTGTTAAGTGTCTTAACAGATTTTGCATCATTTTCACTGGTGGAAGAATGCTACCAGGTCTCTGTTTTTCCCGACCTGCAGGATGACAGCTGGTGCTATTGTTTCCAAGGGGCCTAAATCTCCGTTTTCTCTTCCTGCCTCTTCCCACCCATTCTGCCCTGGCTGAACATAACATTTGTGTTCTTCTGTAGCATCGAAGAGTACACTTCCTGGCACATAACAAGTGCATAGGACAGCTGCAGGCGTGTTGCGCCTTTCCTCTGGGTCAAGCCCAATCAGATCATCTGTTGATGAAAACATGAACCCTCAAGGGCTCTCAGGTTGATGATATGTACGTGCCTTGCTTGAACTTAGCCTAATAGGAAGGCAGTGGGATGCTTCCATGGATACAGGGCCTACCAATAAGCCTGGATAGATGCCCCAGTAAATACAGATGCAAGTGAAGGTGCTGGGCTTTATTCTCATTTTTATTTTTGAAAGTGCAGTCTTTGCAATTCTATGCCCTCTTGTCTCTTGCATTTGTCCCCTTCTCACTTATACCACACACATCCTCATTCATCATTGCCTCTGCCTAGACTCTTAGAAGAGCCTCCAGATGGGTCTCTTTGCATCCATTCTTTCCCCTCTGCAGTTCAGCCTCCAAACGACTTCCAAAGAACGTGTCTGACCATATGGCCCCGCTGCTCAACAAGCCACAGGATCCTGCTGCATCCAGGATAAAACAAAACTCTTTTGTTTGGCATTTAAAGCTGGACCTTTGCCTTTCTTTCTAGGCTGGTTATATATTTCTCTTCCTCCTACACTTAGTGCTATACTATTGCTTTTTCCTATAAATGACATTTGGGACAGCTAGGTGGCGCAGTGTCAGAGCACTGCAGTAGGGAAGACTTCTTCCTTAGTTCAAATCCAGCCTCAGGCACTTCTGAGCTGTGTGATCCTGGGCAAGTTGCTTAACCCTGTCTGCCCCAGTTTCCTCACCTGTCAAATGAGCTGGAGAAGGAAATGGCAAACTGCTTCAGTATCACTGACAAGAAAACCCAAATGCGGTCATGAAAAGTCAGACTTGACTGAAACAACTGAACAATAGATGACATTGCATTTCCAACCTCCATACTCAGGTTATACTCCTGCATCACCTATACCTCTAGTACTCTCTAGTCCCTTCTAGGTTCAGTTCATATGCCATTTCCTTTGAGAAGCTTTCCTGATTATCTCTCCACCATCCTCCCTCCCACCCCAGTTAATGCCCCATGCCAATTTGCTTTATTTTGTATTTATTTTGTATCTGTTTACCTAATTGGCGACTATGTTGTATCCTTGAAACTTCAGCCTGGCATTTAAAAAAAAACTGGACTAGATCTGTCATTTTGTTGATGTCAGAAATTCCCAGTGAGGAAATTCCTTATACCACTGTATCTTCTATGTAGGTTTATAGGCTTAGAGAGCTCTTCTCATGATGAAGCCAACTCTTTATTTCTATGCCTGAGGCACCTCTTACCTTATGGCTAATAAATGTTTATTGATCAGTTGAAAGCTGGGACACTTCACTAGACCCACCTGAAAAACGTGTTCTATTACACCATCTGTCAGATGGAAGTGAAAGATCTGTGTCATGTCTTGTATGATTGATCCTCTGGGCTTCCTTCCTGTCTTCTTATAGGTGAATGCTCATGCCTCCACCCTCGATCCCCAGCTTCGAGCAGAGTATCTCAAAATCATCAGCCAAATGTGCGAGAAACTGAAATCAGTGCGCTACAATGGCAACTACTTTGATAGGAGAAACAAAGGGAGAGAACGTCTTTGCACCGCAGAAGGCTGGTTCTCTTGTCAGGTGGGTGGTAGGGCATTCGCTCAAGAGGGAGCCACTATTGCCTATGGGACCGGACCTCAGGACCCCAGTCTGCTCTTATCTTGAAGGGCCTCTAAGTCCTGATCTGGGGTTGTAGGGAACCAAATTGGAAAGTATATGGAAGTACTTAACTTTTTAGTGAAAAGGAGGTTTTTGCCTCCCTCCCTTTTCCACTTAGAATCCCAGAATCTCAGAGATAGAAGGAATCTCAGAGGCCATTTAGTCCAATCTGCACCTGTGAGATTCCCTCCTACAGCAGCCCCAGCAAGTGGTCATGCAATCGTCTGTGGGCCTGAACTGATGAATTCCCTGAATAAAGGGAGAATTGGTATTAAATAGAGGTCTGATTGTTGTGAGCTTTAAATGCCAGACAGAGGGGTTTGCATGGAAGGGGTGGGGGGGGTGGGGAGAAAAAGAGAGCTCGCCATAACTTTTGGTTCTTTTAGAAGTAAGAAAGGGGAGATTAACCACAACTGGTGGCATTGCCAGTATAGACCCAATCCAGTATCCTGTAACAGAATGATTAATGGACCTGGAGAAGAAGTATCCAGGATGGTAGATTTTGAGGTAGGAGGGACCTTAGAGGTTATGAGATCTAATGCTCTCATTTTGCAGATGACACCGAAGCCCAGAACTCAGTTCCTCTGATTCTAATCCTAGTTTTCTTTATCCTACCTCCTTCAATGGCATGCTCCAGGGATCTGTCCTTGGCCTTGTTCTGTTCAATATAGTTTAAAGATTTCATTAGTATCTTTTGCTTGCATGGTGTATATCAGCTTCATCTCCAAATCTCTCCATATTTCCTCCCTGCTCAGACAGTGAGCCTTTGTAACAAAGAATAAAAAAAAAAGAGGAAATAAAACAAACAAACAAACAACTCGGCAAAACATAACCAACACTGCCTGTTCAATATTTTTTATCCGTTACTCAGGTGGAGATAAGAGATACCTGCTTATCCATGTGGCAGGTGGCGCAAAGCTAGGAGGCTTAATCCTTACATCTGATGAAGCCACTGGCATTCAAAAAGATCAAAACAGGTTAGACCAGTGGGCTAAATCTAAGGGGACTCAGTTCAATAAAGAGAAATGTAAAAGCCTACTAAGGAATTAAAAAACAAACCAAAACATGACTGTATAAGGAGAGGACAGGAAAGGTGTGTCCAGGCAACAGTTCATGTCCACAAGATGTAGGGGTGTCAGTGGACTACCACGTGAGTCAGCAGTGTGTTCTAGCAGTGAACTTTGGCTGTGTTAATAGGATCAGAGCCAGGGCAATGCATTCCCTTTAATTGTATTAATTAATTAATTAAGTTAATTAATTAATTAATTGAATTGATCCCCTTCTGAGAGCACCCCCAATTGATCCTATGTCTTGTTTATACGTAGTTGTTTGCCTGTTATGTCCCCTGTTAGACTCTGCATTTCTTTTCTTTCTTTTTTTTTTAGGCAATTGGGGTTAAGTGACTTGCCCAGGGTCACTCAGCTAGTAAGTGTTGAGTGTCTGGTCTGAGGCTGTATTTGAACTCAGGTCCTCCTGACTTCAGGGCCGGTGCACTATCCATTGCGCCATCTAGTTGCCCCCAGAGACTCTGCATTTCTTAAGAGCTGGGACTGTTGTTTGCCTTTCTTTGTGTATCCCGAGCAATTAGCACAGTGCCTGGAACATAGTAGGTGCTTAATAAATGCTTATTGACTTGTATAGCTTTGCTATTCTCGGTCTTGAACAGGTGGCATTTGGAGCCTCATCTTAAGAAGGATATTGACAAAGTGGAGCATCTTAGGAAGGATAGTGACAAGCTGGAGGTTGACCAGGATAGTGAGGATTCTAAAAATCATGTCATAGAAGGGGTTTTGGGTTAAGTGGGAGAAGGTTGATTTTTTTTTTCTCAATATAAGAAAAACTCTCTAATAGTTAAAGCTGTACAAAAATGGTATGTAATGAGCCATCAGACTTGAAATGGAGGCTAGATGACTGATAAAGCAATCAAAAAATATTTTACTGAGACCCTACTATAAGCCCAGCACTGTGCAGGGCACCCATTGATACAAAGACAGAAGAAACAGTTCCTTCTCTTAAGAAACTTAATATCAAATAGGGTGAACAAAGTCAAGGTATGGATAAGGTAGATACAAGGTAACTTTTTTTGGGGGGGGTGGTAAGGTACTAGCCGGGGGAAAGGGAACTAGGAATAGCTTCATGTAGAAAGGAGGACTTGTAATAGGTGAGACTTGAAGGGAACAAGGGATTCTCCTACACAGAGGGGAGGATAGAGTGAATTTCAGGCATTGAAAACAGCCAATGCAAAGGCATAGAAATGGGAGATGGAGTTGTTTCCTTTGAGTAAGAAGAATACTTGTTGGGGAGGTGATAAAGGGGATTCTTATTCCATTATGGTTTGGACTAGCTGAGTACCGAGGTCCTTTGTGACTCTAAGATTTTATGAAAGAAAGCTGCTTCTTTGCCATATGGTTATGGCATGATAGTAGAAATCATTTAGGGCAGCTGGGTGGCATCATAGTGAATAGAGTGCTGAGCTTGGAATTAGGAAGTTCATCTTCCTGAGTTCAAATTGGGCCTCAGACACTTCCTAGCTATGAGACCCTGGGCAAGTCACTTCACCCCATTTGCCTCAGTTTCCTCATCTGTAAAATGAGCTGGAGAAGGAAATGGCAAACTACTTCAGTATCTTTACCAGGAAACCCCCAAATAGGGTCATGGATCATCAGACACAACTGAAACGACTGACACGTAGTTCAGGGGTGGAAGCCTGGGCTTGGAGTTTGAGTGTCAGTGAAATCCCAAGTAGATGGGGGGAGCAGAAACAATCTATGTACCAGAAATGTGCTCGTATTATTCTCCATGTGGGTCAGAGTTTGTGGTAATCATCTTAAAAATGGTTATATATATTATATATTATTATGTATCTTCTGCCTACTATTATATGTGTTATGTTGTTGTTCGGTTGTTTCAGTCATGTCCAACTCTTCATGACTGTTCAGTCATGTCTGACTCTCCATGACCCCATTTAAGATTTTCTTGGCAGAGATACTGAAGTGATTTGTCCATTTCCTTCTCTAGCTTAGTTTATAGATGAAGAAACGGAGGCAGGTAGGGTTAAGTGACTTTCCCAGGATCACATAGCCAGTATCTGAGGCCAGATTTGAATTCTTCCTGACCTTATGCCCAGCACTCGATCCATTTTACCACCTCGCTGCATATATCTATCTATCTATCTATGTATCTATCTATGTATCTATGTATCTATGTATCTATGTATCTATCTATCTATCTATCTATCTATCTATCTATCTATCTATCTGTCTGTCTCTATAGATAGATAGATAGATGTGGATATATGTATGTATGTATATGTTGTATGTTATTATTTATCTATGTCAGGACCTTGAAACAGGGTTGCTTGGATTTGGGTGGAGGGGGAGAGATTCATATGCAAATCAACCACTTCCTTGGCCTCTTCCATTTTTCTTCTGTAGTAGGTCTGGCAGATTTCATCTGGCATGGTGGTGATGAGGACCTGGGGCTTTTGCTAATGCTTTGTCCCTGCTGGGGTGTGAATAGCAATTCAAGTAGCACTTTTTGCCATTTATAAATTGCAAATTGAATTTCCAGCATAATCCACCTCCTGAAGCTGTGGCCTTCCTATAGTTTCTAAGTGGTTTGAGCAGCAGGTGGCGTGATGCTCAGTCTTCAGTCAGTGTCCAAGCAAGGGAAGGGAGATTAAAGACGTCCTGCTGCAGCAGTGTCTTTGGGGGAGACTGCAGTTTTTCTCATTTTTTTTTGTTTATGTAGATGATTGTAAGCAACTCTGGCCATAAAGACATCTTTCCTACAGTTCAACAACTTTCTATTGAGTGTTTACTAGGAAGGCAGCATGCCAGAAGAGCTAACCTTGAATTCACAAAGACCTAAGGCCTACCTTTGACACTTACTGGCTGAGCGATTGTTGCCACTAGATCACTCTTCAAAGCTGTAAATTGTAAAGAAGGTGCCAACTTACAATGGCAGACAGAGTGCCCTCACCGAGAGTTCCCTTTGCCAATGAAATCAGACTCCCTAATCCTTAGCCTTCTGTATAAAGCTAACGTATTAAGAAGAGTTGCGGATATACATCTGAGGAAGGAGTATGTAAACCAGGAGTTCCTTCCTATGATAACCTCACAAGTCTGGAGTCCAGTACAAAGCACTGCTTTATAATTCTGATGATTAGGGCTGTGGAAGTTCAGAAAAGGAAAGATTTTGGTGAAATCAGAGAGGGCTTTGTCTTAGGCTAGGTCTTATGAATTTAGACAAGCCAAGGAGCAAGAGAGGGTAGTCCAGGAGGAGGAAGAAGATACACAAAAGCATGGGAACTACAAGGAGGATGATGATGCATTTTAACTTTGTCTTCTGCTCTTTCCTCATCACCATCTCATCCACTGAAGAGATGTGCTCTGCATAGAAAGAGCCATATATCCATTGTGGTCCGGAAACAACTTCTTTGTACTTCCTTTGTCTATCCCATGTTTGCTAGAACAGTCACAGCAGCGCAGAGCTTGAGAATGGGAAGAGCCCTTGGCAGCGAGCTACTCCAACCCATACGTGAAAGGAATCACTATAATATCTCTGACAAGTGATTATTGAGCCTTGGTTTGAAAGACCTTCAAGGCACATGGTGCTCAATGCGCACAGCAGTGGTGCAGTGGGAGTCTAGCCCTGGCTTTGCCACTAACTAGCTGGGAGATGTTGGATAAATCACCTCTGTCCTTTAACTTCATTCTCTAATTCTGAATAATGAGGGATTGCATTAGATCAGGGCTTCTTAACCGTTTCCCGCTCTTGTCCCCTTCAGCACTTCTTAAACTGTGGGTCGATACCCCATATGGGTCAGAGATGGAAGGGACCTGGATTAGATGACCTCTGAGGTCCCTTCTATCTCTGACCTTCTGTGACCATGTGAAATGAAGACATTTTTTGAGGTACTAAGGATATGAAAATGGAAACTCAGTCAACAAGCATTTATCAAATGCTGATTCTGTGCTATGGCACTATGTGAGGTTCTGGGACACAAACAATGGCAAAAATCACATCATCCCAGCATGTCAGGGCCTACCAATTTAATGAGAGAGGATAGAGAAAGAGAAAGAGATAGGTGAATGGATGGAGAGATGCATGGAGAGATGGTAAATGGGTGTATGGATATATAGATGGATAGGTAGATGGAGAGAAAGGAAGGAAAGAGGAGGAAGAGAGGAGAGAGACAGAGATACATACACACGCACACACACACACACACACACACACACACACACGTACACACATATACACAGAGAAGTCCTGGTAAATGAGAATAGTGGATCCCCTGAAGTAGTTGCAGTATTTTGATACTTAGTATTCTAACTACCTATTTCCACTGGGTTTGAACCAGTTACCATATTTTCCACAGTTAAAATTTCAAGCAGTGTAAATTCAAGTACATTTGGCCACTTGAGGGGATTAATTATTTAAACTAGTCATGATGTGGTTGTATAACATTTATTCATTTCTTATCACGTGCCAGGCACTGTGCTAAGGAATGAGACCCACAAATAATTTTGAAGACAAGTTAGAATGTAATAATACATAATATATAGGTCACTTCTACAGCTAGACTCAGAGTAGGTGCTTTAATAGATGCTTAGTGACTGATTAAATTAGAAAGGGAGAGAACTTATTTTGTCTAATCTGGAGCATAGAACTTAAGAAACTTTCTGGCTGGAGAGTTCATTCATTCATTCATTCATTCGCTCATTCATTCATTTAACAACCATTCATTAAGTGCTTACTTTGTGCCAGGAGCCAGGCTAGGGCTTCAAAGACAAAACCAGAACATTCCCTGCCCTCAGGGAACTTGCTTTATTTTACATCAGCACTTGCTAATATGTCATATTTCAGCCTAGTCTTATAGACATCATACCTGCCCAGATAGAAAGTGTGAGGGACACACGTGAGCAATAAATTAGTTATCCTGACAGTATTTATTAGGCACCCGCTATGTTCCTGGAAGAGGCCTATTGGTTCTGAGCAAAATCTGAATTCTCTAGGCAGAGCTGGAGTTCCTATGGTTCATAGAGTTAGTGGTGCAAGGCTATTCAGGAGGGAATCCTGGCATCGGGAAAATGCTTCTAGAACCAATTGCTAATTAGGGACAAAAACCATCACTGGGTGTAGAGAGGCTGCTGGTGTTTTTTCAATTAATAAGCATTTATGTTCTCCACTTCCATTTGGAAAAAGAAAAAGGAAAAACCAAACCAAAGCCTTGCAACATATGCCCAACCAAGCGAAAGAAATGCATGCATTGGCCATGTCCAAAAATAGATCTCTTCTCCTACCTCGTAAGTGCATCCCCTCTTGATCCAGGAGGTATTACCTAGCTTTTCAGCTTATATTATTGTGAGCTAATTTCCCCCCTCCATGGGAAGCCATCTCCCATTTTATCATAAAATCCAATGGGATAATAGGGTTCATTTTTACTGAAATTCATTTTACTCACCCCTTTGATGGAGGGACGGCAAAATTCACTGGAGTTCAAATCGACTTGTCTCCCATTTTGCCATTTTAGGGTCCTTTCGATTTGGATGCTTGTTTGTCTAAACACTCCATCAACCCCTATAGCAACCGGGAAAGTCGAATTCTCTTCAGCACGTGGAACTTAGATCACAAGTAAGTAAAGCTAGGCATCTTCAGTGCCATTCATGTAGCCAGAGCAAAGTGACCCAACCAAGACAGCAGCATGTCTGCTGTTAATAGGGATGGGGACCAGATATGTGATTTCACTGATACTGGGAGCTCCTTGGTGAAGGAACTCCCTCTACTAATACCTTGCTGTCTTAAGAGAGTTGCCTAGATGGTAAAAGTGAAGTGATTTGCCAAAGGTTAACTAGTCCCCATGTGTCAGAGGCAGGATTTGAACCTACATCAATCTGGCTCCTTCAAGGCCAGTTCTCTATTCTCTGTGCCAGTGGAGTCAAAATCAAATGAAAACGGGGACCACTCAACTATACCTAACAATCCCTACAGGCTTGGAAAACTACATATTAATATCATCTATATTCTATTATCTTTTATTATTAATTTTGCTAAATATTTTCAAATTAAATTTTAATCTTGTTGGGGCAATACACTGGGCTGAATGTTTGGTACTTATGTACTGTTAATTAACCTTATTAGAGTGTCTAGTAACTTATGAAGATACTTAATTTTATAGTGATTGGCTATGGTAGCAAATCAAAGGATGGTGCTGATGCAGAGATGTAGTGGTGCAGTGGGCACAGCATTCTATGTGGAGACAAAAGACAAGGTTTGAATCCTGACTGTGACACTGTGGAACTGGATTACTGTGAACAAAGTCTGGAGAAGACAAGATCTGGGGGCCATGGCGGTTGTTGTCAAATATTTGAAAAGCTGTCTTGTGGGGGAAGGATTGGATTTATTCTGTTTAGCCTCAGAAGGCAGATCCAGGAAGAATGACATAAAGTTACAGAGAGGGTGATTGGAGCTCAATTTCAGGAAAAAATAAACTCTGTAATGATGAGAACCCTACCAAAGCGGAATAGGCTGCCTTGAAAAATGGCAGCTTCCCTTTTCACTGGAGGAGTTCAAGCAGAAGTTAGATGTGTGGTGTGGTGTAGTGGGGGTATAAAAGTGAGCTAGTCCTTAACCTCAAGGAGTTGATATTCTATTGGTGGGGAAAGTACAGATAAGTTGGTATAGGCTATATAATAAATGGGGCACCTAAGTGGCTCCATAGTGCGCAGAGCACTGGGCCTGGAGTTCAAATCTGGTCTCAGACACTGACTAGCTTTGTGACCCTGGACGAGTCACTTCACCCTGTTTGCCTCAGTTTCCTCATCTGTAAAATGAGCTAGAGAAGGAAATGGCAAACTACTCCAGTATCTCTGCCAAGGAAATCCCCAAATGGAGTCATGAAGAGCCAGACATGACTGAAAACAAAGAAATTCGAGCTAATAGTTAAATAGCACCTACTATAAACATAACAGGCAACATGGCATAGTAAATAGAGCTGACCTTGAAGTCAAGACTTATATTCAAGTCTCACCTCTGGTAAATACTAGCAGTGTGACCCTGGCATGTTACTTAATCTCTTAATGCTCTGGGCTTCTCTGTAAGATGCTAAATTTTGGAGACAGAGCTGCCTTGAGCATTGTCACTATCAGTGAGATCATAAGGCATGCCCTTATTCTTATCACTTGTGCCAGGCACTGGGCTAGGGGAATAAAGAGGGAAGAACGTTTAATAAGTGCCTATTGGGCACCAGAAGCAGTGGGTGGTGTAGTGGATAGAAAGCTGGATAGACATCTTCCCTTGCTTTGCCTTCCTATTGTGCTAAGTGCTTTAAAAATATTACCTCAAATAGAGATAAAAATGAAGCAATCCCTACATTCTTCTCTTTTTTACATTTAATTTTTACTTTTTTCTCAATTACATGTAAACAAAAAATTTTACTCATGTTTTCAAATTTTGAGTTTCAAATTGTCTTCCTCCTTCTCTGTCCTCCCTCCTCCTTGACAAGGAAAGCAACTTGATATAGATTATACATGTGAGTCATGCAAAACATTTCCATATTAGCCATGTGGCAAAAGAAAATGCAGACCAAAAAAACTCAAGCATAATAAAAGAAGTTTAAAAAGTATGCTTCAGTTGGCATTCAGACTCCATCAGTTCTTTCTCTGGATGTGGATAGCATTTTTTCTCATAGGTCCTTTGGAATGATTTGGAGCATTAGATTGCTGGGAAGAGCTAAGTCATCTAGTTGATCTCTGTACAATATTGCTGTTACTGTGTATGACGTTTTCCTGGTTTTACTCATTTCACTTTGCATCAGTACGTGTAAGTCTTCCCAGGTTTTTCTGAAAACATTGTGCTCATCATTTCTTATGTCACAATAGTGTTCCATCAGAACCATATGCCACAACTTGTTCAGCCATTTCCCAATTGATGGGCATCCCCTGAATTTCCAGTTCTTTGCCACCACAAAAAGAACTGCTGTAAACATTTTTGCACATATAGATCCTTTTCCATTTTCTTTGATCTTTTCGGTGTACAGACCTAGTGGTGGTATTTCTGGGTCCAGGGATATGCAGTTTTATAGCCCTTTGGGCATAGTGTCAAATTGCTCTCCACAATGGTTGGATCAGTTCCCAACTCCATCAAGAGTGTAGCAGTGTCCCTGTTTTTCCACGTCCCTTTCAACACTAGTAATTTTCCTTTTTTGTAATTTTAGCCAATCTGATAGGTGTGAGATGGTACCTCAGAGCTGTTTTAATTTGCATTTCTCTAAACCATAGTGATTTAGAGCATTTTTTTTTTCATATGACTATAGATAGCTTTGATTTCTTCTTCTGAAGGCTTTCTTTGTGTCCTTTGACCATATATAAATTGGGAAATGACTCGTATTCTTATAAATTTGTCTCAGTTCAGTACATGTTTGAGAAATGAGGCCTTTATCAGAGAAACTTGCTGTGAAATCCCTCACCCCCCCAATTTCCTGCTTCCCTTCTAATCTTGGTTGCATTGATTTTGTTTGTGTAAAACCTTTTGAATTTGATATAATCAAAATTATCCATTTCGCATCTCATAAGGTTCCCTTTCTCTTGTTTGGTCACAAATGCTTCCTTTATCCATAAATCTGACAGGTAAAACATCCCATACTCCCCTAATTTGCTTATGTTGCCACCCTTTATATGTAGATCATATACCTATTTTGACCTTATCTTGGTATATTGTGTGAGATGTTGATCTATACCTAGTTTCTGCCATGTTGCTTTCCAGTTTTCCCAGCACTTTTTGTCAAATAGTGATTTTTTTGTCCTTAAACCTTGGATCTTTGGGTTTGTCAAACACTAGATTATTCTGGTCATTTACTACTGTGTATTGTGTACCAAATTCATTCCACTGATTAACCACTCCATTTCTGGCCAGCATCAGATTATTTTGATGATTACAGCTTTGCAATACGGTTTGAGATCTGGTACTGTTAAGTCACCTTCCTTCTCATTTTTTTCATTGATTCCCTTGATATTCTTGATCTTTTGTTATTAGTTTTTCTAGCTCTACAAAATAATTTTTTTGGTAATGTGGCTGACTTTCTTCTTAATATGAAACAAATAAAAATATAAATCCATCTTTGAGGATTGTGGGAGGAGAGCTCTAGAAACTGGAGAGCCAGGGGAGGGAGGAGCCAGTAAAGACCTCAGGAAGGAAATAGTACCTGAGCTATATTTTAAAGGAAGAACCTGTTAGAAATGAAATTAGGTTGGCTGGTCCTCAAATGGGTAAGTAAAAAACCCGTCATTTGGATGTTCTTTTGGCTTGAGGAGGGAAATTGCTCACTTTCTGAGAGCCAATAACTAGTTCATCTTCTCTTGCAGAATAGAAAAGAAACGCACCATTGTGCCCACCCTGACTGAAGCTGTTGCTGAGCAAGATGGGAGAGAAGTAGACTGGGAATATTTCTACAGCCTGCTTTTTACCTCCGATAATCTCAAATTGGTGCATATTGCCTGCCATAAGAAAAGTAGTCATAACCTCAACTGTGATGAAACCAGGATTTACAAACCCAAGAAGCGTGTTGTCAGGAAACGTGATGCCCGCAGACGTCAGTGACCTTTCTGCTATTGCTGTCCTAGGTTTTAGAGTGAGAAGGGGACTTGGAGATCATCTGCTCCATTCCCCTTGTTTTACAGAAAAAGAAACAGGTTCAAATAGGAGAAGAAGCAAGCATTTATTAAGTGCCTACCATGTGCCATTCTCTGTCCTAGTGCTGGGGATGGATACAAAGACAAAAATGCAACATTTCCTGCCCTCAGTGAGCTTACATTTATCGGAGAAGAAACAACATGTGTACATAAAATGATATACAAAGTATCTGCAAAGAAAATGGAAGACAATTTTTGTTTTGCGAGGAAGGATTAATAGCAGGTGGCCTCAGGAGCATCTTCCTGTAAGAGGTGGCAGTTCAGCTGTGCTTAGAGGAAGCTAGAGATTCTAAAAGATGGCAGTAAAGAAAGAGTCAGTCTAGTCACAGGGGACAGCCAGTAGAAAGTCAGGGAGCCTACCTCATGTACCTATCTGATGGTGCTTTAATGCAGGGTCTCCGTAAAGGCGCTGCTTTCTGTCTGTCTCTGTGGCTAATTCCAAGCTTACAAATGTCTGTCTGTCCATATGTCTGTTTCCGTCTTTGTGTTGTTGTTTAGTCATGTCCACCTCTTTGTGACCCCATCTGGCGTTCTCTTGGCAAAGATCTTGGAGTGGTTTGCCAGCTCATTTTACAGATGAGGAAACTGAGGCAAACAGGATGAAGCGACTGTAAGTTTTGAACTCAGGAAGGTGAGTCTTCTTGACTTTAGGCCCAGCGCTCTATCCACTGCGCCTCTAAGCCACTTGATGTCTCTATGTATATACATATATATGTATACATAGGTGTGTATGCATACACACACACACACATATATATCCATTCAGAGTGGCCAGGAAGACTTTGGATCAAGTGCCACCTTGGACACATCCTGGCTATGTAACCCTGGGCGTGTGACTTAACTGGTGCTTTAAACAACTGTGTAATTTCTGAGAAGGGGCTGACCTGCGCTGGTGGAGGAGTTTCTTCACTGGGAGTTCCCCATACCAATGGAACGGTATTAGTCCCTATCTCTCTATCTCTCTGTCTAGCTCTCTGTCTCTAGATCTATGTCTATATAGCTACGACATAGTTCTAGCTAGAGCCCTTTCCTTTCCTTTTTTCCTCTTCAGTCTCCCAATTTCTGTTGATTTCTAGGTCTTTCCCCTTGGTCGTGTTGTTAGTTCTGCTGTTAGAAAACAGATTGTTGGGTGCTCAGCATGAAATAATAGTTTCTAGCTATGAGAAAATGGTGCTCTGCGAACTAAGGAACTTTCTTCCCTCTGTAATTTATCCAGTATTTTGTTGACTCAAGGCACATTTTCCACAGTAAAAAATAGTAATCCTTGCTTTTTATAATTCCAGCTTGTGGGATATAGGTTGTTCGAATAGTCATGTTGGGTCTGTAAGCCATTGGGGGACATAATTCTGTTTTGTGAACCTTATGCATGAATTCTCACCAAGCTATAAGTGGGCTGGTGGTGGTGGTAGTGGTAGAGGGGTGTGTGAGTGTGTGTGTGTGTGTGTGTGTGTGTGTGTGTGTGTATTGTGTGCATGCGACATGTAAGAAGGAATTGGACCTGTTTTCTGGTCATGTATTACCAATTTGGTAGTAGTGGGTTAGAGAGTGAATTTTAATTTTAACTTAAAGTTTGTTTTTCCTGTGCCAAATTTCCTTTTATCTGAGAAAATGATGCATCTTCCTGAAGCATATATGTTGAATTAAAAAAAAAACCAACCAAACACTTCAATTTGTAAATAAACATTTATTAAATGTTTACTGGGTTCTAGGCAGGACAGCTAGGTAGTGCAGAGGAGAGAGGGCTGGGCCTGGAGTCAGGATGACTCATCTTCATGAGTTCAGATCTAGTGTCGAACACATATAGCTGTGTGACCCTGGGCATATCACTTCACTGCCTCAGTTTCCTCATCTGTGAAATGAGCTGGAGAAAGGAAATGGCAAACCACTCCACTGTCTTTGTCAAGAAAAGCCCAGATGGAGTCTCCAAGAGTTGGTTACGCCTGAAATGACTGAACAACAGCAAATGTTCAGGGTACTAGGGTCACACAGCTATTAAGTGTTCAAGGCCAGATTTGACCGAATGAGTCTTCCTGACTCCAGGCCTGGAGCTCTATGCACTATGGCGCCACCTAGCTGCATGAGGGGCATAGATATTCCCAACCTTTTCTTCTTCAAACCTCCCACACCATTCCCTCCTTAATCTTCTCTGCTGAGGAGCTGGACTCATGATTCACGGAAAGAAAGTGAGGACATTGAGAGATGCCTTCACCCATTCCTCTTCTCCCAACACTCTGACTTTGTCTCCTGCTATTTCTTCCTTCACTCCAGCCTCTGAGGAGGTGGTGCTTCTGTTTGCCAAGACCAGCTCCTCTGCACGTACCCCTGTCTTACTCTCTCCCATCTTCTTTAGCAGACTGCTCATATCTACTGCTCCTTACTTGCTATCTATAAACAAACCCATGTTTCCCCCTGTCCGGAGGCAGCTAGGTGATACAGTAGATTGAACATTGGGCCTGGAGTCAGGAAGACCTGGGTTCAAATCTGGCCTCAGATGTTTACTAGCTGTGTGACTCTGAGCAAATCACTTAACCTCTGTTTGCCTCAGTTTCCTTAACTGTAAAATGGGATGGAGGACCAAATGAGATAATCTTTATAGAAGTGCTTAGCTCAATTCTTGCCCTCCTCTTTAGCTTCCCACCTTTACTAGGTCCTCCTGTGCCCACCATATTCCTATATTCCTTTTCCCTCGTCGGTATGCTCCTTACCATCCACACTTGATCTCTTTCATCCTTTCAGGCTCTTCTAAACCTTCTGTACTCTGGCTTCCTGAAATCATCATTCAAATGAAAATGCTTTCTCCAAAGTTACCAGTGATCTCTCGATTGACTTTTTCTCAATTCTTATCTTTCTGGACCTCTTTAAAGCCTCTAACACTGTTGACCACCTTCTGATTCTGGATATATACTTTTTCCTCTCTGGGTTTTTATGACTGCTCTTTCTCTTGACTGTCTACTTATCTGTCTGACCCACTACTATGGGTGTGACCTGCAGCTCTGTCTTGGGCTCTCTTCTTTTTTATATCTATAAATATCTCAGTGGGCAGCTAAGTAGCACAGCAGTGGATAGAGTGCTAGGTCCAGTCTCAAACACTGACTAGCTGAGTGACCCTGGGCAAGTCACTTAACCCTGTAAAATGAGCTGCAGGAGGAAATGGCAAACCACTGCAGTATTTTTGCCAAGAAAACCCCAAATAGGGTCACAAAGTTGGACACGACTGAAAAAAACGATTGAAACTATGTCAGTTGGTGATCTCATTGGCTTGGAGATTCAATTACCATCTCTATACAAATGATTCCCAGATCTGTTTATCCAGCCCTAGTCTAATTTCCTGAGCTCTAGTCTTATATCACCAGTTGTGTTTAACGTTTCAGAGTGGATATCCTGTAGGCGTTGAAAGGTCAATGTTACCAAAATAAAATTCACCTTCACTCCCTCAGCTTTTTCTCTAAAACTCCTTCATGAATTTACCTATTACTATTTTTTAAAAAATTATACTTTTTTTCAATCAGCAAAAATTTACTTTCCCTGCCCCTAAAATTGGGAATGAAAGAAGACAAAATCCTTGTTAGAAATAGGTATAGTTAAGTAAAACAAATGTCCACGTTGGCCACATCTAAAAATATGTGTCTCATTCTGCACTTTGAGTCTTTTACCTCTCTGTCAGGATGTAGGAAGCATGTTTTGTCATTAATCCTCTGAAATTGTGGTTATTGATTACACTGATCAGAATTCCTGATTCTTGTGAAGTTGTTTGTCTTTACCATGTTATTGTCATTCTCTTGGTTCTGTTCACTTCACTCTGCATCAGTTCATGTAAGTCTTCCCAGGCTTCTCTGAAAACATTTTCATCATTTCTTACAGCACAGTAGTATTCCATCCCTTTTGTATGCCAAAACTTGTCCAGACATCCCCCAATTTACGGGTGCCCTCTCAAATTCCCATTCTATGCTACCTCAAAAAGAGCTATAAATATTTTTGTATAGTCTTACAGTTTGCTTTGCTTAGGTTTAATCTGTTCCTTAATCTACCTTCTCTCTAATTCTTCTTTTCCCTTTCTCCCCTTTCAGGAGGTGGCTGGTGGATTCTTTCTACTTTGCCTTTTTGTTCTAAGAGATCTGGACAGTTTTCTTTATAAAATTTCTTGAAATATAATGTCTAGGAACTTGTCTGGTCATGGCATTCAGGTAGTGCAATGGTTCTTAATCTTTTTTAATCATCAATCTGTGTTTTCATTATCAATAGTTTTTGCTATGAGATACCTTCCATTTTCTTCTGTTTTTCCAGACTGTGTTTTAATATTTTGGTTGTCTGATAAAATTATTGGCTTCTTTTGGGTCCATTCCATTCTAATTTCTAAGGAGTTTGTTGCTTGGGCAAGGTGTTATACCTCTTGTGCCAAGCTAATTTCTTTTCCAATTTTTTTCTTCCATAGCTTTCAATTTTCCAGTTTTTTTCCTCTAGCACTCTCATTTCATTGACAAAAACATCTACTTAGCTTTTTAAAAACACTATCTCTTCCAAGAATTCTGGTTGAATTAGTGCTCATGTTTTGTTTTTCTTTGAGACTTTGCTTGTACATTTTTGGAGTCATTCTCTTTTTCTGGATTTGTGTCTTGAGTATCCTTGTCACCATAGTAACTTTTTATGGTGGTTTTTTTTGGGGGAGGAGGGGTTTGTTTGTTTCCAGTCTGAGCTGGTCCTATTGCTGGGGGATCTCAGAGACAGCTCAGGCAGGAAACTTGTAAGCTTTCAGCCCTACTCAAGCAGTGTGATTCAGGGTAGAGTCTGTTTCTTTTCCCCTGGTCTGCATGCTAAAAGTTCCTGACCTGGGTTTGGATCTGAGCAAATTAGATTGCTGCTGGACTTAGCCCCTGTCAGCCAGCTAGGAAGTCTTGCTGGTTCAGAGTGACAGAATTACAGGCTTTCGTTTGGTGTGGGATTGCTACCCTAGGTACTCCTCTGCAGGCTGCACACCGGGCTAAAAGCTGGAACTGAGACCAGCTCTGCTCTGAGCCGCAGTGCTGATGCTTGCTTCTGGACCTGTTCCTTTCTTGCTACACAACCCAGGAGTGAGTGAGTGAGTGAGTGAGTGTGTGTGTGTGTGTGTGTGTGTGCGCAAGCATGCACATGTGCGCATGAGCGCATGCTCTACCATCCTCCTCATCATCTAGGTTCAAAACCTTGGCGTCATTTTCACTTCCTGTCTTGCTTACCCCACATATTCGATTAGTTGCTAAATCTTGTAATTTCCCTACATCTCTCCTATACCTCTCTTCCGACTCGCACAGCCACCACCGTAATTCGGGCCCTGTCATTACCTCTCACCTGTTCTATTGTTTCAATCTTCTAAATTGTTTTCCCTAGCTCAAGTCTTTGCCCACTCTCATCCCTCCTAAACTCAGTGATTTCCCTAAAGCGTGCGTAGGTCTGACCTTGTCACTCTCTGCCTCAATAAACTCCAGTGTTTTCCTATCATCTCTAGGAATAAATAGAAACTCTTTTTACGTTGAATGCTGTAGACAACTTGGCCCTTTCCAATCATCTTGCATTCTTCTCTCCACAAACCCTACAGTCCCGCCATTCTGGTCTACTTGACAACATTGTGTCATTCATCTCTTTGCTTTGGGCTATCTCTCCTGTAGGGCTGGAATGCTCTGCGTTTCAACTTCTGACTCTGAATCTCTGCCTTCTACACAGCTCAAGGACTGCCTCCCCCACAGTGGCCTTTTCTGGTCCTCCCGTGTTACCTTCCTGTAGTCTGTATTTGTCTTGTATGGTTTGATTTATGCGTGCTGTCTGCCCTATTAGAGTTAAGCCCTTGAGGACAGGGAAGGATATTTTGTGTTTAGTTTCGGGCAGCACAGTTTAGGAGCGACATTGACCAGAATGCTGAAGTTTCTCAGGTCCGTGCCACGTTAAGATCTGTTTACAGGAATGGGGATATTTAGCCTGGAGAAAAGACGATTCAGGGGGCATATCAATCTTTGGGTACTTGAAATACTGTCCAGTGGAAGGTGGTTTGGATGTGTTCTGTTTGGCCCCAGTGGGCAGAAGTAGGGGCATGGATCTAAGTGCCAGAGAGCCAAATTCAGGGATGATGTCAGGGAAAAACTTCTGAATGACGAGCTACCACTAAGTAAAATGGATACGCTGCTGTAAAAGGTAGTGCTTCTTCAGTTTACATAGTCTTCAAGATAAGACCAGAGGACCACGTTTCAGGCAGTGGCCACCAAGGTCCCTTCCAGCTCTGAAATTCTGTGACTTCTGTGAAAATCTGTGGCAATGGGGAATCTGGGAAATGTGAACAAATGAAATTGAAACAATCAAAAACTTCAACTTTTAGCAAAATTGACATGAATTAACATCCAACAAAGGCATGAAAACTGGCCAATTGATGTTCTATTGTGTCTAGCCCGAATGCTGGGCTAACCAGTGAGCAAACAGGATCATGGAATATTGATGGGAGATTCAATCTTCTCATTTTACAAATGGGAAAGTTATTTGCCCGAGATGAACCAATCAAGTTTCAAGTATGAAATGCCTACTATGTGTCCACGAACCATGTTAGGTGCTGGGGCTATAAATATGAATTGAGACAATCCCTAATTATAAGGAGCATTCTTCTGATATGGAAAATGTACTCATATGTGACAGAGCTGGGATTCTAATATAGGTCCGCAGACTCCAGATCTGGGGGAGGCAGATTGATGAAGTGACAAGAATACAATCCTTGGTGATGGGGGAAGACAGGTTAAAGTTCGACTCGTCTGATGGTGACATTTTAAATAAATAATCATAAAACAATTTTTAATTGGGACTGTAAGTCATTGCCTTGCTAAGCCCTGTTTCTTTTCCTGTTAAAAGAATATCTAGAATATCTAACCCTCCCTCATTTTTGAGGATCAGGTGAGATTAGTTATTTAAGATGCATTACAAACCATAGAACATGTCTATGTCATCTATTATTTCACCAAAGATACCTTCAAGGAAAAAAAACAGGTTTAGATAATGTACAAACTGGATTAGCATGCCCTGACAGCCTGAGTCTCTGGCACAGTTCTGTCATCTAACATTGTTTTTGAGAAGTTTTATCTGCATTTGGTAACAAGCCTCCTCGTCAGTTCCTGATAGTGGAATGAAAGCAGCAGTTGAAATGCTCATAAATGTCTCATAAGTGCCACAGGAATGTTCAACTGAGTAATTTTTTTTGCAATGCATTTTTATACTTTGGCTAATATATTTTTTTTAATAAAGAAAATGTCTCAAAATGAAGTTTTTATTTTGCACCTTATTAAAACCTGGGAATATCGTACATTTCACTTGATGTGTCTTGTTCCAGAATAATTCTGAATCGGCCGATTTAGAAACACTCATATTATAAACATTTTTTAAAAATTTTCTTTGTGAAGTTATTGGTGTGAGGATTTTATTCCTAGGTGTAAAACTAATGTTTTTGTGCACCTTCTCCTTGCTGGTTCCTTGATCTTCCCCCTCCCCAAATACTCCATGAAGTCTGGTCACCCTTGCCTTCCAACCTTTGACCTTGTAGTATTTACCTGGACTACTCCCTCCTTGGGCCCTTGTGTACCTTCCTGGTGACCCTAGTTGTATTACTTTTTGTGCCTTGATTTCCCCAACTAACTTATCCTCGTGGGGCAGAGACGGTATTTTTATCCTCTATGGCACCCAGGCACACCATACACACAATATGCAAATACTGGTTGCCCTAGAAGCTCAAAGGAAGGTCCATATAGATGATTTTGCCTGAAGCCCCCATCTTAAGCCTAGACAAGCATCTTAGCAACTTGGAGCACTTAATCAGAGGCAATGCACATACTTAGCAGGACTGGCTGTGTCTGAAGAACTTAAAACATTCCCAAGTAAACTTGGGTGGAAAAGCACTAGATTCATCCATGAGAACAAATTAACTCTGGGTTAGATTTCAAATGGGGAAAAAAAAACCCCACAATTTTTTGAAAGTGTGGCTATGAACCAACATGATGGATAATGATGTTACCATTTGAAGTTAAAAACTGCAAATGAACAGAGCACCATGCATACACAGTTTTTTCAATATAACTTTTTTATTGGAACACAGCAATAATAACGAGCAGTACTGGTAGATAACATTCTGATTTAATTTTTTTTAAAAAAAGTACATAGAAACTAATAGAGCAAACACAAAATTCTAAAATTTTGAGGCAACTCAATTACCACCAGAGAGGCGTTATGATTAATAGTCAAGTTCATGCAGTAATCTCAAACTGTAAATTATTTTCCCAAGCTTTCATAATATGAATGGATTATAAGCAACATGTCCATGTTATTAAATGTATTGTAGGTTCATTGACCAATAAATCACAGAATTATCTGGAGTAAGAGAAGGTCACATCTCCTAATGGGAAAATGATCAAATTAAAACGAAACTGGCTGCTGGGGAAAAAAATAAGTCAACTAGGGCAAATATTTTGAATGGCATATGAGATGAAGTTGAAAATTTTCTCTTCATTTTAATTTGCTATCAAACTATTCTACAAATGAAGTTGGAGAAGAAATTAGAGTATAGTCAACATTATTTACTATTTTTTGACTTGTAACAACTTACACAAAGATACATTGGACAAAAAGGAAAAAGTCCCCTCAATGCTGAAAAGTAAATGAGGCTCTTTCCTTTTAGGTGGAGATCTACTTTTACTGCAGTCTCCTTCTTTGAGGTTGTTTAATGGGTGCAGGAGCCTTAACACTAGTCAAACCCTTAGGAGAAAGAATTAAGTGCTTGGTCTTTAGTCAAGTAATTGCTCTCTCCATTAATGGGTTAAATATTTTTGGAAGGAATAATACTGTCCACTTAGGGACAAAATTAAAGCTTCTTAAAATGTAATTATAAAAAACAATCTTTTCTAGTGTTTAAGACTTCCTTTGCAAACTTAAAACATCTATAGTAACCACTAGTCTGCATGTATAGGGAAACAACAAAAGTAGAAAAATCACTCAAGGTGAATTTATTAGGTAACCTGCAGGAATCACTCAAATTACCCGAACTGGTAGAACAGAAGCTTGCTCATACACTGTAAAAACAAATTTTAGATGCCATTTTTATATGTATAAATGTGCCATTCTTTCTTAGCCCCACTGGGCTTACTCAAAGCATAATTTATTATAAAAAGTAGTAGACCCACTTTACTAGAAGGTATAGTTGGAGCTGCCACGGTTAAGAACAAAGCAATGCAAAATTTTCTGCCCAATCATCCCCCCAAAGAAAAAATAGGAGCTTTACAACCTGCAAGTTCACCTCAATGAATTTCCCACAGTGGCTTTAGAACCTTATCAACCAGGAATAGCAAAATTACCTTAGCTTACTTTTCAAGCTAGAAAGTTCCCATGGGGAGAGAGTTTATGTTGATACTGACATGTGGCAATTAGAATCATCTGTAATAGCATGACATTGGTAACTGTCCTTAATGTATAAAAAATAGAGATATAATTTTATAACGTTTTATTAAATATCTACATTTCTGCATCATCATCATCATCATCTTTGGCTCTGAAGTGCATTTTTCTGAATTCCCGTCTGCTCATTGAAGGACAAGGTGGAGAAACTGGCGGAAGGTCCTTGAGGAAAAGAGTAAAGATACTGAGTTTGTTAATGAAAATTGTTATTATTTCCAACCAAACTGGCCTCCTTGCTGTTCCCACACAACATTCCACCTAGAATTCCACACTCCCTCCTTGCCTCGACTTCTTACAATCCCTATCAAGCACGGCCTCCTCCACAAAGTCTATTGAACTCCTGCTTCCTGTACACCTCCCACTCCCCAATTACTCTATGTCTCCTCAAGAGAAAGCAAGTTGTGGTCAGGGCTGATTGTCTTTTGTCTCTATGTCAGTAATGGTTAGCACAGTGCCTGGCACATAAACATCTATGGATCTGGAAGTTCCCTTCAATGATGCCAATCCCAACCCACCTATGCTGCCCATGGCCATTAGCTGGCCACAGGTGGTCTACCCAATGTATTAGAGGGGTACCTGGCAGAGTAAAGAAGTTACTTGTTGAGTAAATACATTTCATCCACTTGGACTTATCCTTGCTCTTTTAACCATAACTTGGGAACTCGGGAACACTGGCACCCCATCGAATGCCAAATCTAAGGCTAGAAGGCACCTCCAGCATCCAGCCCTTTCATTGTTACACATAAAGAAAGTAGGCCTCTGTAAGTGGCAGAGCTGGATGTGAACTTGAGGCTGGGGCCTCCGTGTGTAGTAATCTTTCCACTTTAACACACTGCCTGCCTACCCTGTTATTTTTCAAAGGTTAAAGAGAATAAATGACTTATTCTTACTTGCATGAGCTCGACATTTCCAAAGAATCGATTCACTGGCATCGGCTGATTGCTATCTTCATCTAAAAAGATGCTATTGTCTATGTGGGATGGTGTCTTCTGGGGATCTGCCTCTGACCCAGCCTCCCCAAGCAGCACAGCATCATGCTTACACATGTCTTCCTCTACCAGATTTTCTTTATATTTTGAGGGGGCCAAGTCATTTTCAGTCTTTGCTAAGTAACTGTTGCCCACCTCTCTGGAGTGACTGTGATGAGAAAGACCATTCTCATTCCTCTCTATTTGCTGTTCACAAATCTTGGAAGTATTAGCTTCATTACTTGGCGGCAACGCTTTGTGCTCAGCACACTTCAGAGGCTCATTCTCACTTGAGGTTTCAGATGCTGTTTTTGGCAAAGAAGTTTTTTCCTTTTTGGTAGTTAGTTCTTGTAATCCTGACTTGATGAAACCGTCTTTTTCATACTTGAGTGTCTTGGAAGCACGTCTCTCAGTTGCTTTGTGTGATGAAGCCTGTCAAGAAAGTGATCTTAAGGAGAAACCAGTGATGCCCATGAGACCTAAGATTATCTTTTGTTCACTTCACATTAGGGGGCAGAACGGTTTGTTTCAACATCTTAAACAATATGAAAGATATAAATGAACAACTCTAAAAGAGAGTTCTTTTGCTTTAATACTATTATAGAAACACAAATTTAAATCAATGATTGAAAAAGAATTTGGCAAAATACCCAAACTCTACTAGGGTTGTTATACTTCTGGATAATTTACCTAAGCAAGTAGATATGTCTTGCTATATAAACAAACAGAGAAAAGTTATGACTACACTACAATCTTCCTATCTTGGGGGGGGCGTTATCAGATCACAGTTTTAGGATATTTATTAAAGACCCTTCATCTTACAGATTTAAAGAACAGGCCCAGAGAGATGCAGTGTTTCGCCCAATGTCACACAGGTAATTAGAGGTGGGATATGAATCCAGGCCCTCTGACTGCAGCCAGGGCTCTTTCCACTATAACTTGCTGCCTCACAAATTCCACTTTTCTCCTATCTGTTAATTCAGTAATTTTCAAAGGAGGATAACAGACCTGCTGTCATAATTGAAAGTATGTTACAGTAGGTCCCATAATAGTGAGGCCTCCAGTCTAACAAGACAGAAGGGATTAAAGTAACAACTGATTTGGTGGCATTTTCTACTGACTCCCTCTATTCTTTCCAAACAAGGCTATTAGGAATGAACTGTAGAACAAAATACAGTAAAGCTCTCACTGGACCGCACTTTGTGCATTCTGCATCACAGGAAGGATGACAGAGGAGAGGCTGAGGATGTGGGTCCATGACTCATGAACATGACCCCTCACTTAACATTAAGGGTATAAATTGCTGATCAGAGAAAGTGTCTCTTAGGCATCGACTAACAGTTTCATTCACTTTTCCTCTAAGACTACTCTCCTCTTTGGAACTGACAGTCATAAAAATGACTTCACAATGCTGTATCCAAAGAGTGTAAAACAGACAAAATGGGTCTATGGGAAACCAGATTTTAAAGGTGTTCAGACAATGAATGAATGACACCATCTTACCAAACACACTGTTTTTGTAGATTTGGAACCATCTGCTTCTTGAGCCGAGGCAGCTCTGGTTGCTGGGCAGTTTTTGCTCCTTAGGCGTGCTGAAGAGCGCACCCCATCTGCAAGCTAAATCAGACATGGAGAGGTCAGGGAAGCACTGGGGGAGCGTGAGAACACAAGACACAATCAAGGAGTCCAAGGAAGGTAGCAAAACTTGGATTTACGTAGCAAGCATGACTTCTGAAGGACCAAGGGGAGTAAAAAGTACAAAATACAAGCTCTTAAAGCAACTGCTAGGTCATCAAGAAAGGCAAGGGTCCTGTTGTTCATATCCATTTCAAGATAACAACAAGCATTCTAATAGCTGCCTACTACGTGTCAGACACTGCGCTAAGCACTGGGGATAAAAACAATGGCAAAAAGACAGACCCTGCCCTCAGGGAGGTCACTGTCTAATGGGGAGAGACAACCTGCAGACGACTGGGTACATAGAGCACATACACAGGGTAAACTGGGAGTCATCTCAGGCAGGCGGTGAGAACCGTTCTGTAAGTGCAGAGGAGGGGTCTGAGATGGCAGATTTTGAACGGCTTGCAGAAGGAAGGATCTGAATGTCACTGTGAAACCCATTTTTATCTCTGTCCTGGTGTTGGCCCTAGAAGCCCAGAGTGAACTGGAAGATGGCAGCCCGTCAATTAATCAACAAACACTTAACTAAGTATCCAGCACCTACCCGAGTACAAAGAATGAGGGGATCCCTACTCAGGAGTCTGAATCCTAAGAGGAATGTCAGCTATAGCAATCAGAAAACACTGACGGAAAAAGAAACTGGAAGCACAGAAAACATAGTTCAGAAGAATCTTCCTGAAAACAAAAATATCAAATGACTCTTAAACTTAAATGCTTTTAAAATAAATTCAATTTAATAAGTATCTACTAGATGCAAAGCACTGTGCTAGGTGCTGGGGTTACAAAGACAAAAAACAACCTAGTTCCTGCCCTCAAGGAGCTTCCACTCTGCTCTAGGGAAGATTGAGAACGCTGTCCCTTGAAAAGGAGACTACTTCTTATAATTCTAGGAGTTTGGAACTCTTTCTTGATCCTTCACCGTCCTCTTCCAAGAGTCTACCATAAAGAGTTCCAATATACTACTGAGGCATTTTTCAGCGGTGTCTGACTTTCATCACCTCATTGTTTTCTTGGTGAAGATACTGAAATAGTTTGCCATTTCCCCCTCTAGCTCATTTAACAGATGAGGAAACTGAGGCAAAGAGGGTTAAGTGACTTGCCCAGGGTCACAAATCTTGTGTCTGAGGCTGGATTTGAATCCACAAAGAGGAGTCTGCCTGACTCAAGGTCTGCTACTCTATCCACTGCCCCACCTACTTCCCCCTCTTCCAATACATCACACAAGAATCAAAGGTATCTGTGTCTAGGCTAAAACATACATTTGTTCACCAAGTAGGAGGGACTTTAGTTTTTCCTTAAACTTCTATTCAGTAACTAGAACTCTCAACATAAGTTAACATGGAAAAAAAGGCTGAGTTCTTCCAAAGAATGAAAGAACTTATAAATTATATGTAGAAACAGCATTAATTTATTTCATTTTGTCAAATTATTTCAGATCTGGTAAATTTAAGAGCCCCATAAACTTTAAGAGACTGTTCAAGATATTGGGGAAAAGGGGAATTGTAATAAAGCCTTTTGAAATTTTTTTTAAAGGCTAGACTGGAAATAAGGAAAATAAAACCTGAGGAATTAAATGGAGAAACAAAAGGGAAAGGTTATAAGTTGTTTGCAAGACAAGAAGCCAGAAATGGGATGTCAATCTGCTACACAAACATTTGGGAGTAGTGCCTCCCCCCTGAGATCATCTCCAATTTATCCTGTTTATTTCTTGCTGGTACACAGTTGTCTACCCACTAGACAGAGAGGTTCTAAAGCCCTGGTAGGAACTGTCTGGGGTTTTGTTTGTATTCCTGTTACATAGCACGTGTAGTACACGTAGCCTGGCATATATGAAGCACTCCAGAGGTGCTTAATAAATGCTTACTGATTAACTATACTAAGTATTAGAGAAACCCACAAATGGGAGAGGGAGGAATGAATAAGGAGATAGTAAAAAAAAAACCCTGGATCTTTAAATAGATGATTCTTTAACTTTTCCAAATTATCACATGACATGGGTAGAGGAATCCGGAGGATATAGCAAATATTCAGTTCATCAAAAGACTGAAAAAGGAGAGGAAGAAAAAACCCTCGATGTATGGAGGGGCAAGGTAACTGACCACATGACGTGTAGCTCAGAGGGCTTTTAAGAGTTCCTAAGCCACTGTAGATCAAACACACTGCTGGAGTTTACTGAGGACTGTGCTTCCACCTCCTTAAATCATGACATTACAGAATGGTTGGGATGACAACATTCCCTGGCAATGGGCATATGAACACAAACTGATGCCAAGCCTCCATTAACATCTTTTGTCATGAGTAACCATGATAAATATGTTGACCTAAAATATCTAGGTTCCAGTTTCACTTCTAAATCTAAATAATCTTTGTATTTACTGAAGGTTGACCAATAAACAAACATATCAGGGAGCATAAAAACCCTTAACATAAGAGCTACATATCCTCTGTCAGTGTTTTGAAGATAATCTACATGGGTCCAGAGGAGTACTTGCACCTTTAGCCTGGGCTTTTATTATCTATCCAAATGGTATCTTCTTGTCTGATAATTTCAGGGCTTTGGGAGAATACTCCTGGGTGCTTTTGCTAATGACACTGCTAAAGTCTGGGAAAGCAGCCGATTCAAACAAGAAAATCTACTCCCACACAGTCTCTGTTGTGTGTATTTCCCATGTCTCTTTTCTAGGATTCTCTAAGCTGAGTTCCAATCCTTCCTTAGGGATGTTTATTTCCAAATATTACTTCACATCTTATTCTTAGGGGGATCAAAGTGGGCTGACTGGATTTCAACAAGCCAGCTACCTATGATCTTGGAGGCAGATCACTCAATGTCTCAGGCCTCAGTTTTTTCACCTATAAAATGAACGTTAGGCTTGGGATTGCCTGATCTCCAGCGCCCTTCTCAGTTCTATGCTAATTCGGACATATTAGGTTTTCTGTCCTTAGAAGGCAGTGCTCTCCGGACAATGAAAACTGGTTGGAATGACTGCTGATCTTTTAACTTGTACTAGGCATGGCCTCTTGGGCGGTAATACGTTCTTAAATCAGTGAAATCTGTGAGCTCATCAATGCACTTCCTTCAGTGGTAAAGGTGACAACGTATCCCCGCCTTCTCATTCTGGGCAGAGCTTGTCAGGTCTTTGCCATCAATCCTCTGGTCAGGAGGGAGGGTGTATACCCCACCATGCTGGGGGCTACTTTCTAGATCTCTCAACATCACATGGCTAACATGCCCAGGGGAGAGCAGTCTGTCATCATCTCTTGCTTGCCTCCTTTTCCTGTCCCACATCTCTTTGATGGTATCCCGTATGCCACCTCCTGGTAACATGCTGCTGCCTACTCATACCTACCATGTGGGGGGGACCCACAACTTTACCTCTCCAATGGCTGTGGCATTATTCTACGACCCATAGCTCTACTGCATGGTCACATACATTTGTTACAACCTATGCTCAAGCCTCTTAAGGGCTGTTAAGTTCCCAGAGGGCAGGTATCATCTCTTATTATTTAGTATCCCTACACAAAGTATTGTTTGTATAACTAAATTGAAATTTCTCCCATCCTTCTCAACACTTAAATTACTTTATCAGTTAAAAATGGAGATGCCTCTTAGGGAAATTCCTATTTCCAATTCTACGGAAATAATAATACTTAATATTTATTTGGTGCTAAAGTTTATATAGGACTTTGCCCTCAATTACCTTGTGACAAGTAGTTAATAAAACCTTATATTTTTATAAAGAAGGAAACTAGGGTTCAGAAATGTTAAATAATTGATCAATGTCACAGAGCCATGATGTGAATCTTCTGGTTTAAAATCAATGTTCTTTGTATGCTACACTTCTTCCCCTCACTGCTGCCCATCTATAAAGGTCTGGGAGACCAGGCAGGCACTTTGCAGTACAGGTTCTAAGGAAAGAAAAGCAGAGAGTAAAAATATAAAAACTTCAATTCTACCAATATTCACTGAGAGGTTACTATGTGAGAGGCACTGCCAAGGATGCTGAGTACCTAGACAGACAGAAGAGAGAGAAGGTTGGAAAAAAAAAAAGGCCCAGCATGAGAACTGGCATTTACTTAGCTGGAAGGTTTGTTGCTCAGTCGTGTCTGACTCTATGTGACTCCATTGGGGGTTTTCTTGGCAGAGATACTGGAGTGCTTTGCCATTTCCTTTCTCCAGCCTATTTTACAGATGAGGAAACTGAGGCAAACAGGGTTAGGTGACTTGCCCAGGGTCACACAGCTAGGAAGGGTCTGAGACTGGATTTGAACTCAGAAGATGAGTCCTCCTGACTCCAGGGCTGGTACTCTATCCATACTTCACCACCTAGCTGCCCCAAGCTGAAAGGTTTACAGAGACATTATTTGAACCTCACAACAACCATGTGAACAGTAAATACTACAGGCTGTATTTATCTTCATTCTACAGAAGAAATTGAGATGTTAAAAAAAAATATTGAGTGACTTGACCAAGGCCACACATCAGGTGACTGACAGAGAAGGGGTATGAACCTACATTTCTCTGTACTCCAAAACCAGCACTTTATTTACAAGACTCCACTGCCTCTACAGATCACAGATTAAGAGCCAGAAGCAGCTGGGGAGATCATGTAGCCCAAACTTCCGCTTTTTATAAAGAAGTTGAGGAGTAGAGATCATCAGATCACAGATTTAGAATAGAGGGGCTGTTAGAGGCCAGTGAGTTCTACACCCTCATTTATTTTATTTTTTTAATTTTTTTTGCTTTTAAGCAATTGGGGTTAAGTGACTTGCCCAGGGTCACAAAGCTAGTAAGTGTCAAGCGTTTGATCTGAGGCCGGATTTGAACTCAGGTCGTCCTGACTTCAGGGTTGGTGCTCTATCCACTGTGCCACCTCGCTGCCCCTACACCCTCATTTTACATGAAGAACTTGAGGCCTTGAGAAGTTGCTTGAGGTTAAGTATATGATAGCAGATGGGGAGTACATGACAGTAACATGGTTAGTTAAGTGACTTGTCTAAGGCCACACAACAGAATGTGACAGATATTGATCTGATTCAGGTCATCTGTCTTCACATTCAGTCCTCTTTCTACCATATTTTGGGATTACAGTTTTGATTCAATTCAACAAGCATTTAGTTATGTCAGACAGTGTGCAAGCTGTTGGGTACAAAGATAAAAATGAAATCAGCCTCTGAACTCAAAGAGCTAACATTCTACTAGGGGGAAACAACATATACAGATAAACAACAAAGCAAACCCCCCCACAATTTATGTATATGTACATGTGTATGTGTACAGTTGGGTGATTCATTTCGGCTAACCATTTTGGGGTGAGGGTTCAGTCAGTCAATCAGTCACATATCAAGCACCCACTAAGCGCCAGGCACTGTGCTTAGCACCGAGGATACAAAGGAAGGCTCAAGGAGCTCCCAGTCTAATACAGGTCTCCCATAGCTGGATTGGGAAGGAGCAGAATTGAAAAAATTTTCCAAGTCAGGCACCTGGAGAAGAGGGTGCAGACTGGGGAGTTGCAGGAGGAATTCACTACACAAAGCAGGGAAACTGAGGCAAGGATCCACTTCTGGCAGTGTGACCTAAATGTGATGTCATTCCACCTCCTGATGACCACCTTAGGTCCCGAGATGCTTGGAGGGGTGGGCCCCGGACCCCCAAGATCCCAGAGCACTGGGGGGGGGGAGCCCCATGGCCAGGGCAGGTGAGCATCCTCCGTCGGTGCCCTCAGGCATCTGACCCAGCCTGGACAAAGAACCCCCGAAGGGGCAGCCCCTTCTCCGTGGGGCATGGCCTAAACTGATGGATCCGCCCCCATGGAAACACTCAAAACAGGCGTGGCCCGAACCCCGGAATCCGCCCCCTTCTCCGGTCTCCGTGGGCGTGGCCTAGGACGCCACCAGGGCGGCGAGTGGGCGTGGCCTAGCTCCCCTGGGGCGCGCAGCGGGGGTCCTTCGAGGAGTTCGCTGAGGGGGTCCTGGTGGGCGTGGCTTGGGGGAGGGATTCCGGCCCCATACCAGCCTCCGCCACGGAGGAGGGGGACCAGGACAATGGGCTCGCGTCACAGGCCGCGTCCCGGGCGGCGCAGTCCACCTTCCTCGCCCCAGCCCCTCCTGACCCCCGGCCTTCCCGCCCCTACCCCGGTCCGGACGCCGCGGGCCGCCCTCCCACGCCGGGGCCACGGGGGCACCGGTTCCCTCACCTTCCGGCTCCTCATGAGTCTGAGGCGCCGCCGCCACCGCGGCGTCCTCAGCTCCCGGGGCTAACGCTCCCTTGCGCACCTGACCCGCGACCCGGGGAGACACCAGCCCGGGGCCGCCGCCGCGTCCTCCGACGTCTACCGCCGCCTCCGCCAATCAGGAGGCGGTGCCGCCGGGCCACGTGACCCAAACACGTTCAGCCCCGACTGAGAGGAGGAGGTACGGGCTTCACGAGGCCGGGAGGGTGGGCGGGACTTAGCGGCGCGGCACGGGGAGAAGGGCGGAGCTTGCGCGAGGGCACGCGCCGCCATGTTTGTGAGGGGCGCGCGCATGGGCGGCCACCTTGTGTCCGCCATCTTTGAATGGAGTAGGCTGAATCGATAATCAATTATCCACAAACTTGGAGCGATACAAAGACGATGAATGAGACAGAAAGTGACCCAGGGTTCTCAGATAGGTGGTCATGGGGGCATGCATTTAGAGATGGAGGGCGCTTTAGGGGTCATCTGTCCCAATGCTCTTATTTTGCGGATAAGAAAACTGAAGTTAAGTGACTTGCCCAAGGTCACCCTGGTAGAACTGGGATTTGAACTCTAGTCCTTGAGTATCTTGCAGTTTTGGGGGCTGACGGATGGAGAGTTGATATGGACCATGTGGTAACTTGGTTAAAACACAGAATCTCTGGTTTGGAAGAGACCTTAGTGACCGTCTCACCCAACCCTTCCAGCTCATACCTGAAAAACAATTCCTGGGGGCAGCTAGATGGCGCAGTGGATAGAGCACCAGCCCTGAAGTGAGGAGGACCTGAGTTCAAATCCAGCCTCAGATTGACACTTGACACTTACTAGCTGTGTGATCCTGGGCAACTCACTTAACCCCAATTGCCTAAAGAAAAAAAATGAGAATTAAAAAAAAACAAAACTAAAAACCCAATTCCTTCTACAATATAGCGGAAAAGTGGTTAACTTTGTGCGGGCGGCTGCTGGGCGATGTCATGGATCACAGTGGGCGGGGCCTGGCCTCAGGAAGACCTTAATCAAAATCTAGCCTCTAACACTTATTAGCCAAGTGACCTTGGGCAAGTCACTTAACTTCTGTTTGGATCAGTTACCTCATCAGTACAACAGGGATAATAATACTTCCTACCTCCAGAGTTGTTGTGAGGATGAGATATTATGAGGTGATGATTGTAAAGTACTTAGCAAAAGTGTTTGGCACATAGCAAGTGCCCTATCAATATTAGCCAGTGTGTTATTTTTATTATTACTTACCTCCCAGGATAGGTGAGAATCGAAATGAGAGAGTATCTTGAGTTGGGCTTGGAACATAATAAGCACTCTACAGATGTTAGCTATAATTACTGTTATTAGCTTTTACCAATTTAAAGACACTGGCAGAAGGGGAAATAGATGATTAGTCTGGCCTAAGCTGACCTTAATGAGGTCATACTGGCTCTTTGAGATCACCACTTTCTAGATGGTCACTAAACTGTCTCTAATCATTTATTCCAGTATTTTTCCAGAAGCCAAAGGCAAAAGTGCTGCTCTGTAGTGGACATATGCTATTTTCTTCCCTTTTTTGAAAACTGGGAATTTTTCTTCTTCAGTACTCCTCCTCTTCTTCACTTTCTTGAAAGTGTCATTGACAAGAGGTTATCAGTCACCTCTGACAGTTCTTTCCATAGCTGACGATAGGCAGGGTTCATTTGGGCCAAGCAACCTCCTCTCATGCTGTCCCCATGTTTGCTTTGAGTATCACCTCTCTATTAGGTATTTTTTGTTCTCTTTCCAGACAAAAGGGACCAGAATAGGAGTGATAGGATGGGAAAACAGAGGGGAATGGAGGGCTTGGAGCTTTTGGTGAGGATGGCGACTAGATCCAGGAAGCCTGGAGGGCCAGATAAAAAGATGGATTTAACAGCTGTTTATGAAGTGGCCGCTAAGCCCCGAGTTCATGGAGGCTGATCCGGCTATCGGACTGGGAGGCCCGGGTGTTCTGTGGTGCGTCCACACGAGTGTTGAAGGTCCTAAGTATAAAGGCAGTGCTTGGTGAGAAGAGGTCTCGGCTCTGAAATCCTTGCAAAAACAGGGTGAGTGTTCTGGGGTCCACGACTGTGGACGACAGCCAGAGCGAGGCGAAGAGGCTGATCTAACCAGGAGCAGAGAGGTGTGCCTGGGGAGAACGCTTTGTGAGTGAGCGCAGCCCGGCAGGGTCTGGGAGCATCGGCAGGGAGTCGGGCAAAGCACCGGTGATTCCCTTTCTCACGGCTGTGAGAGCTTTCCATCTCTCACGTGGGGTAACAGTGTGGCAGGGGAGAGAACTCTAGACTGACGGGTAAAGGAAGGTTAAAGTCCGAACTCTGTGCCACCCTGGGCAAGTCTTTCCTTTCTATGTCTTCGTTTCGTTATTAGTAGGAAGGGGGATGGACCGCTAGGTGGCGCCATAGTGCACAGAGCACAGGCCGGGAGTCGGGAAAACTCATCTTCCTTAGCTCAAACGTAGCCTCAGACACTTAACAAGCTGGGTGACCCTGGGTAAGTCACTTCACCCTGTTTGCCTCAGTTTCCTCATCTGGAAAATGAGCTGGAGAAGGAAATGACAAACCACTCCAGTGTCTTTGCCAAGAAAACCCCACCTGGGGTCACGAAGAGTATACTTGACTGAAACGACTGAACAAGGAGAAGAGGGGTAGAGAGTCGAGGTAGCACAGAGAGCAGAGATTGGCCATGGAGTCAGGCCAACTTGGGTTCAAATTCTCCCTGTGACCCCTACTAATGGTGTGACCCTGGGCAGCTCATTCAGATATACCGATGCAATCTCGGGACCAGTCTTTATTCTTGGCCCTGGCAAGGGGGCGAGGTTGGCTCTCTGAGGCCTCTTCCAGCTCTGATGTTCTTTGACTTGGATGGTAAATGGAGCTGCACAGTTTTGGGGGCCTGAAATTCACATCCCAGATTTGGAGGCTTTGGGTACAGAAGAATTTCCCTTGCCTCTGACAGTATGCAAATTAGGCAGCTAATATAATTAGTGAGCTTGGCAGAAGTTCTGTCCTGCTCCTGTATGTAAACTAATTCCTCTGTGCCCTGGCTTAAACCTATTTCCTGGTGCCTTGTCCTCATTAGAGCCCTAGAACAGCTGGTCACCTTTACTTTTAATGGAGATCGGTCTCCTGCTGGGATTGAATTGTTTCACATTCCCTTCCTACCTCTGGTTCTCCTCTTGCCCAAACCATCCTGTGTGAGGACAGTGATGTAGGTTGTTAGCTACCTCCCTTGAGTCTCATTTCCAAAACCTCAGATACTCAGATACGCTCCCAGATACTTGGTGATCAGTTCAATGAGGTGCTTACAAAGCTAAGAGACTGCTTTTTGTCTTTTAAGGATTTTGAATCACAAAGACCTCAGTTCAAATCCTGGCTCAGACTCTTACTAGCTGGGGGACCCTGGGTAGATCATTATCCTCTCCCAGCCACGTTTTCCTCATCTATGTAACAGAGATACCTGGAAATGATGATGTGAGCAGCAAATGACAATTTACAGGAAGGACTTTGCAAGCTTTAAAGTGCTATATTAATGTTCATATTAATTACTAGGTAGTATTATTAATTACAAAAATGAAATACAGCCTTCCTATAAAACACTTTAGGCAAAAGTAGTAGTAATAATAATAATAACAATAACAGTAACAGACATTAGGGCTTTAAGGATAGCAAAGTGCTTTACATACATTATCTCATTTGGGCCTCAGTTTCCTCATCTGTAAAATGAGAGGTCTGGACTAGATGGCCTCTAAGGTCCCTTCCAGCTCACAATCTGTTAACCTGCGTTCACCATGACAGTTCTGTGGGGTAGGTGCTGTTATCTCCCTTTCTACAGATGAGGAAAATGAGACCTTTTGTGCCACCTTCTTCACTCTACCTTCCCTTCTCCCAAAACCCAGCATATAATTAACTGATTTCATCTATATAATGCAAACTTCCTAAAGATCTGGAGTTCAAATAAACAGACACATGGCAAACTACATATTGTGTGTCTGGTCAATGGAAATGGTTTTTCCTTCCTTCCTTCCTTCCTTCCTTCCTTCCTTCCTTCCTTCCTTCCTTCCTTCCTCCTTCCTTCCTTCCTTCCTTCCTTCCTTTCCCTGTGAGAACATTTAAATCAGGCAATTTTGTCAGAAGCATTAGGCCTCTCAGTTAAACTATAAAGGTTGAAAAGTGAACTATGACACACAACAACTCCATGTACTGCTTGCAGCTCCCTCTGCATTGCTCCATAACTGAGGTGTATTCATATTCTCTTCCAAAAGCCTCTTAAAGCTCTCTACTCCAGTGGAATGACTCCCTAGAAGACCAGAAATACAGATGATGCCGTCTTAGTGCATAAAAAGTGGTAACACTTAACGCCTCTTGTAGACATTCTTGGAATCAATATGCAGGTTTGCTATGTCATGTAAACAAAGAATCTGCAGTTTAGGCTGGGGCCCTTTCAATGACTTAGGCTGGGATGTTGGCATTTTGCCACCACCTTTGTTTGGGAAGAGGCGAACCCTAGACAGTCTGCGTGTATGTCTGTCTAGTTCAGTAGTTCTTAACCTTTTTTTGGGTTATAGACTCCTCTGTAGTCTGGTGAAGCTTATGGACTCCTCAGAGTAATGTTTTTAAATGCATAAAATACGTAGGATGATGAAGGTAATCAACTATATTGAAATAAAATGTTCAAAATATTAAAAAAACCACAAGTTCATGGACAGCTTGTTAAGAACCCCTGGTCTTTCTGGACATGTCATTCATCTAGTTTGATGATGCTACTGTTGCTTTGACTGATGGTGTTATTTCCCATAGTTATAGATGTAAGTAAAAAGACTGCTAAGTGACTGGCAGGAAATCACTAACTAATATAATCACTGCCAGCCCTTAAGAAAAAAGCAAAAAGGATACTATATTAACTGTCTAACCTGGCCTATTTTCATTAAAATTGGTTTCATAATAAGTTTTGTTCTGTAGTTCTATATAGGGATTTGATATGGGCAAAAGTCATCCAGAGATCAAGGTTTTTATAAAGCTGGGAACTGGGACAAGTCATCTTCAGCAGCTTCAAGGATCTGTGTTTAGTCCAGACTCATGGGCAATATCTTTCAGGAATGGAAAGGGCTCTGGTTACAGTTGCCA